AAAGCAAATAGATATCTAATTATGAGATGGAGGGATTATTAAATTTTTAATTTTTGTAAGATGAAATATATAAATATTATACATTCGAAATTGTGTCAAAAAAAAATTAATTAGGTAAATAAACCCTTTAACATTGTGAAATCATCAATTGAATTTGGGTTGTGCGTAGTAGTGGGCCTAAATTGGATTGGTTCAACAAATGGGCTTTGGATTATAATTCTTTGAAATATTTGTATCTATTTTTTTAATAATTAAAAAAATAATAATATTTTATGTATGTCGTGTAGTGTGTAAGATTATGTTAATTAAAATATTTTAAAAATTATAATTGACAGAAATTGATATAATTGTAATTTTAGATAAAAATATAAAAATATTTTATTAATATGTAATCATCACATTTTTTAATTAAAAAATTGATACATTAATATAAATAAATAAATATATATATTGATAAAGAGCAGAAGTAATAAATTCTTTTATTCTTTCTTCCCTAATATATATATATATATATGTATATTTTTTATTTTCAAGATTATTTTTTATTTTCGTTTATTTTAAAACAAGGTTACTATTTTTTAATTTTGTAATTATACTACCTACCTAATATAATCAATACTCTTTTAACTTACAATATATTACACAAATATCATTACTTTTATATTACACCATACTAATAGGGGTATTTTTGTCTTTTTTACAACAATTCAATATAATATTAATATTAAAAAATTTACGTGTAAAAAACAAATGCCACCATTCCAATGGGACGGAGGGAGTAATATTATATGTTGTTAGAATATACTCCATCCATCTCTTAATAAACTATTCATTATTATTATTATTATTATTATTATTATTATTATTATTATTATTTTCACTTTGACTTGTCCTGTAACAAAGTATCAATTTTCTTTTTTAATAACTGCACTATCTACCTAATATTACAAATACTCTTACAACTTATAATATATTACACAAATATCATTATTTTTATATCACATAATACTAATAATGTTATTTTAGTCATTTATACTTTATTCCTTTTATATCATAATATAATACTAATATTTCTAAAATTCCAAGCAAAAAGTAAACGGATACATAGAAATGAGACGGAGGGAGCATACTCCCTCCGTCGAGTTATAAAGTATATATATTTCTATTTTGGGACGTTCAATTACAAAGTAAATATTTCATTAAATACCTTTACTTTACACCGCATCATTACTTTTACATAAAAAAAAATAAAGGCAAAAATATTATTACATTACTTTCAACTACCCATTATAATTAAAATATTAATATTATTTTTAAATATCACGCCAAAAATAAATGTTTACTTTGTACGTAGACGAAAAAATTATTATATTATTATCATATACTATTATTTATGCGATGAATTTTTCATATATATATACATATGTGTCCGTTACCATATTAATTTGATCAAATTAGCATACTACCAAAGGATAATGTCACTGAGCAATTAATAACGAAGGATTTTTTTTTTTCTCAATCTTTAATTGAAATATCTTATAAATATAGTAATTAATAAAGACTCTTTATTACAAGTAAACAACAATAAATGCAATAAACAAATGATAAATGATCGATATCCCATAAAAATATTTCGTTTGAATTTATTTAATATACTATAAATAAATATTAATGTGGTATATTTTGAAAAAATTTAAATTTTAATATTATATAATACTTCATTTGTTTCGTAAAATTCAGAACATTTGGTTCTATTAAAAACAATGAATATTTTATTAAAAAAACAATAAAAGTAAAAAAAAAAAAAGTAGTTTAGTGTATTTTAAAAAAATTTGTTATTTATTTTTTTTTAAAAAAAGAAGGGGCGAGAAAATAATAAATATAGTGATATTTGGTATAAATAAGTATTGAATGAATGATAAAAATTAAATATTGATTTGTTGACTCCGTAAAAAATTAGTAATAAAGATAAATTTAATGGACAAACTAAAAACAAAAGCGAAGGTTAATTATAAAAAATACTTTGGTAGCAAATATCTATAAAGAAAATAGCAAATATCGATATAGAATATAAAACATATTTGAATAACACATGTAATTATATATATCAAAATATATCATAATTTTAACAAAATAGTACTCCCTCCCTCTGGCCCTTGACAATCTATCTATTTTTTCATTTCTTTTTTTTTTTTTTTTTATAGTAATTGTACTATCTACTTAACATTACAAATATCCTCTAATTTACAATATATTATACAAATGTCATTACATTTATATCATACAATACTATTAGGGTTAATTTAGTCCTTTTACCTTTATTTCTACTTTATTCCAATATAATATTAATATTTTTAAAATTTCGTGCAAAAAATAAATGGATATATAGACATGGAACGGAGGGAGTAATATGATTCAATTAACAAATATCCACAAAGAAAATAGCAAATCATTACATAATATATAGCACGTTATATAACATAATATATATTATCTCTCTTGTTACGATTTGCTAATTATTTTAAGTTAATGTGCTAACTTAATGATGTGCTATATATTGTGTAATGATTTATTAATTCCTTTAAATTAGTTTTGGTCAAATCAGCACTGATTTGACATAAACTGCTGCCTATAAAAAAAAAAATAAGGGGGGTGTATTCAATATAGATTTTGTAGGATTTTGTCGGACTTTCAAAATTTAGGTCTATTCAATCAAAATTTTTAAAAGTTTTTAAAATTTAGAGGTATTCAATCCATACTTTTAAAATCTTGAGATATTAAATAATCTATAGACTTTGAAAGTTTATGGATTTTAATGGATTTTTGTGTAGGAAAAAATTTCTCCTTACCATCACAGATTTTGATGGATTCTTAAAATTATGGATTCTTAAAATTATTATTATTATTATTATTATTGTTATTATTATTATTATTTTGTTGTTGTTGTTATTGCATATGTGATCAATAATATGATAATAATTATTACTATTATTATAATTTTTAATAAAAATAATAATTTAAAACTAAAATATACTAACAAATTATTATGATTTTTTTTAAATTTATATTTTTATATTATAAATATAATTTTAAAAAATATTATTATCACAATAATATATTACTGTTGTATTTTCTTTTCAATTATCGAATACACTATATTATCATTGCGATAACGGTGAAATAGATATTTAAATATATATTTTTTGTTGAACCGTTAATTTATATTTATTTATTTATTTTAATATTTTTTCAAAAATCGTAAATTATTTATTTTAATATAACCTTTTTACATAAAAAGTAAATTCAAATAAATTTTGAACAGTTGTATGATGTGATATAAATAAGTATTGATGTGATATTTTGAATATAAAATTTATTTTTAATATAATATAAAAAATAAATAATAAATATTTGATTTAATGCTATTGAAAAAAAAAAATTTAGATGAATAATGTATTGGGAGAAAATCTTCCAAACAAACACGGCCTATATGTATACAAAAAAATAGATAGGGTAAAATAGATCAACTAGACCCACAAAATGATTGGTTCAGAAAGTTGGTACTGAAAAAGCAGTCCAGATGTCAACAAACAAGAGGTGGGCCCTGGACTGTGTTTGTTAACAAAATTGCGGATAAAAGACATTTTGCCTTACCGAGTGTATTAGTGTAAAAAGTAGTGACAATTGTGTAATAATAATAAAAAAATAAGTAGTAATATGATTATTTATAGAAATAAGACTATTATTTTAAAATAAACAAAAATGATAAACAATACTATTGTATTGGAACAGATTAAGTAATATGTATATTTAAATATATATCTTAAATTGATTTTAATCATATATATTCTATTATTCTTTTAAAATTACCAATAATACTACTGCATACAACTAATAAATTAATATCAATTTTCATAAAATTTAAAAATATTTTGTTATTATATAAAAATATATATAAAAAATTAAATAATTTGACTATGAACAGCTCAAAATAATAAAATACTATTAATATAAAAATATAAATCAAACAAGCACATCTAAAACTATCAATTTTTTAATTCACAAAAAGACAGTAACAAAAATAAAACACATCCAAAAATACTAACGTATGCGTTTGTTTGTGTTTACGCGTCTTTGTTCTTTTATGCCTTGAAAATTATATTTCGAATGAAAAAATAATGTTTGTTTTATATTTTAATATTTTTTTTTTACGGAAAATATGAAAAATGGTATAAGTAATATAAAAATAAAAAATATATGTAATATATTAATTTTTTTTTAAAAAATATGTTGAAAAATTTAATTAAAAGAACAAAATTTTAAATATAAACTACTCCCTCCGTCCCACTAAAGATGATCACTTTTGTTAGGATCCGATATTTCAGGAATGGTAGGTTATTAAGTTATGATAATATTTTATTATTTTTTATATGTGTAGTATTGTTTGTATTTTAAAATATTTTTAAAATTATATCTCAATAAAATATATGCAATATAGATATCATTTTGTAGACAATAAAATATTATATAATACAAATGAATAAAAAAAATATATTTATTTATTTATTATTACCATAAATTAGTTTTATAAAAAATGAAGAGTTAGGTAGATAAAAAATATTTATTAATTGAAGAGATATAGAAATAAAAAAGTTTTAAATGATCTTACGTGTAAGATGTCAGAAGTTTAATTAAATTGATTCGTATTTTATAAATATATTTAAAATTAATAAACTTAGAAGGAGTCATCTTTTGCGCGATGTACAAAAAAGGAAATAAGGTCATATGTGGCGGAGTCATTTAAAAATTAATTTTACTTTCAAAATATTACATAACACCTATTTATATCACATACAATATTAAAAAATTTTATTATTTAAATTCCAATCCAAAATCCAAATCCGACGGAAGAAAGTATTTTTTTTTTTTTTAAAGTACAAAAAATCACAAACAAACACTGCCTTAAGTGGCAAATCAGAAATGACACGCAAAATCAGAATTTCACGAGTCCACACTGAAAAATCTTGACTGGTGAAGGAATTCAACTCCTCGTCCTCGTCCTCGTCCAAGCTGCTGCTACAAAAATGGCTTCGTTCTCCGGCAGATTTCTCGTGATTGTCGTTTCTATTCTCTGAGGAGCTTTTGACGATTGATTTTCTTCTGAGCATCGCGTTGCGGTTTTGTTGTTCGACTGAGAAAAAAGGTACGTTTTTCTCTGTTCGTCTATGGCTTCTGTTCTCTGCATTTCTTGTTTATTTAATTTGATTTTCTAATGCGAAGTTGTTGAATCGTATCTTATTTTGGTTTCTGGCCGTTGTGTTGATTTTTCTTATCTACGTCTGCATCGATGACTTTGCTTTGCGTTATATTTGTTTTGTTTGATGAATAAGACGATTATTTATGAAATGGAAGGAGCTTATCTGAATGTTTATGGATGAAGCATTTGATTGAATTTGGGGATAGGGAAATTGCAATTGTAATCGTTTCCAATGCAGAATTTTCATTCCAGAAAATCGAATGTTTTCGGATTTGTTTTCCTTTTTTATTTTATTTTATTTTATTTTTTGTAGTAGTTTTGGATTAGAGAGTGTGTGTAGGTGCGCGCTTGTTAGTGTTTATGGACTGTTTTGGTGTCTTTTGGAATTGATTTTTTTTTTTTTTTTTTTGAATGAAAACAGGTTTTGAATATGATATTTAAACTGAAAATTCGACGTTGGATATGTTGTTTCGAATGGAAATAGGTTTTGGACAAGATGTTTTGAATGAAAAATATATTTTAATGTAGCTTGATTAGTACGAAAACAAGATTGAAAACATAAACAAAAACACCAAGGGAGTGTTCTTTTTGCGTTTGTATTTTGAGCCAAAGTATTTCTGAGGTAAAATTTGAGGCGAAATAGTAAATTGGATGTAATGTTTTGGGAGGTGAACTGAGAGAATGAATAGTCGAAAAAATGGAAAATTTTGTGTTGTGAACAAATCGTTGATTCGTTGATATCTTCGATGCTGGATTTAAGCAGCATTTGTTACTTTCTCATACAGGCTTTTTCACAAAATGGATGGTTTGGAAAAGGTTGATGTACACAGTTCAGATTCCCGCTATTACTCATCCAATAATGGTTCGTTGTCGGGGAGGCAGAATACACCCATGCCATTTTCTTTGAATGATGGTTTGAATTCCTTCGAGCACAAGAACAATGTTGGTGGTTCTCTAGATCGTTTGAGAAGTGAAAGGCAAACATCCCCGGTACAAATGTCTGGTTCATTGTATGTCAACACTGTTGATGAGGTTGTCTTCGAGCCACCCCAAAATGTTTCACAGTCGAAATCTACAAATGGCAAACAAATACATCCTTTCATTCACAGCACAGATGAATATGACGGCACATCTGATATTAGAGACGAGCATCTCATGAAATCTAGGCAGCTTCGAATGTGTGATGATCCGTATTGCATGACATGTCCATCGTACGACCGTCCTAACTCGCACCAGAAGCTTTTGTTTACTGAATTAGGCGATCTTAAAGTACTTAAGAAGGTACTTGTTCTACGTATTCGTTTAATTTCATCTTGATTCATTTTGTGGATTTGGAGTGATATTCACAAAACAAATAAATAAAAGAGCAAAGAAACTACTCATAGGTTTATTCGATTTAGTGTCGTGAAGTCTGAAGTTGTTTAGTGCACTTATACTGGTTGTATTTTCTTCTCCATTTGATTTTGTTTAGTTCCAATCTGCTGCCGAGGCTAAAAATTGTTGGCAGAGAATATGTTCTTTCTTGAAATCTTGTATCCCAAGAGTCATGAATCCTCACACAAAAGTTGTTCAGCATTGGAACAAGTTCTTTGTAATCTCTTGTTTGTTTGCAATATTTTTGGACCCATTATTCTTCTTGCTTCTCAATGTGGACAAGGTACGTCTCCAAAACCCGACTCTTCTTTATTTAAGATACTGTTCATTACATTTATTTGTTTACTATAGATTTATTGTTTGTGATCTTTTTCAGTATTGCAATGGTTTTGATCTTAACTCTATTATTATTGTTGATCAAGAGCATTTGGGATTTCTTTTCTTTGAAACATTTAGCTTCTTGTGCAACGAGATGAGATCGATTGATAAATTTGTATTTTGTTTCAATTTAATGTCTTTTTCTTCCTAGGCACAAAATTGCATAAGATTGAATTGGCCCATGGCGATCGTACTTGTGCTCATGAGGAGCATAACTGACTTCATTTACTTGCTTCATATCCTCCTTCAGGTATTTATTCTCAAAGTAAAGTTACTGAATGAATTTATCTATTGTTGGTGTTTTTGTGTACTAGTTTTATCTCTTTTCTCAAAACCAACATCCTCGTCTTCGTAAAATGATGAGGTATAAAGTGATATGATTAGATTCAATTAATCTCGTTCGTATGTTATCGAATTTATTATGCTGGATTTTTTATTTTCTATGTAAAGGTTTATATAATGTTAATGAGCTATGTTGTATGTGGATTTCTTGTTTCCAAGCTATCACTGTTTCCTTTTTTTGTGATTGGACTCATTCTTTTTGTGTTCGTACAATTCTTTCCATAAGTCATGCCAACATGTTGTTAAAGCAAAAGCATCAGGAATCACAAAAGCATTCTTGATTTCCATTCTGCAGTTTAGGTTGGCTTACATTGCTCCCGAGTCTCGAGTTGTTGGAGCTGGAGAATTAATCGATGATCCCAAAAAGATTGCTGTAAATTATCTATCTCGATATTTTATCTTTGATTTCTTTGCTGCACTTCCTCTTCCCCAGGTAAATTTATTTTGTCTTTTAAGCTGATTTTCGAATGCAATGCCGGCATTACATATTAGTGAAAACCTTTCTTTTCTATTTCATTGCTTATATTGTATGATTCGTATAAATACTCATTTAATTCATTCTGAGCAGATCATTATCTTCGGGGCACTGCAACCCTCCTCGTTTGGATCTGGTGCTAATGATGCAAAAAATTTTCTCCGAGCAGCAATTCTTTTTCAGTACATTCCGCGGCTATTCAGATTTATACCATTGCTGGCTGGCCAGTCTCCAACTGGTTTTGTATTCGAGTCGGCTTGGGCAAATTTTGTGATAAATCTTCTTACATATATGCTGGCTAGCCATGTGGTAGGATCATGCTGGTATCTTTTTGGGCTACAGGTGAGACACTTTCTGCTGAAAATTTGGTTTTTATGCTTCGAAGTATACATAGTTGTCAATAGTGCGCGCAATAGTGAGCAGTGTTGCAATGAGGAGGGTGAAAATGTGAAACTATGATTATCTTTGATTATATATCTATGAACTATAATTATATATATTTGACATTTTATTGATTTGAATGATTATATATTTTTTTATACATCTTGCTTGCAATATTTTGTATACAATAACTTTTATAGGTATATTTTTAAGTTTTTGAATAGGTCATTCTGCTATCCGCTATAGCATTTTAGAATTTGACTGCTATTTCTGAGATCGACAACTATGGAAGTATATCATATGAATGATGCTTCGATTTATGTAAACAAATTCACAGTAGAGGGGTATTTAATTGCTTACATTTTTCGCAATGATTTTTCGTTTTGTCTTCCTTTCTGCTCAATTTCCCCTCGAATGGAATCAAAGTGACAAAATAAAAGTTATTACCTCATCTAAGACTAATCTAATGATCCCTTTAGAAGTTTGAGAAATTTTTAATTCTGAGGCTGTTGCTCGCATCACTGACTTTATGTTGACTTAAATACAGAGGGTGAATCAGTGCTTTCGAAATGCTTGCCATCAATCCAACATTACGATGTGTATACAGCTCATCGACTGCAAGGACGGCCCCAATGATGCAGGAATTCGAAACCAGTGGAAGAACAATGAAAATGCCATTGGTTGCTTAGATGGACGCTATTCTTTTTCATATGGAATTTATCAAAATGCCGTCAACTTGACAGCCGAACAAAGCTTGTTGACGCGGTATATATACTCCTTCTTTTGGGGGTTTCAGGTATTTTACAAAACTTATTTTTCATTCAACATGATGGTAGATGGATATCTATTACATGCTAGTAAGTTTGTTTCTTAATATTATCGAGTATACATTGTCTTAAAGATCAAAATTTTATTTATTGATTTTGTTTAATCTTCTGTATTTTTTTTGTTTTGGTGTTCTACATAGCAAATTAGCACTTTGGCCGGGAACCAGACCCCGAGTTATTTCGTATGGGAAGTTCTTTTCACTATGGCCATATTAGGGATTGGGCTTTTGCTTTTCGCTCTTTTGATAGGAAATATTCAAAACTTTCTTCAAGCTCTCGGGCGTAGGTAACAGCTTTGTTGCATCGATATTTCTTGATTTATTCTCTTCTTCATTATATCGAAATTTAGCATCCTTAAATGATAATAATATAGGTTTTAAATGAATATATATTTCATTAGGAGACTAGAGATGACTTTAAGGCGCCGTGACGTTGAACGATGGATGAAACATCGTCGACTGCCTGAAGAGCTAAGAAGGTTAAGTTGTCATGTTTTAATAGAAGCTTCATTTTTTCTGTTTTAGAAACTGAAAATAAGAAACTCGGCTTCTTTTCAGTTCAATGGATGAATATTTGACAACTTAATAGTCTTTGATCTGCAGACAAGTTCGAGAATCTGAGCGTTTTGCTTGGGTTGCAACTAGAGGCGTCAATGAAGAAATATTAATGGAAAATTTGCCCGAAGACCTTCAAAGAGATATACGCCGTCATCTCTTCAAATTTGTTAAGAAAGTAAGTTTCCTTTCAAGAATTAATGCACTTCCATTACAACAACATTCAATGAAACAAAAAAAAAAGTCTCGTATTTGTTGCGAAAGGTGTAATTTGAAACATTGCCTCGTACTTAATTTGCTCGTAAATACAGGTGAGGATTTTCCAATTCTTGGATGAGCCCGTCATAGACGCCATATGCAATAGGCTAAAAACAAAAACGTACGTCAAAGGAAGCAGAATTATATTCCCCGGTGGTCTTGTTGATAAAATGGTTTTCATAATCCGCGGCAAGATGGAGACCGTTGAAGAAAATGTCATTGTTCCTTTGTCCGAAGGAGATGTTTGTGGAGAAGAGCTTCTTACATGGTTCCTCGAGCATTCTTCAACGAGTAAAAGTACAAGTATAGTTTGATTTTTATTTTTATTTTTTGTTTTTTTATCAAATTTTGCGTCGCTTTAGAGATGAATTCATTCAAATATTTCATTCTCACATTAAAATCGTCGCGCTTTTTATTTCAGATGGAAAAAGAATTGGACTTCCCCGACATCGGTTGTTGAGCAATAGGACAATAAAATGTTTAGCTCATGTTGAAGCTTTCATTCTTCGAGCTGCGGATCTTGAAGAAGTTATTAGTCTTTATGCTCGATTCTTGAGGAATCCACGCGTTCAAGGGGCGATAAGGTACATTTTTTTTTTTTTTTTTGTCATTCGTGGCGAATCTCTTAACAAAATGTTTTGAATGGTTGTTATATACAACATGATCAAGAACTTCTTACACGCGCATCATCAATGCCCTCATCTTTATAGTTTTGATCGATCTTTTCTAAAATCTAACATCTCAATATCATATTTTTACAATATAGTAATTGATATGCAAGATTGTGGCTCTGTTCTCTTTGAGATTTTTTTTTTTTTTTTTTTAATTTCTATTATAAAATTTTCACGGATTTTTCATAAAAATATACTACCTCCGTTCCATAAGAAGGATACCGTTTGAGTTTTGCGTTAATGTATTTTTGTATATTTTTTTTAATTTATACTACGTATTAATATAATAATGGTAAAATTGCTGATAACTCCTCTATGGTTTCGAAATTCAGTGTAAAAGTTGTACTTTAAAAGTCATCTGCACTTGAAAAATTGCATGACACCCGTCATACTTTTAAAAATGTTGCATAAAACTCCACTATCATGAAACTTCCTTGTGATGAGAAGTTGATGCAATATATATATATTTTTTTCATATAATATTTTTTAAAGTATAAAGAGTGTCATGCAGATTTTAACATAATACAGGGATTTACATTTAGTTTCGAAACCACAGAAAGATTTCATGTAACGTTTCTTAAAGTATAAGAGGCACCACACAATTTTTAAAGTAAAGGGAATTTACGCCAAGTTTCGAAACCACAAGGAAGTTATGGACAATTTTGTCTATAATAATAATATAAAAAAATCAACATGCAAAACACTCATGATACTCTTCTTATAGACGAAGATAATTTTATTTATTCTCATAAAATATCATATCAAACTAATATTTAAACACAAACCAAACTATGCATGCGCGTAAAATGTTTCATTTGTGTTTTGCTATAGATCATCTTTATGCATGCCATTTTTTTCGTTTGCTCCGTAAGAATTCATACATGCCCTTCTTGTCGTAGGTACGAATCACCGTATTGGCGAGGTCTTGCAGCTAGACGTATTCAAGTTGCGTGGAGGTATCGAAAGTGGCGACTTTCTCATCAACATTTCCCTTCGCGTACATGGTGATTAATCTAATTTGGCCGTGGAATTATTTCTTTCCGCCGAAACATTCCAATGTAAGAACTCTTGTATATATACATATATATACAATATTGAGAGTATTTCAAGTTGCGAAAACATTATCTATTGCCCTCTTATCCATTTTCGAACGTACGTTGACATTGAGTGGCTATTTATTCGACGTTTGAGTAGGGATAACAATGAATTCGAACAGATAAATCTAGAGTTAAGTAATTTTGTTAGAATCAAGTCTAATTGTCACGTCAAAACTGAATTTTACAGTTTTTTTTTCTATATTATAAAAATTTTATTTTATTTAATATAAATTTTATATAATATAGTTTTTCACATTATATATTGTGTACTTCATCAGTCATGCGAAATTGGTTTTTTTTTTTTTTTTTTTCATGCAATTTTAAAAAATGATTTATATAAAGTAAAATTGCTCATAATATCCATGTAGTTTCAAAATTTAGCTTAAAATATCTCTTTATATTTTAAAAATTGTATGACATCCATCCCATAAAACATTCATGAAACCCACCCCGTGAGAAAATGATTTTCTATCTGCATGGCCAGGGGTTTCATACAATTTAAATATTTAATTATTTATTATGTTAAGTTTATTGCACATTAATATTATTATTATTATTAAATTGAAATACTATATTCTCAATAATTTTCATAACTCATATGTATATATAAGCTTATTTAAAATAAATTATCAATAAAATGATAAATAAATATAAATATATATACATATAAATGTAATACTATAAAATGATTTGTATTTAATATATAGATTTTATTTACTAAATTGTTTTAGTTTAATATTAAATAATTTTTCATTTAAATTATTTTATTGAATAGAAATATTATCAATATACTCTCTTCATTCCGCAAAATTAATTGGTCCATTTTTTTTTAGCCGTCTCGCGAACTTAGTCATATTTCTTTATATAGTAATGATTTGTAAATACTAATTCAAATTACACATTTAACTATATTTCATTAAATTACGTATGTTTATTTTGTGAAATAATATAAAGGAAAAATTTTTGATGTGAAATATAGAGAAATATGTAAAGAATATAAAATAATAAATATGTGTGATATATTAATATTTTTTGGAAAATATGTGTGAGAAAAAACACATTCTAATATCTCTAACTTTTATTGTTTATTTGGTTGTAAATTTAGAAGTTTAGATAGAATTTTAAATAATAAAAATTAAAATAAATATTTAATATGATATAAATAAGTGTTTATCCGATATTTAAAATTTTAAATTCATTTTTAACATAATATAAAAAAGTTGATGTATCCATATTTTGGTATTAATATTTATATATGTAATTGTATATACTTTTAGCATTTTTGGTTTTATATACATAAAATACCATATACAATTTTGATATTTTATAATTTCATATATCAATATATATCGCTAATTCAATATATTTATACTAAAATAATTAATTTTATAATATATTCTCAAAATTATAAAAATTATTTTTAATTTTGATATTTCAACATAAAAAAAAGTATATTATGATAACATACATGCAATTTGATTAGAAATGTCTCGATACGGTATACCAACAATACCGAACCATATTGAATACCATACTGAATTTTTTGATATATTAAATCGAAAAAAGTTCGGTATACCAAATTTGGTACTGTATGCGCTATTTTGATAATTCGGTAATTTTCATCTTTGACATGCCAAATTATTAGTACAATATATCGGTACAGTAAAATAGCATACAAAAAATTTTGGTACAATATATAAGATATGCGGTATAAGTATAACTTTGATATATAATATTTAACCATCCCTACCAACAATCACATTCGAGAAATTTGATTTATTATTTATATTAAAAATTTTATTATTACGACTATTAATTGTATTTAAATTATTAAAATTTATTATCTAATTGTATATATTGATTGTAGATTTATCATCAAAATAATAATTTATTAAAATAAAATAATATTAATAAATAAAATATTAAATATTAAAAAATTAGAATTAAAAATATTTTAACTTTTATTTCAATATTTTATCAAAATAAAAAATATTTAAAATAATATTTTATTAAATACTACATCCATAACTGCCTTCTGATTTCAAAATACAGCATATTTACTTTAAAAATTTAAAAATTGCATAGCGTCCCCTATAATTTTTAAAAAGTTATATAAAAGTGGTTTCAAAACTCAGAGTAAATCTCACTTTACTTTAAAAATTGCATCGCGCTCCATATACTTTCAAAATTATTTTAAATATACAATTCAACTTTTAAAAGGATTAAAAGTCTTTCACATGTGTTTTATTAAATTTGATTTTGTTTTATAGAAAACTTGTCATATTATTATATCTATCATTCGAGTATGTCCAAGAAGAAAAATTGACGTCTATATATCTTCACTTGATCAAATTATGAAATATTATAACAATGCATATATATATATATATATTTCATTTTCAATGATCACATTATATAATATCATGCAATACTTCAATATTTTTCCAATTATATTTAGATCTCAAATAGCACACAGACAACAAATAATTGTAAATCGAGCCTGTAACATCCAAAAACACATTCTATATCTTTTCGAGTTATTTCTTGATATTATGCAAAACAATTATGCTGTAGAACCTTGTGGAAGACGAATAAATTGAATAAAAATTGCCTATAGTGGATAAAAATCATCCATAAGATAATAACTCATAATATATTGATGTTCATTAACGACGAAATACACTTGCAGATTTCTGCCATCCAAAATATCATTAAATAATAGAAATTGATTGAGAACATTAATATCATTACATTACATGTACCTGATGTGCTAAAAAAAAATGTCAAATCCACAAGTTATATAATGCCGCAACTTATAATATAATTGTAAATTTACTATATTTACTTGAAAAGTAACATTTCCAACCGGTTGGATAATTATTTCATTCTCAATTCATACGATCAATGTTTTCTAACATTCCCGAAAATACTACAAAATTATTGCAAAATAAAATAATATAATTTTATTGTACTCTAAGTAGTCTCTTCTCTCCATGCCTCAAATATGTTTACATTTGATTTCCGAAATGATAATTTAGATGAATATTATTAAATACAATAATTTGACAATCAGACGATGCAATGAGAGGGAGAAATAAATATTTATTTATTTATTTTATTTAGGCTGTTTGATGAGATCATATTGTATAAATTTATTATAATTAATTATTTTTTATTTTAAAAATATTTCATAATGTTCAAGACAGACTAAAAAATTAATTTTTTAAAATAAAATTAAAAAAATAGAAAAAAATAAAATAAAATCCATAAATAATTAATATTTTAATCTAAAATTATCAAATTATTCATTTTTCATAAAGAAAAAGTTAATTTTTTTACTAAAATATCTAAATTAATATATAGAATGTGATATTTTCCAAATAAAACCATAAAATTACTAAAAATATATAATACTATAATTATATATACACAAATATACACAAATCGAAATCCTTTTCAAATAAAACTATAAAAACTTTAAAATATCATAATTATATATAAATATATATATATTCCAAACATAAATAATAAAATAAATGAAATATCATAATTATATTTATATACAAATATATTTATCATCAAAATAAAATTATAAAAATAATCTTAAAATATAATATGATATATATAAAATGTTATTTCAAAATTGAGAATCGGCCGCTTGTTATTTACATACAATCGAGCGAAATCAAAAAAGAAATCTAAAGAATCTTTTATATATTTCGAAATCAATAGAGTTCGAACTCAGTTTACCCAATATATCAATTGAAACCAACACAAACACTTAACCTCGACCCAAACCACAAACGACATCTACGGAAACGAACAAACAACGCGAATCGAATCACAATATATGGAAACATCGACATTCTAAACCTAATTTCATCGCGGTCACACAAATACACCACGAACAACAAATAAGGCAAGAATCGAGAAAGCAAACCCATGGACAGTCTCAGAACAAGTCGAACATGATCGCGCACGTCAAATCCTTAGCTTCGCTGGACAAGATCACCGGAAAAATCGCAAGGAATATCAATCTGGGAACGCCATCGGGAGATTAGGGTTTTTAGAGAGAATCGTAGGAGTAACCAGGTTATATATATATATATATATATTAGATTGGTAAGCAGATGAAAGGCCCATAATTAAACCCTCGTTCGAACGACTGCCACCTTGTCTCAACACATATGGGTTAGGTCGCGGGCACGGATCCGGATCTTGGATGAACGGATCAAGTTGAGTGATGTTGGGCCTCCCACAATCACAGGCCCAAAATTTCACATAAAAAGATAGAGATATATCCTCTCTTTATTTAAATTTATAATCACTTTTTTATAAAAATTATCATAAAAAATATTATCGTTTATCTTTTTAGTACTTTTTAACTATAAACCACAAAAACTTCCTATAATGTTTTATATATATTTTAATTTAAAATTCCAAAATAAATGAATTTTTCATTTAAATAAATTAAAAAAAAAACTATTACCTTTTCAAGTTAAAGAATTTGGGGTTTGTTTGTTTAGAAAATAATTGTTTGTTAAAATTCCTAAAGTTCAAATATTTTAATTGTTTATAATTATTAATTTTTAGCACAAAAAAATAAGATAGAAGGATAAATGGATGGGCCCAATGGTGATCTGTGGTAGGCCAGAGTCATTCGGTCGGATGGTTGTTGGGGCCAGATCGGTCGAACGGTTGGCCCTACGGACAGTTTTCATTTGAGTGTGGGCCTTGGAACAGTTGGTCGATTGGTCACAAAAGTTACCGATGTGTAAACGATTTTGGTGGGATGGCTAGTCAGTTGGTCACAAATCTTACCGACTAAAAAACAGTTTCGGACAGTTCAAATCGATAATCGAAGAGGAATCGGTTTTGGGCTGTTACTGACGTGGAAGCAGTTTTTTAGGAAGTTCAAGGGTAACCGCCATGGAAGTGGTTATGGACGATTTGATTTTATACGTATATAAGTAACCTCAGCGATAGAGATAAACATCTTCAATCAGACAAAATTCCAGAGAATCTCATTGGGAACGTCATTTTAGTTTTCTAGTTATCTTTTTCAGCTTTCATTTTTCCCCTTTGTTTATCGCTTGAGGATTTATAGTTCCAAGCTTTAATGTTCAAGTTCGAAATATATTTTTGAATTTTACTTTTTATTTGTTGAAATTTTACCATTAACAAATTGGCGACCACAGTGAGAAAAAGGCAAAATTGTTGATCTTACGTCTAACGAAAATTTCATACAACTCCGATATAGTCGAGTAGTTGCAGGAAACTTTACGGTAGATTCTCAATCCCAAGGCCTCAGAACAACCATCAGGGCCACCACAACACCACCACCATCAATCCTCATTACAATAATCGTCTTCCAAATACCATCCGAATGGTTAAATCATGTTCAAAAAATTAACAATCAGCAAACAACAACCTTACCGATAATATTGCACAAGCAACAAAACTTTCACTTCACTCTGCGCCTTCACTTCCAGGAATGTCCCCACATTTTGTTACTTTTCTTTTTTTTAAAATGATTATGCGCATTAATCTCATTTTAAATTTTTTAATTTAATTTTTTAATTTTAATTTAATTAATTAATTATCTTAATCTATAATTATTTATATTATTAATTAATTATTTTCACTGATACATTTTAAATTATCTACTAATTATATTTATCCTAAATTGGCCCGGACATCCAACTTGGGAATATATTTAATTTTTTATTCGAATAGTGGTTCGAATATGATGTCTAGTAAGAAAATGCTCACCAAGATCATTTCTTTGAACAACAATATCCTGCAAGACACTAAGAGATAGTCTAATGATGTGATAGTGAATTCGTAATCGTAGAATAATAATTTTAAAACCCAAACACCTCAAGTTCGCAAGCTATTAGATTCGACCAAAAGTTTACCTAAAGCGCACTCCGACCAACATAGTGATAGCTTAATGCGACAAAAACCAACAAAAATCGAGACCTAATACATACAATATACACACACATTAACCAATTTAACTTACATACTAATCATCAAATAGCTCAAACCAACACAAGTTTTGAGAGCTAATACAAATAAGGATGGAAACCGATGATCCCAAATACTCATCTTTGAACAGCAACATTTTGTAATGAAATTCGTTTCAACAAACACATTTAGCACTTTAACCGACATAATAATCTTCGGACACCACCATAGAGATTAACTTGACAGAAACCAACAAGAATTCGAGCAAAAATAAAAATAAAAATGGAAACCAAGGATCCCAAATAGTCATTTTTGAAACAATAACATTCTGTAATGAAATTTGTTTCAACAAACACATTTAACACTTTAACCAACATAGGACACCGCCATAGAGATTAACTTGACAGAAACCAAGAAGATTCGAGCACAAATAAAAATAAAAATGGAAACCAATTACCTCAAATGGTCATCACAAGAGCATTTCTTTGAATAAAAACAATTTGTAATGAAATCAAGTTCAACACATCATGAAATTTAACAAACACACTAATTATCGAACACCACCGTAAGGATTACCTCAACAGAAACTAGAGAAAATTCAAATGACACTTCAGATAAGGATAGAAATCAATAATCCCAATTGATCATCAGGAGCATTTCTTCTAGCAAGAACATTCCATAATCAAATCCAGTTGGTCACATTAACCAATTTCATCGACATACTAATCATCTATGATCTAACACCCAAACATGAATTATCAGTCAGCAGCAACAGATGAATCCAAAGCATCCTTCTTTCTATGAAATAAAGAAAAACAACTGCCAGACAACATTTAACACAGATAATTTCACATTATGCCAATCGAAGAGAGAAAATGAATTGAAATCAGAGATATAAGCAAACCACATAAGCAATTTGATATAATTGCAACAGAAACGATCATTGTGCTCACCAAAATGCATCAATCAAAGTATCAAAAGAGGCAATTCAATAATAATAATAATAATAATGATAATAATAATAATAAAGCAGTTAATTGATCAAAAACCCTAATTAGGCGGTGAGGACGACGGCGCCGCCGGCCTCCTTGATTTTCTTCTCGGCGTTTTTCGACACGAGCTTCGCCTTTACCACCACGGGCTGATCTCCAGGCAGCAGCCCCTTCCCGAGGACTTTGAAGTACCCGAACTGCGTGACGTCGATCAACGGAGCTTCGCCGCCCTTCGCTGCCTTCTCCTTCACCTCCTGCGGCACCATAGACCAGAGCCGGTCGATGTTTACGGTAGGGCAGTAGAACTTGTTGCGGAGCTTGTGGAAGTACCGCATGCCGACCTTCCCGAAGTATCCAGGGTGATACTTGTCGAAGAGGATGCGGTGGTGGTGCATACCGCCGGCGTTTCCGCGGCCGCCGGGATGCTTCCGGTGCTTGCCGATGCGACCGTGCCCCGCGCTGACGTGGCCGCGCTTCTTGCGGTTCTTCTTGAATCTGGTCGTCATTCCGGCGAGGATTTCAGGCGATTTGGGGAGAGCTGCGGCAGCGGCGGAACTGGGGAAGGAGAAGTATCAGCGTTGGGGGAATTATATACACAAATGAGTAATTGCTAGGGTTTTCATAGGAGAAGTGTAATGACAAATTTACCCTTCACGTTTGAGGAGTGTTATATAGGTACAAGCGTGTTCGTTTTAGTTTTTTTTTTTTTTTTTTTTTAGTATTATCTCCGTTTTAAAATAATAGTCTCATATTTTTTTCAATTCTAAAATAATAGTCTTATTTTTATTTTTTTTTATCTAACTCATCGCCTTTTTACAAACTTATTTTCACATTTTTACCATAATTACATGAAGTATAACCATTTTTAAAAAAACTTTTATACCCACTATCAATATGATATTATTATTTCTTAATTCTCGTATCCATTTTAAATATCACTATATAGATATTGTATTTTTATATATAAAAAAAATAATTGTATAAAAATATTGAATTGAAACTTAAAAAATATAAGATGTGTTCTTTCAATGGAAAAAAATAAATTTTTTTCTAAACATATTAATATTTAACACATTAGCATTTTTTTTATATTTTCAACGTAATTTTTTATATTTCAAGTAAAAGAAAAAAAAAATATGTATTCAAATTAATTCACTAAACAAACACAACCACGCTACTTTATTTTTATTTTTTTTAATAATTTTTATAGAATATGTAGCTACATATATACTATTATATTTTTAAATTTATGATGATTGTTATATTAATACTTATATGGATATTTAATAATGTATGATGTAAACATAAATAATTATTTTTTAAGTTTATTTCATTTGTTATTTTAAAGATATTTGTTAGTAATATACTTAACGATTAACAAGAATATATTTATATTTTAATAAAGATTTGTTTAGATATGGTATAGAAAATTTAATTTGGTTTGGTGAATAAGTATTTAAATATAATAATATAATAGTAATTTTTATGTATTACTTACACAAAATATAAAATTTAAATAGTCTTTTTCCGTCCAGTTTAAAATGGATCATTCAGAATTTTGTAGCAAATTAAGAAATAATTGTATTTTCTTACTTAGTAGAAGTGTAAGAGATTTTAACATTTTTGTCTTTTAACTTTATGAAAAAAATAATTGTATGTGTAATGATATATTTATAATTTAGGTAAAAATTAAGGGTATTTTGGTATTGGTGTATGATTATTTTTATTAAAATAGGAAAGAGATACTTTGGAATGAGACGAACGAAAATAGTAAAAATGATACTTTGAGTTGGGATGAAGAGAATATAATACTCCCTTTGTTCCATAACAAATTATTTATTTTTCTATTTTAATCTGTCTCATAATAAAGTATTAATTTTTTTGAGTAACTGTATTCTCCGCCTAATATTACAAATATCCTTACAACTTATAATATATTACATAAATACCACTACATATATATCACACAATAGTAATAAGATTATTTTAGTCATTTCTATTTTATTTCTACATCATCCCAATATAATACTAATATTTCTAAAAGTCCGTGCAAAAAACAAACTGATACCTACTTATAGAACCTACTTATAGAACGGAGATATATTTACTATAAAATTGAAAAATGGATAAAAGTATATTTGTTTTGTGAAATTGTTAGAATGAATATTTTTTTATATAAAATATAAAAAATTGTATAAATAATATAAAAATAATAAATATATATATAGTATATTAATTTTTTTTTAAAAAAATATGTATATCATTTTTTTCAAAAAAAAAAAAAAAAACACACACCATAAGTTAGCAAAATTTTAATTTTTATAGTTTCTGTAAATGTAAAACAAATATAATTTGATAATTACCTTATTTATATTTTTTCGAGTTTTTATTTATTTATTTAATTATTTTTTGCAATTATAATTTGATAATTAATCTTTATTCATGTTACATTGCAAACAACCCAAAACTTGCAAAACAGTTTTAAAATATATCTAAAATCGAAGCTCTATTGTTTATGAATTATATTATACACAAATATTATCAAAAAAGGGCATACAATTAACATGACACAAAGTAATAATTGAATTTATATCAAAATTTTCGAACCAATTATATATACTTGTAAATATCCGACACGATAATAAACAAATCAAGTTAAATTGTAACCTCAACTCAAACCCAGACATAATAACCTAATTATAATATATTAATATTAATTAATATATTTATTATATATGTAAAATAATTCTAATTTGATAATTAGTCTACATATTAATTTAAACTAAATTCAATCTTCAATAATCCAACTTAATTTACTATACATTACACTAAAACTAATAAAAATTAATATATCATGAGATCTCAACAAAAAATAATTGGATTTAAATAAAAAATTTCAACCCAATTATATCTATGGATCAACACAAACCTGACAAGATAATAAACAAATCGAATTATAATTGAATGATTTAACCTATTTAAAGTATTTAACCAACACAAAATACAATATACAAACATAGAAATGATCATCTATCCGAAAGATAAACATTATACCATTATCATATATATAAACACAAGATATACATATACATAAGAATTCTTTAATAAATATAGACCCCTACAAATATCCTTAAAATTTAAACTTATTTATATTAATATCTCACTAAATCAAATTAAAATACTATGTGCAAATAAATATCTACATACAAAAAAAATAAAAAAATTAACAACTATTTAAATACAATATTTCTTAAAACTCTATATACTAAAACTAAATATAGTTCTCGTTCTCCAGATTTATTCTCACTTTCTTGTTTTTTTTAAGTTGTCATCCAAAGTAAAAGAGTAGCACCCTTTCTTCTTTTTATTATCATTTTTTTTATCCTAATTAATATAAATGCAGCATATCAAACTCACAACACATAGCAATAATAAACACAGTACATAGCACTATGTATCTCAGCAAATATGACACATTAGTACAGCTCAACACAAATAAAATCACATGACTTCTATATAGAAACATCCTTCATTATTTTTATTTTAAATGGACTATATATGAAAATCATTTGGTATCTCAACCATTGTCACATAATAGTCTTGTATTTGTGCACGACACGCACTCATATATTGTGAATTAACCGTGCGCGCTGAGTGTTGCACACAAATACAAAAACCATTTCAACGACAATGAATGAGATACGAAACAATTTTCATATAATGTTCCTTCGACAAGACAATCACATAAACAAACAAAATCATAACCACAGGATTCCTAGGCAATCAATTCAGCGCTGTTATTACAACATAGAGATATGTACACATGCATAAGCATTCATCGATATTTGGTATCACACATAAACCATCCCACCTCTTTAAAAGCTTTCCACACAGATTGGTAATGGATATGCAATTCTCATAAGGAAATAAAACCTGTGCTCCAGTAAATCAATAACCTCTTCTGCCGCCAATAGGAATAGCATTCGAGCCAGAAATCGAAGAGCGGTTGCCAAAACCACCTCGTCCTCTAGATCGGAAGTTGCTTCCTGAACCCGCCAAAAAGAAGATTCAAGTTAGGAAATTTTGATCCCCGTCAATATAAGAAGAACGAACGTGGAAATAAACATTAATTGACACATTCCCAATAATCAAGAAATTAGAAAACATTTCTAAGGACTTAGATGTGTTCTCACTGAGTCAATAACTCTATAATCATTTAGCAATGACGCACAGACTTTCAAACCGAGAATATAACTATCTTCCTTTCACAAAAATATTCTTTTTTTTTTTTTTTTTTTTACGACAGATTAAAATTAAAACTTAAGAATGCAATATTATTTGGCCATTCCTTTGACTTCATTTCAATTTTTTTGCTCACAATATTCACCTGCCTAGAAAAATGAAATTAACACTGAAACTTCTGCGTAATATTATTTTACAATCATTCTACCAAAATTTACTTTCCAAATCAACAAAAACACATTACTTGACACACTCATCGAACTCCAAAAATACATCAAAATATATCAAAATTTTTGGCATGTTTCATAAATTTTGGAAATAAACCACTTATGAAACACCAATTAATCAGCAATTCTTACCCCCCGAACTAGGACCAGATCGAGCCAAAGCAGAAAGTTGCGGAGGTACAACTTGTCGTGCTTGTTGCAATATCTTAATTAGTCCCCTTGCATACTTGGCATTTCCATGTGTAAAAAATGTGAAAGCAGTTCCTTTGGCTCCAGCACGACCAGTTCGGCCAATCCTGTGAACATAATCCTCAAGGCACGACGGAAAGTCATAGTTGACAACACATTTAATGTCCTTCACATCTACAGAAAATAGTAGAGTTAGCATCAGAGGTAAAATTGAGAATGTCGCTACCTTATCCCTGCTGTTCTAAGATCAAAAACTGATCGTGCTTAAGATACTACACATCTCTTAAATGTGCCTACCTTACTTTGCAGGGATAAGGAGCCTGCTCATCCACAATTTTTTTCAATAATCATTGTCCAATCAATCAATAATCTTGTATGAGTCTACCGGCTGTCGCAAACTTCCAGGTCCCTAGTGTGGATGGGCACTTCAAATAATAATGCAACTTGGAAAGAAAGGAGGAAGGCAACATAGTGGAAGAATTTTACAGGCATTCAGTGCCCTTCTGTAATGCTTATTCTTAGGTGATGGAGAAAGAAAAAGAAAATACGAACAACAGTTGACAAGACCTAGTTTTCGTTAAGCTCTGATAGCAGTCAAAAGTCCATGGGGCGGCATACTAGGGGCGGAAATCAGATCTAAAAAGGTTTAGTAGGTCAGGTTATGACTCGAGCAATATGAAGATATCCATCGTATCAAACTCAATCCACCAAACTGCAATGGGTTAATATGGGCTGACTTGAACTTAATCTTAAGTTTTCAGGTCAACCAAAGGCCTGGAATATTACAAGACGAATCGCAGAATAAAGTAATAGAAGAGCCTAATAAAGATTTCCAAACCAAACATAAACTAAATTACGACAATGGAAGACTGAAACATAATGTATATGTCAATCATCTATCTAATTTTAACAAACAGTACAAACTCAGTCAAGAATATCCAACAAATATATAATAGATAATAAATCAGTAAAACAATTATATACATTAATATTTAGTTCAATTGTATTTAAAAATGGGTTGAGAGTTGAGCCAAAATTTCACACAAAACTCACCTATTGTCTTTGGGATTTATTACGCTAAGCCTGATTTTGAATCAAACCGAAACATCCAAATCCAGACCCATTACTTCTGTGTTACCTTTATGTTTTTGGGTCAGAAGAAAATGCCACCCCCAATAAGGATGTATAAGGTAAATAGACCTTAGGGAAAAGTAGATCAAATTGACTCTTATCTTCCCGATATAAAGCAACCTCCCAACTAATGGTCAAATCTCCGACCTATTTCTAGGTCATGACAAGGTTAGCACACCAAGCTTCAGAGGTCATGAAGGCTTTGTGTTTAGACACCAAATTTTCAAGGTATGGAAGGTTTAGGGTTCAGGATCAAAATGTTTAAGGTTAGGTACTGTATATCCTCCCTTCTGTGACGCATAAAGAAACTCCCGTCAGACACAACAAAATGGTTGTGATCAGATATAGGACACTACAGGAAAAGCATTTGTGCCCAACCCACAACTTCTTCAGGAACATGGAGAACAGCCGGAAGACTTGCCTACGCAGTTGTAAGATCCAAAACAAGATATGCTAAACCCTAAACTGTAAGACTTATCCTACCAAGGCCACGAGCAGCCACATCAGTGGCAATCATTACAGGACTCCTGCCAGTTTTAAACTCGGCCAGGACCCAATCCCTCTCATCCTGGCTTTTATCACCATGAATGGACAAAGCCGGCCATCCATCCATTCTTAACTGTCGAGTGACTTGATCACATCCTTTCTTTGTCTCCACAAAAATTAAAATTTTACTCCCATCCATCACATCCTTCAGCAATTTGATCAATCTGTTAAAGGATACCCCATAAGAATCAAGAACCTCGTTAGGATACAACTGGAGGTACAACCAAATTCACCTGTTATACTTCTCCATAATTCACCTGTTATACTTCTCCATATCGGTAATAACTTCAATAACTTGTTGTATAGATTGATTCGCTTTCAGATCTGGAGATCCAATGGTAACCTACAATGCAATAGAATAGAGATTATGTTTCTAATTCAATATTAAAATTGAGAAGTTTTCGCACAACCCTTATTTTACAACCAAAGAATTATCATTGACATTGAGCATATTTTACATATTACATTGCTGCTCAAGGATAAAATGTAAGACAAACCTTGTATGGATTTTGCAGGAATTGTCTTGCTAAAGATTCAACCTCCCTTGGCCATGTAGCACTCCAGTACAAGGTTTGCCTATCAGGTCGGATCTGGATTTTGAGAAATCGTTAAACTGAATACATCAGAACTTTCCAAACAAGATGCTATAAACAAGAACAGGAAAATTAGGTCCATAATATAGAGAAAGAAAGTAAGTAAATACATGAAGGTATTCATAAACTACTGTGTGTGTGCAAGAAAACTGCATTTAACAGCATACAATAGGAAATTTATTGGTTCAGTCTACGTACAACAGATCAGACAATATTATGTGTATTATATTTGCTATATCTGAACCACGTATCCGAAAAATTGATAAGCTACGTGGGCCCCCTGAATCTGAACATGCAGCCAACAACTTTCTAGGAGTAATGGAGCACGCAAACAGGTCAAAAAGGCGACTAAAAAGTGTATTGGTAATAATGATTGATATCTATTGCCGATTCTGTGACATTGTAGGACACAAGAGACCATGAACATGACACGTATAGGGACGCACGTACACGTACGCAGAGGTTATTAATGCCAATTTGCAAAGATACATAACTGAAAGTGACATAGGCAACTGGCTTGATACCTGAGAAATAATTTTTCTAATTTGGGGTTCAAAACCCATATCAAGCATGCGATCAGCCTCATCTAACACGAGATACGTAACTCTTCTCAAGTTAGTATGCTGAGCTTCCAGCATATCAATTAATCTTCCGGGTGTAGCAATGACGATTTCAACACCTGGCACAAGAATTAAGTAGAATATATTTCCCCAAAAGATCAGCACAATAAATTCAAAACAGTAACAGCACAGAAGAATGACGAATCTGAGTCACCTCTTTTAAGGTCGCGAATTTGCGGCCCTTTAGGAGCACCGCCATATATACAGGTACTTTTTATGTGCGCATATGATCCAAATTTGGCAGCTTCTTCTTGAATCTGAACAGCCAGCTCTCTTGTAGGTGCAAGCACTAAAACTATTGGCCCTTCACCATGTGCTGGATTTATATATATTAAGCCAAAAGAGAATTAGAAACATACGTTTATAAGGTTTTGTGGCTTTATCAAACTACCAGTTTCTGAATGAACTTACCCAGCCTCGGCTGAGCACTAACATGAACAAAAGCAGGAAGCAAATATGCCAAAGTCTTTCCAGAACCAGTCTCAGCTATGCCAATCAGATCTCGACCCTTTAAAGCCATGGGCCATCCTTGTGATTGAATAGGAGTCGGCTCCACAAAACCCAATTTAGATATGACTTCAAGGCAGTAATCTGCAAGCCAAATACCCATTAAACTAACTACACATAGAAAATTTAACAGAAAAGGAGAATCAGGCATAAAGCTTCAAGAGATCGGCAAATGCAATAAGACAATTGGGGCACGCCATCGCTAATTTATTTAAAAGGGGCAAAAAGAAACAAAGAAATACCAGGGAAATTTGCTTCTTGAAACATCCTAATTGGCTTAGGGACATCACGGCCTTCAATGGTGATTTCCTTCCTTGCACGAAACATAGAGACCTCTTGCTCAGTCATTGCCCTTACAGACGGACTCTCGACATAAAAATCTTTCTTAAAGGCAATCAACCCTCTGAAATCTGGCTTCGGAAGAGAAATATTATCCAAGTCATCCCCTCTTGGCCTACCACCATGGCCTCCATCAAAGCCACGACCATCTCTACCTCCACCCCGCCCCCTGCCAAAGCCCTCACGGGCACCACCCCTATCTCCACCACGATCATAATCCCTACTGGAGCCAAAACCTCTCCCATCACTTCTTCTATCTACATAGTCTCTACTACCTGATCCTTTCCCAAACCCTTTTCCTCCACTATCCCGTCCACCGCTATGTTCAGTCTCACGATGCCCAGAAGGACCTCCATATGGAATTGGAGCACCGCGTTCGTAGCCTTCGGCACCACCAGGAGCATGAGTCGGAACCCCCATCGGCGGCTGCCCCGTCAAATCACTGAAAACAATAAACAGAAAGAATCTCACCAAATAGAACCACAATTCGCTGCGGCAACTTCATACAACGCAGTGCAAACACAACTACAGTACAGACACTCAAAAACAACCGGTAACTCAGCATGAGACGAAGCTTCGTACGTCGCATCCCATTGGAAGTAAATTGAGCGGTGCGAGCAACAAACATAAAGATTATTACATTATCAACAAAGGATTCAAGAACAGCAACTTATTAGTATACTAGAATTCTTAGAAGCAACAGAAGATACTGGAAATCGTTCAACACCAAGAACCTCAAAACAATAAATTGTAGAAAGAAACATAGAATAATACCTCCGGCGCTGACGATAAGAGCCGGCATCGTGTTGTCTGGGATCGTAGCGGTCGTTAAACATTGCGAGAAGGTTTCTGGGTTGAAATTTGGGGTTAGGGTTCGCAGTTTTGAGAAGAAGCTCCAGAACCTTAAATGAATAGGGAAAGAAATGCTTCGAACCGGCGTAATATAAAAGTTGTTTTTCTTTTGTTTTTTTAACGCTGTTTAATGTTTAGATAAATATATATATATATATTTCTTTGTAAAATTGTAAAAATACCAGGTGTTTGTTTTGTACTCCCTCAGTGTTTACGTTGCCGTTTTCTGTTCGTCCTACGCATTATTTTTTTTTTTTGAAAAATAATTATATATTTTAATTTTATTTTAAATTTTTTAATTTTAATTAAACTAATTAGTTATTTTCATTTTAATTTATAATTATTTATATTATAGAATAATTATTTTACTAATTACATCCCTCCTAAAACACCGATGTCTACAGTATATCAGACTCAGTATCTGAGATGGAGGGAGTATTTAAATTTAAATTCAATAATAATATAATAATCATAAATTTTTTTTATTTTTTATTTTTAGTTTTCATGTATATTATACTCCTCCGTTTAAGGAAAATTAAATAACTTTGGTTTATTATGTTAAAGTGAAACATAAAAAGTCTCATAAGGATGATTGATAGAATGAACTCATAAGATCATATGATTCAAACTTCAATCTCTATATTATTAAAAACAAAATGGTAAAATAATATTTTATTATAAATCGAATATATACACACACAAAAAAAATTACTCCATTGGTCCACTAGTAAATATTTTACATTTAAATTTTTGCATATTCATCTTTAAATATTAATTATTATATCAAAATATAATACAAATTTAAAAAAAAAAATTGATAAAAATACGTCTTATAATACTAATAAAACGAAGTTTATACCAAAGGACAGAGAGAGTATTATAGAGATTTTCTACTTTGCACAAATTTCAGAGTTATAATTTTATTTTTTATGAATTTTATTTTAAATTTGTTTATGGTATACAAATATATTTTTGAATATTAGTATAATTGTAGTTGATATTTATTTTTATAAGAATATGTATAAACACTATAATAATAATGGTGTTTTTACTCGTGAGATTTTTATGTTGGTTTTACTATTTTAAAAAATATTTATCTAAAAAATATCAAATTAAATATTTATTTTAAATTAAAATTTAATTTTATATTCAAAGCAGTTAATCGATAGTAGTCGTAAAAAATTATGATTGACGGTTTAATTAGAAAAGTCAGTAGAAATTGATTTAATAGTAGAGTTTTCAGCATTCTCAAAAAAAAAAATTAAGCTATCTTGCCCATATTCGAATAATTAACGTGAAAAGAATGTCAAATTGAAGCCGATAAGATTAAGAAAAAGTTGAAAAAGAAGTTGGAAATTAATTAAAAATAATTGATGTTCCTAAAGAAAAAATAAATAAAGAAAAAAATTGAAGGAAAAGATAATTATGCGCTTTGAATGATCCCATCGGCCTTGGAATTTTTTTACTCTATCCGTGTCTCAGATACCATGTTCACGTTGCCGTTTCTGTCCGTCCCACATTTCATGTCATTTTCTTTTTTTTTTAAATGATTACACACTTTAATCTCATTTTAAATTTTTTAATTTTAATTAAACTAATTAGTTATTTTAATCTTAATTTATAATTATTTATATCATAGAATAATTATTTTCACTAATACATTTTTAATTATCTACTAATTACATCACTCCTAAAATACCATGTTTACATTGTAGCAAACACAGTATTTGGGAGGGAGGGAGTATTTTTTTTTATTCTATTTTTTAATCTTGTTGATAAATCATTTATCTCTATATTTTTATCCAACAACTTCCATCTTCCAACAAACAACCTTCTCATAACCACATTACCAAATCCACGAGCTGACCTCCTCTATGGGCTGCTTCACGGGCTGGACTGGTTCGGATTGGGCCATTAGTGTTTGTTTGGGCTTATAGCTACAAGAAATAAGTTGGGTAAGTTTTGGGCCTTTGACTAATATCCGACTTGGGCCAATTTTGGATTTGATAGCAAAATAGCTCCCCATGTCACCTTCTAATCATCGAGCTCACATCTGAGCTTGTTCTTATGGACGGTTGTAAGGCTGGGCCGGCCCGAGAAAGTAAAAAAAATCTATTATTTTCTTTGGACATTCTTTATAAGTATTTGACATTCATAGTGTGAAACAGCTTCTCACATCACATACCTAATCGAGTCCATACCCGGACCAGCTCTTATGGGCTGCCGTAAGACTGGCCGGCTAGAGAAGGTGAAAGGATCTGCTCATTTGAGGTCTTTGGTTGATTTTTTTTTTTTTCTTTTGATAATATGAGAACACGCAGCTGCTACCAGAAAGTATTCACTGGGTAAATCATCGGTCGAACCTAATACCTTGCAAACTAGGCCCGACAAAGCAAGTCACACTAACCGAACCATGTGTGGCATAATCTTCGTTAGGTAAGCCGGTGATCTAGACTTTTTCTTTTTGGTGAATTACAGATACATAATTATATTACACTAAATAACTATCTTAATTCAAGATTTTTTACTATTTAACACCAAAACTCCAAATTAAAACCAACGTTGTTTTGTTTATCGATGTCATACCAAAAAACCGGTTTTTTGGCTCTATTTATTAAAAATATCAAATTGTATTGTGTTACAATACCAAAAAATAATCAGTATGGTATCGTATCATACCAAAAAATTTGAAATTTTTTATATTGTTTTTATACGGTATGCTCGATATTTCAGTAATTCGATATTTTTTCATCTGTAATTTTAACATACGAAATTATTGATATGGTATCGGAATGGTAAAATATCAAATCAAAAATTTGACACATAATACGATATGTGATATAAATTTTGGTACGTCATAACGAATCATTCCTACAAACAAACCAATTCGAAAAATTTTATGTATTTTTTATTTTAAAATTTTTATAATTACAATTTTTTATTGTATTAGTTGCATTTAATTTATTAAAATTAATTTATTTTTTAATTATCTAATTACTTAGATTTAGAATCGATACACTAATTATTTTTAAAAATAATTTTGGTACATAAATATTCAATATTAAAAATTTAGGGCAAAACAACAAAAAAATCGGTTTACCAAATCTGCTGAAAACCCCCCTAGTCCTAAAACTTCAAAAAACCTACTCGTGGTTTGTAAAACGATACACACTCGCTCCCCTTTTAAATCACATTGACGCCCGTTAAATTTTAGCCTTATCAGGCCTTTATGCCCCTTTCTTCTTCTCTTCTCCACAACTTCTTTCTTCCATCTTCTTTTATTCCCCAAATTCTTCATCACTCATCTTTTTTCTCAATTTTTCTCTTCTTCTTTAATTCTTTTTCAGGTCATAGCAGTTCCACCCGCTTTTTTATTTTCTTTCTTTTTCCTCAATTTTTCTCTCTTATTCTCCAATTCTTTTTCAGGTCATAGCAGTTCCATCCATTTCTTTTCTTTGCTTCTTCTTCATCTCCAATTGTTCTTTGAAGAATGGAGAATTACAAAAGAATAAAAAGAGAAAGAAGATGACGGGTAGAAAGGGAGCAAGGAAGAAGAAATGAAGAAAAGAAAGAGAATAAAAAAGAGAAGGGAAAGAAGAAGATGAGAAAGAAGGGCCGGACATTAGGTTTTTTTTTTTTTTTTTTCCAATTTTATTTTTCTTTCTTTATCTCTTTTTCCCCAATTTTTTTTTTTTTTTTATTTTTTCTCCTTAATTATTTCGTACACGGTTGCAACTAGCAGCAAGTTCTTTCCTTCTTCTTAGATTGATTTCAAATCTTGATGTCAAATTGAATTTTTAGATTTCTGGGGTTGGTAAAAATAGAAGAAGTATTTTTGGGTTTGGTAAAACAGAAGAAGAAATCGACGGTGAATAATAACTTACGCATTCTCATCTCCATCTCCATGTCCAATCAATTAATTGTGATAAATTTAGTAAAATTTATGTTGTGTTTAGCGGATTTAATATAAATAAAAAAATGAATGGGGAAGAAGAAGAAAGAAGAAGAATAAAGAAGAAGAAGAACGAAGAAGAAGTTGGTGTAAAAAATAGTCAATAAGGGTATTTTAGTAATTTTATACAGAAATATCACTCTATGAACCAAAAATCGCATTTTAGGCGCGTGATATACCACTTTCGTTAGGATTAGGGGATTCTTTGCAACATTTTACAAATCACGGGTAGGTTTTTTGGAATTTTAAGACTACAAAGGATTTTCAGCGAATTTGGTAAATTACGGTGGATTTTTTGTTGTTTTGCCAAAATTTAAAAATATAATATTTTAATATTTATTTTATTATTTCATCTAAAAAATATTTTAAATTAAATGAAAATATGTCAAAGTTGACACAGTGTTATTTATTTAATTTATTAATTTTAACACGGATCAACTTGCTATTATATATTCTCCATTATCTTATCATTATTATCATTATCATTCCACAATAAAAATATCTTGAGGCAATAATCTTACAAAAGTGGCAGTGGAATTGTGGACCATAATTCCACCACAATATTATATGTATATTTATTTATATTTGGTTAAATTATATAATATTTTCCTTCCGTTTATTTAATAATTATACATTTATTTTCGCACAAAAATTAATGAATATTAAATTTTAATGATAGTTGATAGTACTTTTATATGTAAAAATTATTTAATTTTTATAATGTGTAAAAATTATTGTAAATATAAATATAAGGATATTTGTAATATAAAGTAATTTATACTTAGTTTAAAAAAAAAAAAAATAGATACTTTTTGTTTAGATGACAGAAAAATAGCAATATGTGTACTTACCAAGAGGACGACGGGGTATAAAGCAGTTCATATTTTATTTATTATATGAAACTTTGTTGTGTAAAACTAAAATGTGCACAAAAAAAAAAAAAAAAAAAAAACATCCCGTAAAGAATGATCTGGTGGTGTAGGGGTAGTAACTGCGGGTTCCTACGTCATAAAAAAAATGCACAAAATACAATTTTCGTTCAAAATTAATGTTATTATGAATAGATATCTAATTATGTAAATTCTATATAAATAAAAATGGTAAAATATCTAAAAAAATAATATTTTTTGAATAAAATTATTAACCAAACAATTTATCAACCATTCGGTAGTAGTTTTATTAAAGATGAACCATTACTTAATTTTTACAAAAAAAAAAAAAAATATATAAAAATTATAAAATAAAATATTAATCAATTATTTAGTTTATTCAAATAAAATTATTTAATATATCTGATCTCATTTATTTATATAAATTTACATAATTAAATATGACATCAACTTTCGGACCAATATAGTACTTTGTGCAGATTTTAATTTAGCATAAGAAATTTAACATAACAAATAAAATACGAGATATTTTGTATTTTTATACTAAAAGACAATTGAGTATTATGCAATTTATCATATATTTTGATGACGTAAGAATCTACCGTTGTTATTCTTCGTAATGCTTTTGATAAATCTCCGATAGAATTTAAAAGATCAAGTCGTTTAGAGGATTTGAACTCATGACCTTACAATTCAACCTTCACTCTATTAGGTCCGGTTTGGTTCAAGTGTTGACTGAGTCAAGTCAGCGTCGTACTGGTTTGACCCAATTAACACAAATTTATAAATCAGACATCACATAAAATAAAAACAGCGCATATGGTAATACAATATACTTCCTCAGTCCTAATTCAAAATAGTTTTTTTTATCATTTTTGTTTGTCTCATTTCAAAGTATCTCTTTTATATTTTATAAAAAAATAATCATACACTAATATCAAAATACCTTTAATTTTAATTTAAATTACAAATATATCATTATACATACAATTACTTTATATATAAAGTCAAAGGAAAAAAAATATCAAAAACCCTTACACACTTTCATTAACTAATAATTTTTTTAAAAAATTTATTTCAAAACTCCAAAAGACCCATTTGATTTAAAACGAGAGGGGTACTAACATATATTCTAACAATATATTATAATAATATAATACACACAAGATGCTATTAATTTTCAATACAATAAATATATTCATACAGTAGAATATACTATATATACTGCACAACACATATTTCTATATAATACAAGATTTTGTTTTCTATTTTTTGATTAGATGTTGATTCCCTGATGTTAGGGTGTTGACTCGGTCAAACTGCACGATTAAGTCAGCACCCTAACGGTCGCCCCACTAGGTCACCCGTGAGGGATCACAATGACTATGAGTGTGTTTGACTATTAGTTGATAATTTTTAGCCGTTAGTTGATTCAATTAGTTATTATTTGACTCAATTAATTATTAGCCGATTCATTTAACTATTAATTTATTTAACTAACTGATTCAATTAATTGTTTGTTAAAGTGTTTGATAAAATAACATTTTAATATTATTGTTTATATATAAAATAACAATACGAGACATTTATATTTTATTTTCTTAAAAATTTAATTGTGTTATTTTGAATTTAAAAACTTTTTAAAAAATTGTTATTAATTATTTGAAATTGTAAAAATACCATAAATTATTTATTTTTCTTGTTGTTAGATTTGAGAAAAATAAAAAATATGAATATTTTTTAGAATAGTGTAAAATATAAAATAATACTCCTTTCGTCCAAATCAAATGGGCCGTTTGGAGTTTTGTAGTAGATTAAAATATTATATTATTATATTAGTTAGTGAAAGTGTTTAAGAATTTTTGATATTTTTACCTTTTGACTTTATCTATAAAGTAATTGTATATATAATAATATATTTGTAATTTAAATAAAATTTAAAGATATTTTAGTATTAATGTATGATTATTTTTTCTAAAATAAAAAAGTAATACTTTTAAACAATATTATGATTACCCGGTTTGTTTAGTTTTGATTTGGCATATTATATTTATTTTTATTTAAATAGTATATTTTATTGTATTTTTTTTTATTAAAAATCACACAAAATGAATGATATTAATTTCGATTTGAAATTACAACTAAACACCTTTAAAATTTCCAAAATCATCTCAAAATTATAAAAGATCAAGATGACGTTGGTAGTTTGTTTTGTATTTTGGTTTGAAATTTTTTTTCTTTATATATATACTCCCTCCGTCTTAAAAGAGTTGTCTTGTTTTTTCATTTTCGTTTGTCCTAAAACAATTATTTTGTTTTCTTATTTAGTAACTGTGGTCCCCACTTTATAACAAAATTATTCATACTTTTTCAAACTATCCCTAATTATTACTCTAATATACTTTTTAAAATCTTTCAAAAAGTAAGGGCATTTTAGTCTTTTACATTCTACTTTATACTAACTTTTAATTAAAATACTATTATTTTTAAATTCTTGTGCCAACGCTCAATAAGACGTCTCTTTTATGACTGAAGGAGTATATAAAATATAAAAAATTGTGTAAATAATATAAAAATAATAAATGTATATAGTATACTAATTATGTTTAGAAAAATAAGATTTGAAATTTTTTTTTGGTAAAAGAACAAAGTCGTCGTATCCGACCCATATCCCTCACACTAAACACTACACTAAACCCATTTCCACTCATAAAGTTCTACTCTCTCTCTATATCTCTATATATATATATCTTCTTAATTGAGAAAGGGCACTATCTATATATAGAAGATGGAGGGAGAGAACCCTTTTCTTACATATCATAGCAAAACGAATCGAATCGAATCGAATCGAATATTAAATTTTTCTGAGTTAAATTTTATTCGGATCGAATCTTGAATCCGATGTTAAGCATGAAGGGTGTGTGGTTGGTGATGCTCAAGCTAACTATGATCCTCATATTTGGTGGTTGGATTGCCCTTTGGCTTCTCAAGCCGACGCAATTTTGGACGACAAGATGGAAACGAGTCGAAGATGCCGCCTCATCCACCATATTCGGATACAACGGTATATATATTTTTTAGTTTATTTGATATTTAGTATGTAATTTTTTAAAAATAATACTCCATCCGTCCACAAATTAATGTCCTAATTTCCTATTTGGAACATTAAATAACTATTGTCCTATTTTATTTTTTAAACACAAATTTTATATTTTTACCATTCATTTATTTATTACTTTTGATCTCTATCATACAATTAAGGGCAAATTTGTCAATTCATAACAAAAAGACTATCATCTAAAAAACCGTGAAAATATACTTTAGAATAATAGAAATTGGACGGAAGGAATATATACAAAAAGAGAAAAAAAAATAAAACTACATAAGTTTATGTTCTAAACAAAGAGAACATCATATCCATCAATGGAGTCTTAATGTGAAAATCACCCCTCACCTTAGCATAGAGTGTATTTTGGAGCTCTTCTAAATAATAATAGAATTTTAAATTTAAAACCATTATTTGATATGATATACATAAATATTAATCTAATATTTTGAATATAATATAAAAATAAAAATAATTAATATTTTTGATTTTATATTTTAGAAAATCACAAATAATCAAAATTTATTCAAAACAACCACAAATTTAAATTTAAACAAACCTTTTAAAAATAAAATAAGGGTGACCTTCTTTTTCCCCCTTTAAATTATTTAGTATTTATTTATTTTTTCTTAAAAAGGCACAATAAAAAAATAAAAAATAAATTACTTAAGAGTACACCTATGCTTGAAATATTTAAAAACCACTACTACAAATAAAAGGGTTTTTTTTTTTTTTCTTTCCTCTTAAAAAAAAAATTTATTATTATTTAATAGTTTATTCACTTGTATTTTTATAAATAATGTTTCACGTGTTCAATATACTTTTTCCCTAAAAAAAATAGTAGTAAAACTTTGCAATCAATATTTTTTATAAAAAATATTATATCGAATATTATATTCAACTTAAAAAATATATATTAAAAAAATTACATACGATAAAGAGAAAAGGTTGCACACAGCACAATTTTTATATTGTAAATAGCTCAGCGTTGTTTGTTTATTTTTTTAATATAATAAATAAATAAAAATAATTATTTGATCATAATATAAAAGATAGAAATTAAGAATCTTTTTAAAGATAGAAAAAATAAATTATTGAAAAAAAAAAAGTGTTTGAAACAACCAAACAAACTTGTAATTATTTCAGGATAAATTGATATTTTAGTCCCGTAAATAGATTTTTTTCTTATTTTAGAAATTTTTCGCACATTTAGTCTTTCGGCGAGGAAGATGTCTGCGTGGCATGTCGGAGTATACGTATCCGCCAGATCAGCACTACCATGCGGACACATGACTAATTTTTTTTTTATTAATTTTAAATTTATATATTTTTGTCCTTTTTCTATTTGGTCTATTGGAAAATAAAAAATACATCAATTTATAAAAAAATTAAAATTATCTATGTGGCTGTTAAGTCGATTGACCTGGAGGACATATGTCCTCCGATGTGCCACAAAGGTGTCACACGGTCATTTATGGCGCCAGAAAATTAAATGCGCAAAAAATTTTCACTTATAAAATTGAAAAGAAAGAAAAAAACAAACAAACAAACAAATTTACCCTTTGTTTTTATTATGAGTAGTTTATATTGCATAGAATAATATGAAATTGAGTATCCGATGCCACAACATTTAAAATAGAATAAATTGATTTTTTAGTCTCGTAATTAGACTTATTTATCACTTTAATTCCGTAACTTGAGCATGTCTTAAAATAGTCTGTAAATGAAAATCTTTTGTAATTTAATCTTCAATGTCTACGTGGCATATACGTGGCAGATTGACGAACACATATCGGCCAGGTCAGTGTCATGTGGCTGACACGTGTCGGTCACGTGAACTATTTTAATTTTTATTTTTTTAAATATAAAAAATTACAAATATAAAAATAAAAATAAAAAAAAATAAAAATTATCTATATGTCCGTCAAATCAACGTCATGTGACCTTTAATAATTTATATATTAATTTATTTTTTAATTATATTTTTTATTTTTTATATTTTATTTTTAATATAAAAAATATAAATTATCTACGTAGCAGCTACATAGCAATGACCTGACGAATATGTGGATAATATTAATTTTTTCTTTAAATTTTTTAATTTTAATTTTTATATTCTTTTAATTTTATTTTTTGTATATTTAATTAATTAATTTTTTTTATTAAAAAAAATTAAAAAAGAAAAAATTTTCACATGACGGACACGTGTCAGCAACATGGTGCTGATATGGCAGACATGTGTCCTCCAGCCTGCCACGCAGATGCCCGCATTTGAAGACTAGATTGAAATTTTTTTTCACTTACGAAACTATTTTAAAACACCATCAAATTAAAAACTAAAATGATAAAAGAGTCAAATCATGATACTAAAAAACAATTTACCGTTTTCAATAATATAAACATATTTCTAAGATAATAAATTTAATATTTTATATAGTAATAATAATAATAATAATAATAATAATAATAATAATTGTGGAATGGGCAGGTGTCGACTTTGTTGTATATAGCTTTCCTGTGATAGCTTTGGCGATGCTTGGCTTTATCTACATGGATTTTAGACAAACAGAATCAAGCAGGTAATAGTTTGAATTGGGATTTGAATAACTAAAATTTTTGAATTGAAATAGTTGTATAATGTAATATAAATAAGTGTTGATGTGATGTTTTGAATGTAAAATTGATTTTTAGTATAATATAAAAAATAAAAAATAGGTATTTGATTTGATATTTTTTTTAAAAAAAAATTGGATAAATAGTATATTTTGGGGAAAATCTTCCAAACAAACACACCCTCTATGTTCATATTGTAGTTTTAGTTTTTTCTTTTTGTTTTCTAAAACAATATTATACACTTTAATCATATTAATAATTTTATTTTAATTTATAATTTCTATAATTGTAATTAGATTAATTAATTATCTTAATTTTTAATTATAATTATTTGTATGGTAAACTGTTTTTTTAATCCGGTAACTGGACCCCTTTATCATTTTAGTTCCGTAAGTGGAGTCTGTCGCAAACTAATCCCATAAATTTTGGTTATATTGGGACCAAAATTGATAAGTTTTTTTATATTGGGACCAAAATTGATAAATTTTGGTTATATTGGGACAAAAATTGATTAATTTTGATTATATTGGGACCAAAATTAATTTTTTCCCTTTTATTTTTTAAATCTTAAGTATTTTCTCTTTTAAAAAAATATATATACATATATAAAATTCACTTCTAACTTCTCATTTCTAATTTTCATATATATATATATACATTTACTATTTCATAACTTTGTATAAACTAATTTATACTAATCATATATAATTATATATATCTTTTACTTATGCATATTAAATTAAATTTTATTTTCTATGACATTCATAGTATATAGTGAAGTATAATGTTTAAATCATTCAGAAAATATTGTTAATTTATTTATATTTAATATATATTACATTATAAATCAACTAAAAATGTTATAAGTAGTAAAATTCAATTTGCAACCACAACACTCAATTTAAAACCAAACATACTTGGTGCTTTGAACTTAATTTTTTTTAAGAAAATTAAAGTTTTATATGATAGTATTTAAATAATAGGGTAAGTTATATAACACCGTTGTATTTTAGTAAAAATGCACAGAATATCATGTATTGTATTTATTGTGTAAACCCCTTTATGTTAGTGTAAAGTTTGCATGAAACACCTTCATTGTCGAAAACTGATGTTTAGTTTTAAATAAAGATTTAAATTACGCAAGTTTTACAAATAAAAAACGCAAAATATCTTAAATAATTTTTTTTAATAAAATATATTGATTGATCCTTCATTTTATTCTTTTTTGGAGACAAATGATTATACTAAATTCTGTTAATATCTTTTTTACATAATACAACTCCTAAATTCTTTCGAACGTCATGTATTATTACAGAAAAGGATATGGAAGATTCACGACTAGTTTGTCTAGTCCATTACTAGTGAATCCATACGTTGGAATCTTATCCGGACTACAAATTCTCGTTTCATTGCTATTTGTCGCCGTTCTTGTTTGGACATTCTCTGTCCGTATTTCCAATGACTTCAAGAAAATAACACCGGCCAAATCGCTCAAACTAAGCTTGTAAGTAAATAAATATAATGAAATTTTTATTTTTTTCGAGATATTAAATCATAGACAACTAAAATGGTAAAGCGAGCATTTCAATAACAATATTCGAGATTTCAGATGGCAATATAAGTTGTCGCGTATGGCTACGAGATGTGGATTATTGTCTGAAGCTTGTCTTGCGCTATTATTTATCCCGGTGTTGCGAGGGATGTCATTATTTCGTGTACTTGGCATTCAATTTGAGGCTTCGGTGAGATATCATGTTTGGCTCGGCAATGCCTTGGTATTCTTTGCGACTTTACATGGTGCCGGAACTCTCTTTATTTGGGGAGTCGAGCATAAAGTCGAAGATGAGGTAACTTCATTTTATTCGAATGAAGTTTAGTTGTGTGTTTGGGTTTGAATAGTATTTTGATTTCATATTTTGTAAAAAAAAAGATACTTCTTCGTTCCAAAACAATAGGTTTAGTTTGTCATTTCTGTTCATTCTAAAATAATAGTCTCATTTACATTCTTAGTAATTAGCTCCCCACTTTTTATTAAACTATCCCCATTTTTTTTTTTCATAATAATTACATAAGTAAGGACATTTTGGTCTTTCAGAGTCACTTTTACACCGACTAGCAATATAATACTATTATTTTATTATTTCTTAATTATCATGTCCATCCGAAATGTCCTTATTGTTTTGAGACGAAAGGAGTATGTTTTATTAATGTTTTCATTTGTGTTTTGATTTAAATAGTATTTTGATTGATATTTTATGAGAATAACTTCCCACGTCATTCAAATCTATACCCACTTTCTTTTTAAAAATTTTATAAAAAAATATTCAAATTTCATTTTTAAGCAAAAAATTATTACATTTTTGTATTTTTTTACTATAAAAGAAAAAAATAACAATTATTACTTATTTTTATTAAAACTCGTGCACAGTCAAATGAACATAAAAGAGTATATTTTTATTGAAAATTGTACGAATTGAGTAGTGGTGATTTAAATTTGAAATATAAATGAATTAACAGACCGTGATTTGGTTTGAACGAAGGTTTATATTATATATATATATATATATTCAACATTTGAAATAGATACGAAAGTGGCAAAAGAATGGGCGGATATATCTAGCCGGCGAAATGGCTCTCGCAACGGCTCTCATTATGTGGATCACGACATTCCCACGAATAAGAAGGAAACAGTTTCGTCTCTTCTTCTACACGCATCACCTATACATAGTCTTCATGATACTTTTCTTGTTCCACGGGGGAGATCGCCATTTCTACATGGTTTTCCCGGGAATTTTTCTCTTTGCCGTTGATAAGTTGCAACGTCTCATACAATCTAGGCCGTGCACTTGCATTGTCTCCGCGCGTGTGTTCCCATCCAAAGCCATGGAATTGACTTTGCCTAAGGATCCAAGTAAGTCTTCATGATATCTTCTTCACTATCATGAAACATCGTACATTTTCTTGCTTGTCTAATTTGTAGTGGTAATGAAAATTTTGCTTTGATGTTAGGGATGAGATATACGCCGACTAGTGTGATATTTTTGAAAATCCCGAGCATTTCCAAGGTTCAATGGCATCCTTTTAGCGTAACTTCTACCTCTAGCCTCGATGAAAACACAATCTCGGTTATCATTAAATGCGAGGGACAATGGACAAGCTCCTTGTATAGCTTAGTCCACAATGAACACGATTTGGAAGAAGATCAAATGATATGTGTTCCCGTTGCGATCGAGGGTCCATATGGCCCGGCTTCACTCGACTTCATAAGGTATCAACTATACACTTTTTTTTTTTTTTCAAACATAGTTTAAAATTATATTTTAAAAGTGTTATATATCACATGTTAATAAATATAAAATTCTTTTTATACTATAAAAAAATATATATGTAAAGTATCCTTATTATAATTATTTTAAGGATAAACTGATTTTTCAATCCTGTAATTGGATTTTTTTATCATTTTAATCATGTAACTGGAGCATGTCGCAAACTAGTCCGGTAAATAAAATTTTTTTGCACTTTTAGTCATCCGGTGCCAGAGATACCAGCACGTGGATTTTTATTTATATTTTTAATTTTTTAAAAAGAGAAAAATAAATAAATTAAATTTTTTTTAAAAAAATAAAAAATAAAAATCAATGTGTCTGCCGGATGTGGCTGACCTGACAGACACGTATCTTCCGGCAAGCCACGCGGGTGTCACGTAGGCATCTCCGGCGCCGGAAGACTAAAAGTGCAAAAAAATTTCACTTACGGGACTAATTTGCGACATGCTCCAGTAATGAGACTAAAATGATAAAAGAAGTCCAATTATGGAACTTAAAAATCAGTTTACCCATATTTTAAATAGTTATTTTTAAATAAAATATAGTTATAAAACTAGAAATAATTTGCAATTTTGTTTTTTAATTTTTGAACGTGCAGATACAAATATTTGCTCCTTATTTCTGGAGGGATCGGAGTAACACCATTTTTGAGCATTTTGAAGGAAATCAGCTCTAACTCAAACTACGATAAAAACCATTACCCTCATCGAATACAACTCATATACACCATAAAACAATCCCAAGATCTTTGCATACTCGAATCAATTTTTCCTTATCTTCTAAACACAGAGAAATTCAATATAAACCTCAGAGTATTCGTGACTCGTGAAAACTTCATTGGTACGACTTTAAGAGACGTACTTGGCAACATCCCCGAGCCACGGGTGACAACTTTTAGCACTACATGTGCAAAATATGCGGCATATGGACCCGAAAGATTATTACACTTAGTAGCAATCACTATGGCTTCTTCTATAGTAGTTGTTTTATCGCTCATTACTTTCAACTATTTTGTCATTCCACCGGCCAAGGCAAAGAAGGTTTCGTCTTCTTGGGTTGATTTCTTTCTTTTATGCTCGTTTCTAATAGCTTTGGCATGTAGCATTTTGATGGGCACTATAATAAAGTGGAGAAGAGTAAAGAAGGTCAATTGGTTTTCCGATAACAAAGAAAAGACCGTGAAATTGAGTTCACTTGAAGCCTACAACGATCTTGATAAGCATGAAATTTTGTTCGGAGAAAGGCCAAACTTTCAAGGTAACACTTTTGATCGAATTTATAATTGTCTATAAGATATTAGCAAAATTAAACTACATTTAGGTCCATAAATTCGAATGCTCGGGGATTAAATACTATTGTGTAGGTAAAATCTTAATTATTGTTCTTTATAGAAAAGCCATAGCCTCTTTAGGCTAATAACTCTCTAGTAACCTACAAAAATATTATGACTTGTACAATACAGTCGGGTTGAAATAAAATATTTTTTTTTCCATAACTAATGACAAATCTGCAATTTTTCTGTTCATAACATTTGTGTCTTTTCCAATAGGGATATTGATTCGTTAACTTGTTGTTTTTCTTTTGATAATGGTACTGATTTGATTCAACAGAGATTGTCTCGAGTTTTGGAAATGAATCCGGAGAATCAAATGTAGGTGTGTTGGTGTGTGGCCCCGAGTCTATGAAAGAGTCCGTGGCTTTGGCATGTCGACGAGCAAATAGGGGCGATAAGGGAAAGAAGCAATACTTGAGCTTCCATTCTCTCAACTTTACACTATGATTTGTGCTTAAATTAAAAAGGGTTTTTTATTTTATTGACGAATGGAGTAGAAATGTTTGTATATGTTATTAAAAAGATAAATGGTATTATGATTTTAACTAAAATTACATTTCTACCGTGAGATCGATCAACTATCCTTTTGAATGTGTTTATATACTTTCCCAAAAATTGGTTTTACGAATCCTTTGGCAACCCATAATCCAATGAAATTAGAAACAATAATTCACTATTTTCTCGGAAAATTTTTATGTATAGCCACCAAGCGAATTGATATTTGAAAAGAATGTTTGTCCGTGCTCTAAATTAAATTTGAATTCGATTTTTTCTTTACAATAGATCTCTCATTTTCTTGGCGTCTATAAGAGTTTACTTTTGACCACAATGAACAATGGAAGCCGTTTGCAATCTCTAGAATATTTCTCTCGCCTTCTTCCTATTCGATAGTGCAAATTTTCTTACCAAATAAAAAATAGTAACTTTTTATATCATCTCAAAGAACTATTATGGTATTATATTTAAATAATCTGTGCATATATGATTACCTAGTTATCGCAATAATTAACTTATATTGTATGTATTTGAAAGATGAAAATAATAATATGTTTTGTATAATTTTACACTTTTAACTCTGGCATATTATTCAAACAAATATTTTGTTCCTTCAAAACCATCAAATAAAACATTGTTTTTAAATATTATATATATAAATTTATTCAAAATATTATATAAATTATTATTTCAATTCAAAATTTTATTATTTTTACATTCAATCCTTTCAAAATATTATAACAATTATTATTTCAATTCAAAATTTTATTGTTCTCGCATCCAAACCTTAAGAGAATATACATTTCTTGTATAATTCCTCTCTAATTCATGTAATTTTTTGTCTCTAGAAAGAGCAAACGTTATTAAAAATTTCCTGAAAATACAAATTAAGAAATTTAAATGCAACTTATATGTAGTTTTATAAGCACTAAAAAGCACGTACTTGTTATTTATATTAATTGAAAACTATTTAAAATTGATAAATTAATTTAAGCTTTATTTAAATGAGTTTTGAAAATTTGAAGAGTTGAAAATAATCAAAATTGAGGGTGGCAGCACCACTAATTTTTTATTATTATTATATAATATATATATATATATATATAGGAGAAGAATGAGGATTATAATCAATAAGTTGAAGATAACTTTTATATTTTTTTTAATGGTGTTGTTCTTAAATATATTATATATATGATGAACTTATTTTAAAATTGATATGTTATTATTTTGTACAGTATAGTATGAAACGTATGTATCAATATTATTTATATTTTAATATTTCGGTATAATATAATATATGTCGATATTTTTTACATTTCAGCATGAAATAATATATCATATTGTACAGACGATTCAATACTGAATTGTCGGTATGGTACGGTATAAAACATATGTAATATTGAATTTTTGATATACTGATTTATCAGTACGATAGAATATTATACCGAAAATTTTGATACGATATACGGTATAAATTTTTGTCCAAGAATGTTGCTTTCATTTTATTCTCTTTTATTAAGATTTTATTTAGTAATTTAATTGACAGTTGTTACTATACTGGCTATAATTAGTATTAACATTACATATAATATATACCAATATCATATGTAGTATAAATTGAGATCACAACCTATATGTCAATATAATGCAAATATAACACACGATAATAGTTCACATAATACATATTACAATTAATTTCAACATATAAAACATGCTAACTCAGCGCATAAAAAAATAAAAAAAAATAAAAAAAATAGACAACATATGCTAATAATTTATATAGCACATACAATTGTGCATGATACTCCGAAATTGAGCTGATGTTAGATTAATTTCGGTGTATGGATAAAGCGGTGTTAGATTATTCGAGATTGAATATAAATTGAATAAACTATGTCAACAACATGCACATTTTATTTTTTTCAAAAATCCTACTTATAAAATTATTATAATCAGTATAATGTTGATTAAATTCCGTTCAAAATATTCCCGATTTAATTAGTGATTAGATTATCGATTTATATCTCCCCTATAAAAGCGTTTTCCTTAGAACATCTCTTATAGTCATTATTTCTACCACATTATCTATTTTATCTCTCATTCTCTCTCATCCACATCGTATATAATAAATCACATTCAATTCATTACTTTTACTATTTTATAAATACATAGTAATTTATTCATTTTTATATATTTTTATTATGTAATAATATATAAAAAAAAAATTATTTATCTATACATATTTCTATATATGTTTATTATCTAATAATATTTTTATATAATATTATATTTTAATTTTTAAATATTAATCTATATAAATTTTAATAATTGAATATATTATGAATAAATCAACATATATATTAATTAAAAATAACATCAAAAGAATCATAATAATTAACAATATAACTTAACAATAATTATTTTTATTTTCAATTCGTATCCAAATAATATATGCAATAAGGTATAGAACAATAAATAATTTTAAAATAGGATAGATAAAGCCTGAGAATTGGTTAATAAATTTTAAATATATATAAAATTTAAATTTTTGACATTTCAAAATTTTTTGGATAATATTTAATTTAATTTACTTTTTTTTTTTAATTTTTGTTGAAGGTAATCCGTTGTTAAGAAATGTAATAAATTTTGATAATTGTATTTCTTGTTACAATCACATCATTACAATCACAAGATATTTAAGGGTCTCATTTACCTTTTGTGTCATTGTACTTAACATTAATAATATCCTTATATTTGTATAATTTTTTGCACAAATGTCATTATAATAGTATCATAAGACACTAATAGAAGTATTTTTGCTATTTTCCCTTAATTTGTACTACGTTTTCAAATACTCCTTCCGTCCCATCTACCATATCCACATTGTCGTTATTGTCCGTCCCACATCCCATGTCACTTTCCTTTATTTGAAAAATGATTAAACATCTCATTTTAATTTTTTTAATTTAATTTTTTAAAATTTTAATTAAACTAATTAGTTATCTTAAACCTTAATCTATAATTATTTATATTATAAGATAATTATTTTCACTAATACATTCTTAATTATCTATTAATTATACTTATTCTAAATTCTCGTATCTACAGTGACTCAGACATCCAATATGGGACGGAGAGAGTAATAACTAATATTTAAATATCAATATGCAAAAAATAAATGAATCCTTATAACCGGACAAATGTAGTATTATTCTTTAATCTACTATAAAATCTAAAAAGACCATTTAAAATGTGACTAAGAAAGTATAAAATAAATATAATATATATTTTAACCATTCATAAAAAGTATTTAATATAAAAATATTATTTTTATATTAAATTAATTTTTTATACATAACATTAAAAACATATTTATCAACATTATAAAGTGAACACACCTATTATTACTATTATTATTATTATTATTATTATTATTACTATGACTTCATTAACATTATTTTTTATAGTTATAAATGGCAGTAAAATATGAACAATTATGATATATTAATCTTTATTAATTAACAATTAAATACTTAAAATTATTGAATAAAGCATTAATAATTCTTAATACCAAATATATATAACGGTATGTTTCTTTTGTATTTTTAGTTTAAAGTATTTTTATATTTATTTATTTTTTTATATTAAATATAAGAAAGTGTTATTAATATAAAAAATAATATATATATGTTGAATTATTGGGTGTGTTTATTTTGTATTTTATATTATATGCTCAAAGAGTTTGAATAATTTTATTGATGATAAATATAAAGAATATAATAATAATATAATAAATTGTACATTATTACTTAAAAAAAAAAAAAAACTCGATATGACATCACCAAATTTAACATAATTTTCCAAATTAGTCTGAAAAAAAAATATATATATATATATATATATCCATATCAACAACTTATATTATCTTCAATAATACTCAAGTAAGGTGACCAAGTATTAAATTAGTTAAGAGTAAGTGTGTTTGGTTGAGAGATTTGGACAAAATCTCACTATTCATCCAAAATTTTTTCCCCAAAAACATCAAATCAAATACCTATTTTTTATTTTTTATATTATACTAAAAATCAATTTTACATTCAAAACATCACATCATCACCTATTTATATCACATCATACAATTATTCAAATTCAAAATTTTTATTATTCAAATCCCAACTCAAAATCCAAACCCCCAAACAAACACACCCTTAATAAATTTTAAATAAATGACAATAAATCACTTATGTTATACTCCCTCTTTTCCATAACTATAATCTCAGTTGTGTTGGGCACGATATTTAAGGAATATTGATATTATATTAATAGCGGGTGAAAAATAAAGATAAAAGACATTTTTGCCCTTGTGAGTGTATTAGTATAAAAGGTAGTGATAATTGTGTAATAATAATGAAAGAGTAAAGGTAGTCATATAGTGATATGATTATTTATGAAAATAAGACTATTGTTTTGGGACGGACAAAAATAGTAAACAAGACTACTATATTGAGACGGAGGGAGTATCATATACTAATAAATACTCTTTCCGTCAACGGATAAAGTATACATTTACTTTTGACAATGAGTTTAAGAAATTATAGTATTTTAATTATAGTGGGTAGGTAAAAGTAGTGTAATGACATTTTTGCCCTTGCTTTTTGGTATAAAAGTAATGATGTGATATAAAGTAAAGGTATTTATGGAAAAAAGTGAGGTATTTAATGAAATGATTACTTTGTAATTGTACGTCCCAAAATAAAAATATGTATACTTTGTAACTGGACGGATGAAGTATAAAATAAAATTGACTATGGACCTAATATTAACATATGATAGATAAAATATAAATCAATAAAATAAGAATTGTATTATAATCCATGTAATACATACTACAATATATTGAATTCATCACATAAAATATATTCGATTCATCCGACTCCAATGGTCTTATTTATCTTTTGTGTCATTGTACTTAACATTAAAAATATTTATATATTTCTATTATTTTTTTGCACAAATGTCATTATAATTTTATTATAAAACACTAATAAAAATATTTTTATCATTTTCTCTTAATTTATATTATATTTTTATATAATAATTAATATTTAAATATCAACCCGTAAAAAGTAAATGAAATCATAACTACAGTAATGATTAGTCGTAATCAATATTCTAACCAATCTCAATTAAGTAGATATGGGTGTGTTTGGTTGAATTTTTGGGGAAAAAAATTCTTATCCACTAAAATTTTTCACCAAAAATAATTATTTTAAATCAGGTAAACTGTTTTTTAATCCCGTAACTGGACCCCCTTATCATTTTAGTCCCATAAGTGAAGTCTGTCGCAAACTAGTTCCATAAGTGAAAAATTTTCGTTGTTTTAGTCCTCCGCCGCCGGAGACGCCCGCGTGTCGCCGGAGGTGACGTGTCCGCCAGGTGTCCCGCCAGGTCAGCGACACCTGGCAGACACGTGGATTTATTTTTTTTTATTTATTTATTTTTATTTTTTTAAAATTAAATCAAATTAAAAAATTAAAAATATATAAATAAAATTAAAAATAAATTAAAAATTATTTTTTTAAAAAAAATTAAAAATAAAAAATAAATTAAAAAATCCACGTGTCCGCCAAGTCAGTGCCAGGTGTCGCTGACCTGGCGGACACGTCACCTCCGGCGAGCCACGCGGGCGTCTCCGGCGCCGGAGGACTAAAACAGCAAAAAAATTTCACTTATGGGACTAGTTTGTGACATGCTCCATTTACGGGACTAAAATGATAAAGGGGTCCAGTTACGGGAATAAAAAAATAGTTTACCCTATTAAATCAATTTAAGTCACAATCAAATAAACTTGATAGTTTTTAATTGTGATATAAATACATATTCCTGTAATATTTTAATGTACATTTAAATTTTAATGTAATATAATTAATAAAAAAAAATTAGTTTGATATTTTTTAAAAAAAAAAATTTAAAATAGTAAAATCCAATCTAAAATTTTACCAAAATCTAAAAAGAAAAAAATTATATTTAATAAAATATTTAATACTATCAAATATATGTATAGCGTTTTTTCAAAATTGAAAAGTATTTGGAATCTATTTACTTTCCTTTATAATTTATTTCGTTATTTATTTAAATATACTTTATCTATATAAAAAAATATGTATATGATTTGAATTTTTATCTAAATAATATTTTTTAGAAAAAATAATATATTTTTATTAAAAATTAAATAAATAAATAATTAATTTCAATTTAAATTCACAATATATATTTCTTTTATTTGAATTCAAAATATATTTTTTACTATTTTTATTTGTTTCATACAATTTAAAAAATATCAAATTTTTTAATATATTTTCATTAATTTAATAAAATAATATTATTTTTAATCTATTATAAAAATTTCAAATAATCCTTTTATAATAAAAAATATATATATATTCTATTAAAATTTTTATTATTCAACATTCAAATTAAAGGCAAAACCCCTTAAACAAATGCAACCAAAAAAGTCTTTAAAAGAAGTGTTTAAAACGGAGCTTTGTAATTAATTTTAATATTTATAATTAAAAATAAAAAATTAAAAAAAAAATAAAAATTGCTATATATATGGCCCCAACTCTTCATCTTTCTTTTTATTGTAAGGCGTAAAACCAGAGCTTCTTCGTTCCTGAGAGAATTCTCTCACCGCTTACTAGTTTTTGCTTAATATGAATCAGAAATCGAGTTCCGCCATGAATCCTTTAGAAACTGTCAAGTTTCTTTACAGCTATGGCGGCAAAATTATGCCTCGTCCAACCGATGGAAAGCTCCGATACGTCGCAGGTCACACTCGTGTTCTCTCTGTCCATCGCTCGATTTCATTTTCAGGTACTTTGAGATAATAGCATATGATTGTTATTCATTTATTCGTAAGGGTGGAAATGGAATTGAAGTTTTTTTTTCGCGATTTTGGTGTAGAGCTGATGTTGAAATTTGGGGAATCGTGTGGAATTTCGGTGAATTTGAAGTGTAAGTTGCCTAGCGAAGATTTGGATATGTTGATTTCAGTCAAATCCGACGAGGATCTCCGGAATGTAATCGAAGAATACGAGAGCTTTTTGCCGGCGGCGAAAATAGTAGCGGTGCTTAATTCCGAAACGCCGGCGAACAAAGTCTCACCTCCGTCGTCTCCGATTTCGTGCTTCGATTTCCCGTCCGCTCCAAAATCAAAGCGCGCCGCCGCATCCTGTTGCAGATCTCCGGCGGTTGGATGTCCTGTCCTCGCCGGAAAACACCGGCGCAACAATCCAAGGCATTTTCATCCCCAGCGGTAACCTGAAGTGAGCGAAAAAAAGCTATTTAGTTTCTTCTATTTTCTCAAAATAAAAACACATTTACTGAATACACAATTTTCTTATTTGCACCGTCGAATCGCAGAAGGATTTGGATTTAATTTGAACACGAAAACTTCGTGATTGGATTGTGGAATTTCCTCTGAGAATTATGATACGGTTCGCTCAAATTCTGATTGCATCTTCATTTTATTCGATCTCTGCCTCTGTTTATGAACTAGGATTTTCCGGTCGCCGGAATCTGATTGTGTTACCGGCCGCCGCCGCCGCCACGGCGGTTACTTGCGGCGGTGATGGTCCACGTGACAGGTTTGTTGATGGAGGATTGTGTGACTGACGACAGTCTGCATTTGTATTTATTGATTCAGTTACGAAGAGGGCAGGGCACACGTGTCAAGAAATTTTGAGTGGGGTGGGGTGGGCCAAAGGAACACGTACACATGCCGTTATCCGTTGTGAAGAATTTTGTGTGTTTGTTTGGAGGATTGGATTTAAATCCAACTATTCATCTAATTTTTTTTTTTTTAAAAATATCAAATTAAAAATTTATTTTTTATTTTTTATATTATACTAAAAATTAATTTTATATTCAAAACATCACATCAACACCTATTTATATCACATCATGCAACTATTTAAATTCAAAATTTTTATTATTCAAATCCTAATCCAAAATCCAAACCCCGAACAAACACACCCCAAGATATTTCTCCGTCCTACTTACTTTTGTCATTTTACTTTTGTCATTAGTAAATACTTAAAAAATGGTATTGATAAAAATTATTATAAATTAAAATTAAAATAACTAAATATCTTAATTAAAATAAAAAAATATATATAAAATAAAAATTTTAAAATGTGATTGTATAATTATATTTTGAGAAAAATAATAATAAATTATGTGGGACATATAAAAATAGAAAAAATTGACAAATTAAGTGGAACAGAGGAGTATTACTTTTAGTTGATGTGTTACCTTTAATGAATTCGGAAATATTGACTTTAAATTAGTATTAAAATAATGTATAATTGAATATTTTGTGAGAGAAAAAAATATACTAGTACTACCTTCGCCCCCGGAAGAGGAGTAACGTTTATTATTAGTATTATATTGGTTTATAATGAAAAGAACAAAAATGCGCCTATTAGATTGTGCGATATAAAAGTAACGATATTGTGTAATATATTGGAAGTTGTAAATGTATTTATTAATTATGTTAAGTAGGTAGTACAATTACTAAATAAAAAGAATAAGTAATATAGTTGTTTTTGGATGTACAAAAATAAAAAATGGTATTATTTTTATTGGAATGAAGGAGTATTATTTTTTCTTTTAAGTAAAATTTTCAAATAATAAAAAATCCAAATTTGAAATTTAAAGAAACAAACCTATAATAAATCATTTCTATTTTGTCTATTTTGTCTGTTTTAACAAAAATTTAATAAAATTGTTAACAATTCTCAAAATTAGTAAAAAAACACATATTATTTTATTTATAGCATTAATAAATATGTATTGTTTTATATGTATTTATTATTTTATTATAATAATATCAATTAGATAAAAAAAATTTTAATGTTTAATATAAAAATTACAAATATTTTAAAGTTTTATACATTTGAAATAATATTAAAAATTATATATATATAATAACAAATAAACTTGATCAAATAGTTCGAATTAAAATATATAATTTTAATGTTTGGAAATGTCAAATCAAAATTAAATTCTTCATAATTTTAATTTATATTTTCTTATTTCGATTTCAGTTCCGTCGATTCAAAAATCACCGATTATATTTGACAATGTTAGTTTATGTTTATTCCTTTTTAATTATTTTGTTTTTAATTTTAATTAATAAATAATGTAATTTTAATGTAATTTTATTTATAAATATATTTTTTATATAAAAATTCATATAAATAATAATAATAACAATTAAATAAATTGTTACAAAATAAAAATTAATTACGCTGAATATATAATATAATAAATTCGATCAAAATAATACTATAACAAAAAATATAAATTAAAAATATTATTATTATTAAAATAAAATAAAAATGAGAATAATAATAAATATATTTTTTGAGAACTAATGTACTTCTAATATTTTTGTTAAATATTTGAAATTTTTTATATACATACAAGTGTACTGCATATATTTGAAAATATATAAATCAATAAAAAAAATATTTAATCGACAATTTTATAAACTCTAATAAAGTATAGGAAAATCAATAAATAATTCAATCAAATTTATCAAAATCCATATAAATCAATAAACAAAATCAATTAAATTTTATGGAATTTATAAATCCACTCAATTCTGCGAACTTTTCAAAATTCAAACAAATCTCTTAAAATAAATCATTTCTATTCGTTTCTTTTCATTTCTCTTTCAAGAAAAATAGAAAAAAAATGATATTGCAGTATATTTTTTAAAACTTTTTTTTTTATCTATTTTGTACTATTTAATTTTTACACTTTTTTTAAAAAAAAAATTATATTATTTTAATTTTACAAAAATCAGATTTAATTTACTGTTAAAATATTTAATTTTTACGATTTTTTTAAAATTGTACTAAAATATAATCTTGAAAATTATGTATATAGTTTATATTTTTTTAAAAAAAAAAAAGTCACCAAAAATATTTTTCATGAATTTCCATTAGTTAAAACTCTTTTTTTTCTTTTATCAGGTTAATCATTTATTCTTATTTGATTCATTCATATAATTGTATTTTTTTACATTTTTTAACTGAATTTTTTATTTTACTAAACAAGACAATTAATTATCATTCTCTACTCAATTCTATTTCTCTCAAATTTCATTTTCTACTCTAATTATCTACAATTTCATTCTTTGTACCAAATGTCAGCATAATGTTTTAAATAAAGAAGTACCCGTACTATTTTTACCATTTTCTTTTATTTAATTCAAAAATATCACTTTATCATTTTAGTAAGAATAATCGCATCGTAATATTAAAATGTTTTTAAATATTTACTTAAATTAAAAATATATTTTTACACGTACAATTACTTTATTCATAAAATTAAATGAAAAAAATATATCAAAATTTCTTACACATTTACACTAACTAATAAAATAAGATTCCCTCCGTCCCACATACCATGTCCACGTTACCGTTTCTGTCTGTCCCACGTACCATGTAACTTTCATTTTTTGAAAAATGATTACATACTTTAATCTCATTTTAAACTTTTAAATTTTTCTTTTAAAATTTTAATTAAACTAATTAGTTATCTTAATCTTAATTTATAATTATTTATATTATAGGATAATTATTTTCACTAATACATTTTTAATTATCTATTAATTACACCATTTCTAAAATACCGTGTCTACACACGGTATGTGGGACGGAGGTAATACTATTTATTAATTTATTACAAAACTTCAAAGGGGTATATTCGAGTGGAACTGAGAGAGTGTAAAATATTGAATTTAAAAAATATCAAAATATCAATTGTTTTTCCTCACAAAATATCAAATCAAATAATAATTTTTTACTTTTTTTTTTCAAATTTCTAAAAAACTTTGTCTAAACGAAAATGTTTGATTTAATGATTTTAATAGATTTTTTTTTATATATATATGTAGTGCTCGATTTAAATGGGCCCGTAACGAGCCTATGAAGGTATTATTTTTGCGCTCGATTTGGTTTTTTTATTAAATATACATGTAATTTTTAATCAAAAATAGTATATATATATATTTTTCCAATATTTTACGTCAAAATATTTTTTTGTTATTTTATAATACAAATTTTTCTAAAAAAAACATGTGATTTGGGTAAAGTGATCTGGGTTTTATTCTTCTTTTGGGTTAATTTTGTGTAGATTATATCTTCATTTAGGTGAATTTGATATGCAATTTGACTTTGATGAGTTCTTTGTGGAATTTGATGTTTATGATCTTCAATTTGGATTTGGTTTTAAAAAAAAATAAAAAATGAAACAATTTGGTTTGATCTTCATGTCCCGCGTATTTGATGTTTCATCATATTTTTTAACATTAAGTTTTATTAATTTCAGAATCGAAAAAAGTCAAATTGTTAATATACAAACACAATGTGAAAAACCTTTTTAATTCTAACATAAACTTAAAAAACTTTACGTTGGTTTGGATAAAATAAAGAAAGTTTAAAATTTGACCATATAAGTATCTTAACATACTTCGAATGACATAAATAACAATGAAAAAAATAAAATTGCATTTTGATAGAATCTTCAATACATCTTCATGCGTTGAATTGTTTTGCCAGACACTTTTATAGGGTTCGAATTCGTTTCAAAGAAATCGCATGCCACGCGAGGCTTGAATTTGATTTCATATCGTATTTGATTTGTATTTCGAATTTTGGCATATCTCTTACTCCATCCGTCCCAATACAATAGTCTTGTTTATCATTTTTGTCCGTCCCAAAACAATAGTCTCATTTCCATAAATAATCATATCACCGTAAAACTATTATTACTTTTTCATTATTATTACACAATTACCACTACTTTTTACATTAATATACTCACAAGGGCAAAAAAGTTATTTATCTTTACTTTTTACTCACTACCAATATAATATCAATATTTCTTAAATCTCGTACGCAACACAATAAGATTATACTTTTGGGACGGAAGGAGTATTTTCGCTAATAAATTTTCCAACAAACAAATTGTAATATATATTAAGAACGGAAAATAAAGGATGAATTCGATCTAAATTTTATTTAGTTTTGAATTTAAATTTTAATTTAAATAATATTTTATAGAAGAACAAAATAGTAATATAAATTAGCAAATTATTGTAATTTGGAAAAAAAAAATTCAATATAAAATTTGCTTTGAATTTTCAATTTCTCATAAGAAGTTCTCATTTAAATAGTAAATTTCAAAGTTTATATATAGTTAGAAATTAAAATTTTATAATTTTTGCTAGCAAGTGATATGCTCTAACTATGTGCTCTTCAATATAGTGCTTTCAACCAACCATAATTGAATTGCAAAATTAAACAATAGTTTGAATTATGATTTCATGAGTACAAAACTCACTTTCGAATAATTGTAAATTACATTTGTCGTCTTATTTTTTTTATTATTTTTATTTTCGTTCATTCTACTTTTTTTTTTTAAAAAAATAAAATATAATTATACACTTTAATTATATTTTAAATTTTAAATTTTAAAATTTTTTAATTTTAATTAGACTATTTAATTATTTAATTTTAATCTATAATTAATCTTATTATATAATAATTGTTTATATTAATATATTTTTTAATTATTTAATAAAATTGTCGTAATCTCTCGTAAAAACTGAAATGAAGGATGAGTATCTTCTTTTATAAGTAGAGGGAAGACGTAACATAGTATTATGTTACATAATTATATATCCATTTATTGGATATTGAATTTTAAATATTAATACTATATTTATCCCTCAAAAAGAGCAATATTTGTTTTTTACACGTTAATTTTTTAATATTAGTATTATATTGATTTATAGTAAAAAAAATATAAAGTTTTAAGGCATTAAAGGTAATAATTAGATTGGGTAGGTAGTACAATTACTGAATTATGAAATGATATTTTTTTTTTGGACAGATAAAAGTGAAAAATAATATCCTTCTTATGAAACGAATGAAGTATTATATTCATACATATTACAAATTAATAAAAAATAAAAATACTTTTATTAATGTTCTAATACAAGTATAATAATATTTGTATAAAATATTATAAAAATAAAAAAATATTTTTAATATTAAATATAATAGCGTAGAAAGTAAATGAATACTCCCTCCGTGCTAACTGAAAATACCATTTTTAATATTTTCGTTCATCTCACTCCAAAGTATCAATTTACTATTTTAATAAAAATAATCATACATACATACTAAAATATCTTTAACTTTTTATTAAATTACAAATATACCATTACACATACAATTATTTTTTACATAAAATCAAAGAGCAAAAATGTTAAAATTTATTACACACTTCCGCTAACTAATAAAATACTACTTCCTCCGTCCAATAAGAAGAATACCATTTTTCATTTTTGTCCGTCCAAAAATAAGAATACAATTTCCTAATTTAGTAATTTAATTGTATACCCGTCTAACATAATTAATAACCTTACAACTTCAAATATATTACAAAATGCCATTATTTTTTTTTATCACACAATCTAGGAGCATTTTTATTTTTTCAACTATAAACAAATATAATACTAATATTCAAAAATCTATTTGCAAAAAAACAAATGTTATTTTCTTTGTGGACGAAAATAGTACTCCCTCCGTCCCAGAACTATAATCTTAATTGGGTTGGGCACTTGATTTAAAGAATATTGATATTATATTGGTAGTCGGTAAAAATATAGATAAAAGACTTTTTTGCCCTTGTGAGTGTATTAGTGGAAAAAGTAGTGGCAATTGTGTAATAAAACAAAAGTAAGGTTAATTTTATCGTGATATGATTATTTATAAAAATAAGATTATTGTTTTGAGATGGATAAAAATAATAAATAAGACTATTGCATAAAAACGAAAGAATTATTATCTTTTAATTTACTATTCCACTCACCGTACCGAGCAAATATTTTATAAAGTAAAAGAAGAAGTACATTACGGGTGTGTTTGTTCGTGGGTTTGGATTTTAAATTGGGATTTGAATAGTAAAAGTTTTGAATTTGAATAGTTGTATGATGTGATATAAACAGGTGTTGATACGATGTTTTGAATGTAAAATTAATTTTTAATATAATATAAAAAAAAATATATTTGATTTGATATTTTTTTTAAAAAAAAAAAATTGAATGAATTGAAAATCCAATCCCCCGAATAAACACACTGTAAATGTGATAGTCAAAATTTGTAGAAACCCCAAAAATCTCCAACACAAAACCTCAGCAATCGCCATCGCAATCGCATTCCGTATTCTAAAAATTCGGCCTTTTCGTCGTTTGACGTCAACACCGCACCAAAATCGATCCAAATTATCCATCCAATCGATCCATCCTCTCCACCTCATCTCATCTCCATTCCATCCATATCAACTAATTCGTCCAACAATCCTCTCTAGCTACCAAAAACCCACATTTCCAAACCGCCATTTTCGATTTTTCTCCAAAAAGAAAAAAAAAAAACAAGAAAAACAGCATCACTCCCGCCCCCTTGTACTTTTCTTTTTCTGTTCAACTCCCTTCGTTACTCGTGTCGCTTTCAGCGCACGCCCACGTTGCTCCTACTCCAATTCATGGCTTCACCTATAATCATTCCCCCCTCCCCCACTTTCCCCAAACCCCTTTCGCACCGTCTTCGAAGAACATTAAAGGAATGAGGCTCTACGTGTACTTGTTGGAGGGTAAGGATTGGCCGGCGGCGGATTGGTGCGTGAAATTGCAGGTCGGCGCCTGCAAATCGAAGAGTAGAGTGTTGAGGAGCACCGGGAATCCGATTTGGAATGAGGAATTCGTGTTCAGAGTCGTCGATTTGGAGGAGGAACTCGTAGTGTCTGTTTGTAATTACGCCGGCGACGATGAGCACGGGGTGTTCGGTTGCTCCGGCGCCGAATCGGCCGGTCGGGTCAGGATTCCGGTGTGGAGTGTGGCGGCGGAGGAGAATTGGAATTTGCCGCCGACTTGGTTCTCCGTCGTACGGCCGAAGAACTCGAAAGCAATCGACAGGGATTTCGGTTAGTTCTCTGCTCTTGTTACAGTTTTAGCTCTTTGATGATCGATACAGTGTTTGGTTGTTTCTTTTTTATTCGATTATGGCTTGTGAATGAAATGCTTTGTTTGATGAATAATTTCATTGAATCGAAATTGAGTGGAGAACACAATTAACCATTTCTGTTTGGTTGTATGGATTTGAATTTGAAAATTTATTTGCTCCGGAATTGAAATAGTTGTTGGAAGTATTTGAAACCATACAGTATAAAGATTTCGAAATATCAGAGATAATTTGAAATCTTCGATCAAGTTGAAGATTTGAAATACATTGCATTGTGGAACGTAACTAAAATCCGCTTTCAAATCCATATTCATCCAACCAAACGTGGCCTTAATAGCCGACGGGCACTCACACTAGGCTTCGGGGGTTTGAACCATGACCTAATGGTCACACGTCCAACCCCCACGCCACTGGACCATCCCTTACGGGATGAGGTTTTAGTTTCTTGATTCTACAGTGTATTGATATTGTGAAGATAGGAGTAGGCACGACACAGTTACGGCTTTTGTCGATTTCAGCTCACTTCTATAAAGTTATATGCTCCATTTGAATAATGTGTTCTACTCTGTTTTGGGAAATTCATGTGGCATGTTCAAAAATTTTTCAGGACATGGAGTCGAAAATGTGTATATCTAATTTTTAGGATGGGATCAGTCGAGAGAGGATTTACCCTGCCCGTGACAATAATATGGGACACAGTATCGAAAATGTGTATCCAATTCTTTAGAAAAGGTTTAGTACAAGACAGGGTACCCTGCATTCGTGCCAAAAATATGCGATTCTTCTAATAGTGTGCGTTCTAGTCCATTTCAGGAAATCCATTTGGTGTGTTCGAATTATAGTCGGGACACAGTCTGTTGTTGTCCCTTATTGAAAATGTATGTCCAATTATTTAGGGTTAGAACTGAGATGGTAGACCGAGTATCCGTGCCCTCCCGACCCCCAGTTTTGCATTGGTACGATGACTCAAGGATAAAGATGTTTTATTTCTATTGCGGTGTTTCGATGGAAATTCAGTCTAGTTACTAGTTTTGCAATTCCACATTTTTCGTTTGAGTTGCTTGTTTTGATAATCACCGTGGACTTAGAGTTGTAAACGAGCTGAACCGAGTCGAACTTGTCATGTTTAAGTTTGGCTCGTATGCATTCATTAAGAGATACGGGCTGAAACTTTTGTTTGAGTTAACTCGTGTTCGGCTCATTAAGAGAATTTATTTATTTTAAATAAATTAAATATTCATATTTATAAAAATATATTCACTTATTAAATATAAAATTACTAATTTAATTTTTAATAAATATTGTCCAACATTAAACGAACAAGCTTGAGCTCGTTCGTGAACGTAACAAGCTAAAATTTATGTTTGTGTTCGGCTCGTTTAGTTCAAACGAGCCGAACTTTACTAAGTTCGCAAACTGTTTGTTTATTTTACAGCTTTAACCGTGGTTAATCTTCGAGAAGTTTTGAATTCATGACCTTTCCAGGGCATGGTTATGTTTACTTTAGGTGGTAGGACTGAGGTTATCGATGATTGTGTCGAAAGACTCTCCAATTGGGGTAGTGCATGAGTTAGAAAGAGATGAACTATAAAGAATTAAGTCTACTCCATTGAAGACTATAAGAACTAAAGTTTGTAGTTTTAGGCTATTATCTGTATGTTTAGCGTCAATAATATGAACATGCTAAGTTTGTAGAAGGGATAAAAAAGTAACTTGTCACATCCTAATTTGTACTCATAAGCCGATGAAAGGGCATAACGTTCGGTATAGCAAGAGCACAGTGACATTTTGTGCTGGAGTTGAACTAAAGGATGGATAGTGTTGATTTGATGATCGACAATATTAGGAGTTGGACGTGTTGTGGTCTAATTTTGCCTCGATGATTTTAACGTTGATATGATTGATGTATTTTTCACTTTTGTTTAAAGAGCTAATTATTTTTTTTGTCAATCTCGAGGTTCAAGAATCTAATCGAATTGGGAGAAATTTCATTCTTGGATGTTTATACTGATACGAGCCTTTTTATCCCGTAAAATTGCAGGCAAAATACTTCTTGGTTTGTCCCTACATGGAAGAAATCCTGATGCTATGATCGAGCATCCCTTCTCTACTCAATCGAGTTCGGAAACTAGTAATTCGTCACAAGGGGGAGGTAAAATCATTACATCTCGTGAAGATCGACCACACTCCAAGAGACCCGTGGAGGGGAAAGCATTGATGAAAGCACTCGCCAATCGGGTCGAGAAACTCTTCCATAAGAAGGACGAAACTTCATCAAACAACAGCTCCTCTGAATTGGTGTCGCCATTGTCTGACAGCGAAGAAAGCACAGTGGAAATGCCTAGCAGCTCGAGCTTCGAAGAAGCCATCGAACTTTTCCAATCGAGGAACAAAAACCACGAAATGCCGGAGAATCTGCATGGGGGTATCCTTTTAGACGAAACTTACATTGTCTCCCCAAAGGATCTTAATAATCTGATTTTTGGTCCGAATTCTGATTTCCAAAGGAATTTAGCGGAATTGCAGGGGACGACGAATGTTCAAGAGGAAGCCTGGAAATGGAAATCGGATGGCGCCCCGTCTTTGAGTAGAGTTGTTTCGTATACCAAAGCTGCTAGCAAACTTGTTAAGGCTGTGAAAGCTTTCGAAGAACAAACATATGTGAAGGCTGACGGCAACGAATTCGCAATCCTTGTCAATGTCAGCACTCCGGATGTTCCTTACGGAAGCACTTTCAAAGTCGAATTACTTTTCAAGATAATCCGAGGGTCTTCAGAAGAGGAATCTGCTCGACTGGTTGTATCCTGGGCCGTTAATTTCAGTCAGAATATCATGATGAAAGGTATGGTTGAGAATGGAGTTAGGCAAGGTTTGAAGGAGAGTTTCGAACAGTTTTCGAGCTTATTATCACAAAAGTTCAAAACATTGAAAGCCGCGGATATGTCGGAAAAGGATCAGTTGTTGGCGACGCTGGAGAGCAGCCACCGGACCGATTCGAAGTCAGCTGTTCAGTACTTCTTGAATTTCACTGTGGTGTCGGCAGTTTTTATTTCTCTTTATGTTGTTGTTCACATTTTTCTCTGCGAACCGAGCAAGATTCATGGATTGGAATTCGACGGCCTTGATTTGCCCGACAGTTTTGGCGAGATCATCTCTTGCGCCCTTCTGTTCGTTCAGTTGGAGCGAACATACATTTTAGTTTCGCATTTTGTTAAAGCTAGGCTACAAAGAGGTAACAGTTGTATTTCGAGGTTTTTTTTTTTTTAATGTTATGTGTCGCATATTCTCGACTTTGATGCATTATACAATATTGACAGGAAGCGATCATGGCGTTAAAGCGCAAGGAGACGGGTGGGTTCTTACGGTTGCTTTGATCGAGGCAACGAACTTAGCTTCCGTGAATCAAACCGAAATCCCGGATCCTTATGTGGTGTTCACTTGCAATGGCAAGACACGAACGAGCTCGGTCAAGCTCCAAACTCTCGACCCTCAATGGAACGGTACATATTTTCGCGCCTTGGGTTGTTTCAATTGTTATAAATTGAAAATTTTTTGAAATAATTTTATAATTTGTGCAGAAATCCTTGAGTTTGACGCTGTCGATGATCCGCCATCGGTGTTGGATGTGGAAGTTTTTGATTTCGAGGGCCCGTTCGACCAAGCTTCCTCTCTTGGCCATGCTGAGATCAATTTCCTGAAGCACACGGCTGCCGAACTTGCCGATCTTTGGGTCCCTCTTGACGGAAAACTTGCTCAGTCTTCTCAGTCAAAACTGCACTTGAGGATTTTCTTGGACAATACTAACGGAGTCGAAACGATCAGAGATTATTTGGCAAATTTGGAAAAGGAGGTCGGGAAAAAGGTATAGCTGTGCTTTTGCATTAAATTTACGAATAGTTTTTTATAAGTGACGCCACAATGTTCTCACTAATTGTGCCTACAGTTGAGTATCCGATCACCTCACAGGAATTCGACTTTTCAAAAGCTATTTGGATTGCCGCCGGAAGAATTTCTCATCAGCGATTTCTCGTGTTCCCTCAAGAGAAAAATGCCCTTGCAGGTATAGAAGGAATATTGAATAACTTCAGATCCTATTGTCTTTTTTTTTTTTCTTATTTGTTTGTGTTTGCAGGGCCGGCTTTTTCTTTCTGCTCGAATCGTTGGATTCTATGCGAACTTGTTCGGACACAAGACCAGATTTTACTTCCTGTGGGAAGACATTGAAGATGTTCAGGTGCTGCCGCCGTCTCTTTCGACTGTCGGCAGCCCCACTCTGGTAATAATCTTGCATAAAGGTCGGGGTCTCGATTCCAGGCATGGAGCCAAGCTTTTAGACGAGGACGGGAGACTGCATTTCTATTTCCATTCATTCGTCTCTTTCAATGCTGCTAGCAGGTATTTCGCTACAAAGTTATTTTCATTTAAGCAAGGTAAAATAGCAAAAAATTCCTATTATGGTTTCCAAAAATTACTCAAAAGATCGTCTGGTCCTAAAATTCCGTTTTACTTACTTGTGGTTTTTAAATTGATGCAAAAAATATATTTTCCGTTAGTAATTAACGGAAATTATGAGGCATGCGCTTAAACTGCAATGTGGTATTACAAAATCATATATAACAAGGTATGAAATTACAAAACTACTCTCTTAGATATTTTTATAAATTACGGTTAAAACGTGTTATATATGATCTTGTAAATACTAATTGCAGGTTAAGCGCGTGCCTCATAATCTAATTAAAAGATAGGCTATTTTTTTACAATATTTTTCAAACCACAAGTAGATAAAACAAAAGCAAAATTTTAGGATCAGATGGTCTTTTCAGCAAACTACATAATTTTTTTTGCTATTTTACCTTTAAGCAATGCAAGTAGGGGTGACATTTGAATTTGAAAACTTCATCAATATTTGTTGACCTCGTTCTCGAACAGATTTCGATCGTTTATTTAGAAGTGGATCTATAAAATGAAAAGTTTTTATGAGTTGGCTACCGCCGAAATTCCCTTCGATCTGAAATTCAGATGGATATTTCACCGAATTTGAATTTGTACCTTTGGCGTGCACTTAATTTCGATGACTCGTTATATTTCAGGACAATTACGGCATTGTGGAGAACACGAACCCTGGAGCCTGATCAGAAAGCTCGGATTGCAGAGGAACAGTTGAGTGATGACGCGAAACCTTTTCTGATTGACGACACCGCATCCTATTTGGTGGCGAAAGACGTCAAGATGACGAAGGTTTACACCATCGAACTTCCTATGAACGTAAGTTCGGCTGGTCCCTTTGCTACTTTGTTCTCATTTACAAATCCCAATTGTTGAGTGCCGACGGCTATTGTAGATTTTTATATTTTAAATGATGCAGATCAAGTCGTTGATGAAGATGTTCGATGGAGGAGAGTTGGAGCATAAGGTAATGAGCAAGTCCGGTTGCCTCAACTATCAAACGACTGCATGGGAAGAAGGAACTCCCGGCACACAAGAACGCCGTGTGTGCTACAAATTCAGTCGACGGATTTCAATCTTCGGAGGCGAAGTCACATGCACGCAGCAGAAATCTCCCTTGCCGGACGACAATGGGTGGGTCGTCAACGAGATGATGACCCTTCACGATGTCCCGTTTAGCGATCACTTCCAAGTAAGTTACGGCTTCCGAGCTTTATTACATTCTTTGGAGTATGGTCGATAAAAATCCTTACACATTCTGAATTTTAGTTTTGGTTTTACTATTTACACTTGGTTTGGTTCCAATTTGAGTCTAATATGCGTCGAGTCAAATTCTATAAGTTTTTTGGCCTAAAGATGAAGGATGGATCATCGTGATTCGCTTAATTTTATTCATTTTATGGCCAAAAAGTCGATAGAATTGTATTCGATACATGTTCAAGATTCAAGTTGAAATTCGGTGAAAAGATACATGGAACTAAAATTGAATTGGTTTCTCTTATAGGTTTTGTTTAGTGTTATTGTTTCGGTATTTTTACTATACAATCATCACTATTTTCTATAAAAATACATTGCTTCATTTAATCAAATAGATCAAATAGGTAAAATTGTTTATAATATGTACTATTCTTCTTCATGATTTAAAAATTGCATAAAATTTTTTTGTAATATTTTAAAAATTGTTTAGCGATTTTTGTGTAATAGTTTTGAAAACATAAGAAAACTTTCGTGCAAAAATTATGTACAGTATTTTTAGAAACACAAGAAAGTCTCGTGTATTTCTAAATTATAAAGAATTATGGTGCAGACTTTTCATATAATTCGTTTTGCCCGTAAAATATTACATGTAAATCACTATTTAACTCAAAAATCAAAGTCAAAATAAGTAAAGAACATATATAAGTTATATTATTTCTCGCTGCAATTTACACAATATTTATGTAATGAACTCCTTATATGTTCTCCCGTGCGTGTAGGTTCAATTTCGGTACCAAATCGAGAAATCTTCTTTCACGCATAATTGTTGCAAATGTGATATTTACATTGGAGTCATGTGGCTAAGAAGCACCAACTTTGAGTCGAGGATAGCGAGGAATGTCATTGCGAAGTTCACGCATTGGTCGCAAGAGGTATTGCAATTGGTCGAGCGGGAGATATTGCTAACGGGTCGATAGCCACACTTGAGAAACATTGACATTTAGGATGCAATTGTTACACGATGTCTTAAACACAAACGATACATTTGATTGTAGAAATTACGATAGAATCGAAATTCGAATAATTCTATAGAAATAGCAAAGCACATCTCTAACAACACTATCCGGAAAAATAAATTTTTTTCGATGATATTACTGCATTCGATATATGGATAAATTAGCAATTTTAATGTGTATATGTATATATATATATTACTATGTTGCAACATCTTGGAGGAAATAAATATGAGGACTGTTATTACAGTGCTGCTGAGTATGGAGGCAATATATAGCATAACAATAATATATACTATCTCCGTGAGAACAATGATATGTACTACTTCGTCCAGCATTTTATTTATTTTTTGTAATATTAATTATTATATAAAAAATAATACAAAAGATAAAAATATTTTTATTAGTATCTTATTATAATACTATTATAGTGATATTTGTGCAAAAAATTAATATAGTTGTTCAAATGCAAAAAATAAAATAATAGTCCATACAACAAGTATACAACATATGTTAATATAGTTGTTCAAATCTCTACGCCTTAAAGACCAACCAAAAGTCCAATCAACCTAAAATATTTTACTAGGGTTTGTTTCTTTTGTTTGAGTTAAGGAAATTTTGGTTTGAATTTAGTATTAAAATAATGTTTGATGAGATGTTTTGTGAGAGAAAAAACTGTAATTTTTTTCGAAAAATACATGAGTTTAAATAGTAAAATTTGTCAAAAGAAACATAACCTATATTATTCTTTTGTACTTTTTACTATAATCAAAAGTTCAATCAACCTAAAATCTTTTACTATATTATTCTTCTGGACTTTTTATTATAAATGACAAAAAATAACAATTATTACTTATCTTTATTTAAATTTATACCTAAATATTTAAACACACAATTAGATGAAATTATGTTAAATGTTAATTTTTTTAAAGCATATAATAGAAAGTAATACTATACTTCAAATTAATTTGTGAGCTTATCAATAAGTTAATTGTGTTGGCTTTATGTTAAAATTCAATAAACAACTTTATTTATTTATAATATTATTAACTTTGATCTAACAAATAATACTCCATTGGCCATTTTTGAACAAGTCTTTGAAATTTTGTACTAAATTAAAAAATAATAGCACGGAAGATAAATAATTTTTTTATATATATAAAGAAATTACATGTGTAATGATATATTTATAATTTAAGTAAAAATTAAAAAGTATCTTGATTAATTTTTTTTTTCTAAATAAAAAAGGATTGAAACAAATAAAAATAAAAAAAAAATTAAATTGATTACTTGTATATACAATAGTTTAATAAACAATTGAAATCTACAAAAGAAAACAGGCGTAATGTTTTTACTTAAATAGAGTATTGACTTGAGTGGAAGAGAGAAAAAAAAACGGAGTATAAATAGAGGATAGAATATCGATAGTCATTTTTGCGTTGAAACACAACAACACTGCACTTCATCACTCCACGTTGTTCTTCCTTCCAATCTTCCATTCCAGAACCTTCCTCAGCCATGGATCCCAATCCCAAGAGCTTCCCCATCCTCTCCTACGTCATGGCCAAGCTCCCCACCATCAAGCGCACCTTCTCCCCGGACTTCGATGTCGAGAACCCGCCGGCGCCGGACTCGCACCCGCCGGAACCCTACTTCGAACTCACCGAGAGGATGCCGCACCTCAAGAACCCTAAACTCATCTCCGAGATGCGCCAAGCCGTGAGCGACGTCGTGGAGAGCCGATCCGCGCTCCAAGCCCTGGGTCCCCGCCCCGACCACGAGACCGTCGACGCCGCGCGGTTCCGACTGTCGGAAATAAGCGCGCACTCGTCGAGCGATTCGGAGGATGCGAAGATGTATAAGGCGGTGATTGCGGTGGACGAGATGCACGAGGCATACGAGAGGATGCTCAGCGAGGCGGAGCGGAGGTTGGAGAAGATTTACGAGGCGGCGGTCGCCGGAGATGAGCTGATTCAGGCTGATGCGGCGCCGGATCTGAGTGAACCAGAAGTGGATGCGGCGGTGGTCGAGGTTTTGAAGGAGGCAGAATCTGGGAAGGAGATTGAACGTGTGGATCTATCAGGGAGAAGGCTGACGATTTTCCCCGAAGCTTTTGGGAAATTGAAGTTCTTAATTGTGCTGAACTTTTCCAACAATCAATTAGAGGTTCGGATCATTACTTTCGAATATTCATATCCGTATTTTTTGCTTTCAGCTACTTGATTTAGTTCATCCTGTGTTTCTGAATTTATCGTTGAGTTTGCTAAAATCATGGTTGATCATATCTTCAGTTTAATTTGATGGATAAATGTGAGGTTTAGATAATCGTTGAGAGCTTCAAATCCTATCAAGAAATTATACATGGCCTGTGTCTTTCGGCTTTGTAAATGATTTAGGTTTTTCGTGATGCATATATGGAGGAGATAGTTAGGCACTGCATATCGACTGATGTAGAGCTGTTTTATTACTTCAGTGTATCTACAAAATATCGATAGGGTTGCTGAGTATTGCATTTAGTTTTCTAGGAAAGAAATTGAACACTGCCTTGTGTCTTTTGCCTGTAAATGATTTAGGTTTTTCTTGATGCATTTATGGTGAGATCAATACACATTGCATTTCAATTGATATATAGCCGTTTATGTGTTTCTTTAGGGTGTGTTTGTTTGGGGGTTTGGATTTTAGATTGGAATTTGAATAGTAAAAATTTTGAATATGAATAGGTGTATGACGTGATACAAATAAGTGTTGATGTAATATTTTGAATGTAAAATTGATTTTTAATATAATATATATAATGAAAAATAAGTGTTTGATTTCATGTTTTTTAAGGAAAATTTTTTGATGAATAGTGGAAATACATAGAAATCGTTCAAACAAACACAAGTGAACCTATGAAGCATCAATGTATGGCTTGTAAATGATTTAGGTTTTTCGTGATGCATATACGGAGGAGATAGATATACATTGCATTTGGATTGATATAGCGCCGCCGTTTTATTATTTTAGTGTCCTTACAAAGCATCGATGTAGGGCTGTTTAGTATTGCATTTAGTTTTCTAGGAAAGAAATCAAGCACGGCTTGTGTTTTTTCTTGTAATTGCTTTAGGTTTTTCTTGATGCATATATGGAGGAAATAGATAAGTATTGCATTTCGATTGATAGGACGATGTGTTTGTTGATTGAACTTAGGAAGCATCAATGTTGGGCTATTTGGATTTCGATTAGTTTTCTAGGGAAGAAACTAAGTGTGAAGAATATTAGGCTGTTACGGCTTTTTGGAGAACGTGAACAATGTGTGTTCGTTTGTGGGTTTGGATTTTTGAATAGTAAAAAGTTGAATTTAAATAGTTGTTTGTGATATAAATAGACGATTGATGTGATGTTTTGAAAATAAAATAGATTTGTGGTATAATATTAAAAAAAGAAAAGTAATTGTTTGATTTGATATTTTTAGAGGAAAAAAGGATCCTAATAGTAAAAATCTATGTTAAAACACATAAAAGAACACAGCCTTAGATACTATTTTCTTTGGCACTGTATACGTCTTTCTGTATAATTCATTGGAGAGTTGAAAATAAAAGACACAGTTTAAAAAAATGGACCTCCGACCGAAATTGTTAAGAGCAGTTAGTTCTTATTACGCAATTTGCTAACCCGAATTCGTCAACCATCATTTATTACTAAAATAAGGGGTCAATGAAATTGAAAAAATTAGCAAATTTAGAAACATCATCGTAAGCGACTTTTGTTTCATTCCCTTCCCCAGTTTTAGTTATTTATTAGACCTGTTTCTGCCGCAATATGATTTTTCCACTGGTTTAAATAATGATATTAACATACGAGCATTTCTATGTCAAGTTTGTCAATTAAGTTTAAATAATCTGTGAGCCACTTTCGCCTACCATTGGAGATTATATTATGAGTTATTGTAGATCATTAAACAGAGAATAACAATGAACTCTTTTTTATGTGTTCGAACCAGGAAATTCCCGACTCAATCGCAGGGTTAGAAAATCTTGAGGAACTCAATCTTTCGGAGAATCTATTAGAGTCATTGCCCGATTCGATCGGCCTATTGTTTAAGCTGAAACTGCTGAATGTTTCTGGAAACAAGCTTGGTGCCCTACCCGACAGCATTTGCCATTGCAGGTAACATAATTATCGAGGAAGATGACGTAAAATAGTATTTTTTATCCTCTACTAAATACCACGTTCCAATTTTAGTCCCTCAATTTAATGGTTTTTATATTTATAAATGTCTTTCGAGTCAAAATTTCAGGTTCCGATTAGATAGAAGTTTTGAAAATTTTTGGAAATAATACACGTCAGGGGTTTTATGTGATGTTTTTTGCAAAAATTACTGTTGATGAATGTTTCCGAAAGTCCCCAAAGTGTCGTAAGTGAACGTTCTTTACTTGAATTTTAGTGTAAGGGTGTGTTTGTTTGTGGATTTAGATTTCGGATTTAGAGTTTTGAATAGTAAAAATTTGAATTTGAATTAGTGTTTAATATCTAAAATTGATTCTTAGAGTGATATAAAAAATAAAATTAAATGAATTATTTATCTCTTGTTTACAGGTCGTTGGTAGAGCTGAATGCGAGTTTCAACAAACTAACGTACCTGCCGACGAACATCGGGTTCGAGCTCGTGAATCTGAAAAGGCTCGACGTACATCTCAACAAGATCCGTTCCCTCCCCACATCGATCGGCGAGATGAAGTCGCTGTGCTTTCTCGACGTCCATTTCAACGAGCTCCGCGGTCTTCCGCATACAATTGGAAGATTGACGAATCTCGAGATACTTAACCTCAGCAGCAACTTCAACGACCTGACTGAACTCCCCGACACACTTCCCGACCTGATCAACCTCAAAGAACTCAATCTGAGCAACAACCAGATTCGGGCATTGCCCGACACCTTCGGTCGGCTGGCGAGTTTAACGAGACTTAATGTGGACCAAAACCCGCTCGAAATACCTCCGAATGACGTCGCCTCTGACGGCGTCGAAGCTGTTAAGGCTTACATGGTGCAAAGATGGGAACAAATAGTGATGGAGGAAGAGCGGAGTGCGGCGATGGTTCAAGACCCCGAGCAAACACAAACGGGTTTGTTAAATCGAAGCACGTTGTGGTTGAATAATGTTTTTTCGAATGTTTCAGGGTACTTGGGAGGCATCGGGAAATCGAGCAATGACGATCCTTACCTGAATCAGCAGCTGTGAGAAAGGACTCGAACTTCCGACCTGGTGATGTTCGTAATTACATTATGTATGTGTCTTTCTTTCGTCGACGTTCCTGCGATAACTTCTTGATTTATCTGCTCGGACGGAATTAACGTTCTTCGACGCCTTTTCGATGCGTTGCTTGTTGGGTTTTGTCCGATTATTACTATACATGTTGAGATGAATCCTTCAAAGATTTTGGGTTTTTGTCTGATTATTGCAGTACATGTTGAGTGTGCATCTTTAAAATTTGACTCCAGAGCTGGCAATGGGTCGATTTGTATTGAGTTGAACACTTTAAACGGGTTAAATTACTCAATTCTAACTCGACCGGTTTATTATAGTGTCGGGTTCATGTTGACCCGTTTATTATCGTGTCGAGTTCGGGTTGATTTGTATTGATTCGTATACATAATTAAATCAAAAATTCTGATTCAAATTAAATTATATTTTGTAGTGTTGTTGTGTTATGTTAGTTTTTATTGGTTTGAGGTTGAATTATTTAAAATTGAATTTAGTTTAAATTAATTTATGAGATATGATTATTTTATATATATAATAAATATATTAATCAATATTAATATGTTATAAGTGTGTTGTCGTGTAGGATTCGAGTTGAGAGCCTTAACTATAACCCGACTTGTTTATTATTGTGTCGGATTCGTGTCAATCCGTATATATAAACGGGTGGGTTGAAATATTTGACCCAAATTTAATTATTTCGTGTCGAATTGTTGTCTCGGGTCAATTTTTCTATGTGTTCTTACTAAACGAAATTAGGTAGAAATGGTTTCGTTTTTAATGACTTGCTTCGTCTGAGGTTTGGCCGGAGTTAGATTGTGTAATATTTATTTTTAATACTAGTATTATATTTATGTGTAATATATATTGTGAAAAATAATTGTATGAAATTCAAAAATTGTATTATATTAATGTCAAGATAAACTTAAATCATAGATAAGGTCAAATTATAATTTAAAATTATTAAATTTAAAATAAATCAATCAATATTATATTAATCTAACAAAAATATTAAATTAAATTTAAATTTAAATTTAAAATATCTCAACTTATATAAATCAAAGCACAAGAGTTGAATAAAAGTTTTGAAATATAAAAATTTATCATTTGATTCAATATTTTGTAATATATATATATATTTGATATAAAGTTAACAAACTTCTGTGATATATATATATATATATATTTTTAGGAAAAACACACAATGTTCCAAAAAATGTTATTGCAAAGAGATTCCATGTGTTCCAAAATAACTTCAAATAGTTAAAAGTGAAATTCGGGGTATTTAGAAAGCGAAATGACCAAAATGGGTCTGGCGCAGAAGTTCGCCGCACGAATGACCACCGCCCATTTTATTTCACCAGTTGCCGCATCGCCACTGTCAACAACCGCCACGGCCACCGCACATCGGAGCTCCGCCCCCACCGCCTTTTATACCTTCACTCGACTCTTATCCTCCGCCATGAGCGCCTCCAGGACCGTCGCCACGACTCCTCTAGACACGCTGTTCAAGCAGAAAAAGGCTCTCCGCTCCAAAGTCAGAAAAGAGCTCAAGTCAATGGACCCCGCCCTTAGATCTCAAGAAGGCAATTGAATTCGTTCGAAACACGTATTTATTTGTTTTCACGCGGTTTTGAATTTCTAGATTTTTGTTGTCTCGGAAATTTTTGTGATTTTATTATGTTTTATTTGGGGGAAAGTTTTTTTTAGAGGTTTCTACGATTTTTGTTTGTTTGCGCAGACGACGCAATTCAGAGCATTGTATTGAATGCTCCATGGTTCAAGTCCTGTAGAAGTCTCTGTGCTTACATCAGCTGCGCCGCGTTGAGAGAAGTGGATACATCGAAAATTCTATCTGAAATTTTGAAGAACACATCCACAGGTAATCTTCTAATTTAGATTTGAAATAAGATTTTTGCTTGTTTGATCAATTTGAATGATTTTAGATTAGTGTTCTCATCACTTAATTCCAGAAAGTGTTAGCATTGGATGTTATTCGTTAAAACCATTATTGTGGTTCATTTAATGAGATCAATCATGGTTAAGTATAAATGATGCTGCCATTACTATTTAGAAATTGTAAGATCTTTTTTGGTGTTATAATTGTGATGGTGCTGGAGTTTGGCTGTGTTCAACTTGTTGTTGTATCCATCAAAACATAAGTTCTTAATTTGTTGTTCTTCAACAAGATGATGGTTCACAGGTTCGAAAAAAGGTTTATGTTCCTAGAGTGGAAGACAAGAACAGTTTCATGCGGATGCTGCACATTTCGAAGATGGATGATTTGATTGCGAATTCCATGGATATATTGGAACCTGCATCATGTGATGCTGAAGGAAACGAACGCGAAGATGGTAATTCTTGTTTGTTATTGCGCTATTATTTGCACTGTATTGGAAATTTCCGATTGTATGTGGTTCTCACTGGCCTTGGAAGAATTCTTAGATGTGTCTGTTTGTGCTTTCAAGTTTTCACACTATTAAATTTAAAGTAAAATATTTTCCCTGCCCCTTGAAAATCATTCCCATCACTTATTTTCCATTGAAAGAGAAAATTATATCCAACATGTTTTCATTCAAAGTATTACATTCCAAACCTTATACTCCCTCCGTCATCGAAACTCATATCCATTTGACGGTGCATGAGTTTCAAGAAAAGTGGATAAAAATAAAAAAAGATTTCCTTTTATAGTAAATAAAAAGTAGTATTTTTTTTTACTAAAAAAAAACGAGAATATTATTTTATGACAACCAAAAAGAGAAAATAAACATAAATTTGGATGACGAATGGAGTATTTCTTTCAAAAAAATTTCTAAGGTTTGAACTCTGGAAAACACAAGCAAACAAGCTTTTAGTTACCCACTACAGCATGGAGAATCTTTACATGATAGGTATTATGGCTGCTATGAACAATGGCTTTGTGTTTAGTACCACATAGTTTCATCACTATATGCTTCAAGAACAGAGTACAATTCTTGAAAATGTAACTTGATTTATTGCTATTAGGGAAACATTTTACCAACAACTTTTTTGCAATTCCAAGAAGTATTTTGTGTACCATTTGGTTGGATAGATTTGAACTTAATGGTGGACTTCAAATGGATTGATTTGATTTAGTGTAGATTTAAAATAAATCATAATTAAAATCGATTGTTTGGTTGTATGAAGTATTTGAAATAACACAATTTAAAAAATATTTGAAATATTAAAGGAAATGGATTTGAAATCCACAACTAACTCTAGAGATTTGAAATACATCATATTGAAAAACGAAACTAATGAATTTGATGGTGTTACTTGAAATTTTTTTAATCCAAATCCCTCCAATTAATCGGGTCCTTAATGATTTAAATAATTTTTGGCTCAATATTGTTTGATATTGCGTGTGCATGCAATTGCCATACCAAATCTCGTGCATACATGTGATATTCTGGATATTTGTGACTTCAAAACTAATGTATGTCTATCCCGTGCAGTCATGTTTGCAGGTGAACCTGTTGACTTGTTCCTTTTACCTGGTATGACGTCAAAAGTCTCTCACACTTCGTAGGGATTGATCAAATTATCGTAAATGATCTTGTAGAGTTTTTTGGCTACAAAGATTTGTGTCATAATTTGTTCTCTTGATTACCCAGGTCTTGCTTTTGACAAATTCGGGAGGCGCCTGGGCCGTGGTGGAGGGTATGTAATGCATTCTTCTTTTTAGTATCTGTTTTCAATAATTGAAGTCCCATTGTTTAGAGTGCGGTGATCTTGGTCTATATATGTGAAGATCTTATTTATTTCTATGTTTTTAGCATATGAAAAGAGAATTTCAATATCATTAGAAATTAATCAATTTGTAATAATCTTTTTACATTGTTGTCATTGTGCTAAAATGCATGCTGACTGTCAACCGATGTCTCTTTTCTTTTTTATTTCCAAAGACAAAATTGATTCTGTGATAATTATTGTCGCATTGTTATCTATTCTTCCTGATGTTCTGCAAAACATCCTTTTCAAAGATGCTGTCTCTGCATTCATGAACAAAGATCTCTTTTAAGGCGCATTTGGCTTTATTATCTAACAGTTCAAGTACAATTGATATATGGATTTGAGAGTAGATTTGAAATGCTTTATAATTATAAGTCATTGTTGATTTCACAAGAATTTTCGGAAGTATTTAAAATGATGTAGCGTTAAAGAGGTTTTTTTTTTAAATATTAAAAGCTATGAATTTGAAGTACACATCTAACTTCATAGATTTTGCATGTCCAAATAAAAGTAATGGATTTGAGGGAGTAATTTGAACTTCATTATGTTCCTTTCATCGAGCTATACTTAAAAGTTGAAGATGAATATATGTGAACATCTCTTCTCCGTAAATTTTAATCTCCTTGAAGATGAATATATGTGAACATCTCTTCTCCGTAAATTTTAATCTCCTGTTTGTATTTCTCTGCCTATTTACGAAACTGAATATTAGTGATTATGCGTAGATCTACCCAAGCATCTTCGTGGTTTATTGCATCTACATTGTATAGTAATGACTATTTCCTTTCCATGATGTGTTGTAATAAATCAAACTTAGCTATTACGATGCATTCCTCACAAAATACCAAGAGCTTACAAAGGCGCGCACGTGGAAGAAGCCTTTATTTGGTACGATGAGCTAACTATTTATCACATCTTACATACATATGTATATATATATACAGGGGTTGGTTTGCATGTATTGTATTATTTGAAGACATATGTTGTTAGTTCATAGTATATTTTATGAATATACGTCTTGTGTTGAAAATAAATGTTAGGATGTGTTGTGTGGACTATATCATGTATTGTCAGTTTATATGTTTACTCCCTCCGTCACACTCTAAAGAGGTTCTTTGGAGTTTTTTGTAGTAGATTAAGAAATAATAGTATTTTATTAGTTAGTGAAAATATGTAAGAGTTTTGATATTTTTGACATTTGACAACTGCATGTGTAATGGTATGTTTGTAATTTAAGTAAAAATTAAGGTATTTTTGTATTAGTATGTGATTACTTTTACTAAAATAGAAAATAGATACTTTGAAGTAGAACATACGAAAATGATAAAAAAATGTACTTTTAGTCGGGACGGAGGGATTTTTGTATTATGTTAACATAAATTGTACTCCCTCCGTGGTACTCTAAAGATCTAATTTATCTTTTGCGTACTTAACATTAAAAATATTTTTATATTTTTTATATTTTTTTGGTCATTATAATAGTATTATAAGATACTAATAGAAGTATTTGTGTCATTTTCGTTTGATTAATATTCAAAGATTAATACGCAAAAAGTTAATGAGACCCTTAAAGCTGGACGAAGGTAGTATGATATATGTTGTTATATTATGTGTTGTCTATAATATGCCGTCAGCACTAGACTCAACACAATAACCACCTATATATATATATACACACTAAATTCATATATATATATGAATGCTCGGGATTTTCCACGTGCAGTTGCTCTTTCTTACTCGTGCCAAATTCTAGAAGACGGCGTTATACCAATTACTCCGAACGATATCCCCATCGATGCACTTGTAACATCCTCTGGTGTCATCCCCATTAGCCCAGCTGCCGATGAGAAATGCATCTCTGAATAAACTTGCGAAATGTTTGTAAGGTACGCATCTTCGAATTCATTTATTTTTCTATCATGTCAATTCATGTTTGTTTCTTTAACCATTGTGAGTCGAGAGTCGTCGTAGTTCGTTCTGTGTGTGTGTGTGTTTTTTCTATTTAAGCTATGCTATGGTATGCTGTGATATTAGCCAATTCGGATTTGGGTCTTTAATCGTTTTACTTGGCTTTCCATAATCTATAGAACATGTTTTGTTGTGTTTGTGTGTTTTGGGACATTGGTTTCCTTTTTTATGTTTGGATTTGGAGCTTTTAGTATGAAAATAGGAGTATTTGGTCAATATTTTAAGTGAAAATTTAATTTTTTAAATATGCTTTCTCGGTCTCATGTGAATTGATAAATATTTGTAGGTACCACATTTAAAAGTATTATTTCATACGTTCTAGACGTATTGATTATTAAAACTATTATTTCATCCGACCTAGACGAATACTGACGGTTTGTTCAATTGAAGAATTTTACCAAAATTCTACTATTCATCCAAAATTTTCCCTCCATAAACATCAAATCAAACACCTATTTTTCATTTTTTATATTATACTAAAAATCAATTTTACATTCAAAATATCACATCAACATCTATTTATATTACATCATACAACTATTCAAATTCAAAATTTTTAATATTCAAATTTCAATTCAAAATCCAAACCCCAAACAAACACACCCTGACTATATTTTATGTGCAATAATATATTTATAATTTATATAAAAGAAAATTAAAATTTCAGATAATAATAATAATATTGAAAAATAAATAAATATGATTGTATTTTTGGACATATATTTGAATACAAATAAGTAATAATTTGACACATTTTATTTATTTATTTATTTATTTATTATTATTATTATTATTATTATTATTATTATATATAAAGCAATAAAAAAAAATACTTCCTCTACTTAATTAGTGTTAACACGGAATTTAGAAACTATTCACATTAGATTGGTAGTAAAAATTTTCTTTTACCTTTGCGAGTATATTTTAATTTAAATGTAAAAAATAATTATATTTGTATAAGAATAATAATAAAAAAAATATTATAATTTTATAATAATATGATTATTTATTGAAAAAAAAAAGTATTATTTTGACCCAAACAAAAATGATAAAAACAAGACTAATGAGACGGAATGAGTATTATTTTAACTTAAAAATGAGAATATATTTTAATGAAAAGAAAAAAAAATGAGTATAATTTTCGACAACAAGGGCAAGTACAGAAGAATGAATCCACACCAAATTATACATGCAACAAAAGCCAAGGCAGGCCATTTCTTACCTTCACTTATTCACTCATAACCAATAAATATGTTCGTAAAAAAATTGTACATGCTTACGGAGACAATCGAACAATTTCCCACGCTATCTTCCCGTTTATATCTTGAGGAGTGTATCTCAACCTGAATCAATAGAATAGAATCATTTTCTCGATTTTTTACTTATAATTAACATTATCTACAATCACTAGTCGAATGAAAGAAAAACATGTTTTCCTACTAAACGAATCATATCAAACAACTATTTTTCATTCAGAACTTTTTAACTTTAAAACATCCGGACCACAAACAAACACATCATACGTCATTATTGATGCTCGCGACTAGTTATCCATTTTCTTTCTTGTTTTGAATTCTCTAATCATCTATTCTATGGCCATCGTGCTTAACTTTTCCGTTGAAACTATGAATCTTACAACATGCTTCATGTTGACATAAGAAATAGACAAATAATATAGCATTGTGTTACCTATCATGCAATCGAGACGGTTGTCCTTGCCAAAACTCAAAAAGCTCTGGCACGAGTCGGTAACCTCCCCAATAGGCAGGTTTTGGAATCGGACTCCTGCAAATCAATATGAATTTGTTAGTCAAAAATATATTAATAATTCATTCAAAACATCACATCAAAATATATATTGCATCAAATACTATTTCCATTCAATTTTTACCACTCTCAACCTCAAAACCAAATCCAAACCTTAAATACACACAATCAAACACAGCAATGTCGGTTCATAATACATAGTCGAGAGTCACATTACTACAACTTGATATGAAAATGGATTTTCTCTTGTGTTTGCAGATTAAAAATTAATCAATCATAATAAAGTATCATAAAATACCTAAATGTTTCTCTTTATGAACACACAAAACTCAAGATGCAATGCTAATTCCAATTACATGTTCTGCCCAAACATTTCCGTTTTCTGAATTTCATAACCACACAAATTTCGTGTGTTTCTTTGTCTTTTCATTCCTTCAATCCCTATAAAATATCAAATCAAATACCAATAATTCCATGAAAAACATCACATCAAAGCTTATTTTCGATTCAATATTTTATTATCCCCATAACAATCTAAAACACTTAAGAACTTAAAGAAACACGTTGAGTTGAGGATGAATTAACTAACCCATTAGAGTACTGAGCCTCCAGCTCTTCCTGTTGCTGGTATAGAACATGTCTTCCGGGTAGTACAGTACTCTGGAGGTAAACAAGACATATGTCGACCTTTTTTTATTCCAAGTACAAAAAAATCGATTCCCATTCCAAAAAGAGAGTGGAAAACACACCTGTTTGCTTACTATTGCTCCAATTTGGCTACCTCTCGGACGGCTGTGGAAGTATTGTTCGGATTCTTCCTCCGATACCTTTTGCACTGGTCCTTCAATTCTAACCTAGATCATGTAAATGAAAGCTTTATCTATACAGGAACTTAAAGTGAATAATTTCGGTGCAAATTTTAATCAGTTTGGATGGAAATTCTTTCAGGAAGGATTTTCACAAATTTGAAACACAAACACATACTAAGGCAAAGCGACCGTAATCAAGGATGTATTTTGCTGAAAACAAAAGTTATGAATATTCTACACAACTGAAAAGCAAGTCTATGTATGGTCTTACAATCATATCTACCAAAATTTGTCGAAGCACTTATCAATAGCATAAATCTTATCATGTTTCAGACTAGATTCCTAACATAAAACAATTCAACCGGATAAATATCATCGTATAAAATTTATCGTATTTGCAACTTTGTCATATCCCAAAACACCTAGTCTACGAGTTCGGCAAACAAAAAAAATTTGTTCCAAAAGCTAGAAAGCATTCATCTTCAATATACATTTACTATAACCAGATGGCTGCCAAGCAATGAATTCAAACACTAGAGAAAAAAATTGAAACCGAGTGAACATGTTGGATAGTTCTCAATTGATCTAGAGCTTCATGAGACTTGAATAGAATCTGATGAAATATAAGAGATACCTGACGATTCAAAGTAGCCCAGTAAAAAAGCAGAGCCGCTTGAGGATTTTCTGATAGTTGACGAGCCTTTTGGCTTTCATAATTGGTGTACCTAATAATAGATAAGAGGCTTAAGACTTCTGAGTAGCCAATAGGAAAGCAAGTAATATGTGTCTGCACAATAAGTGCTTCTTTTACCAGACAAAACCTTTTCTGTCGAATCCTTTCAGCAATACCATTCTTGATGATCTGCAGGAAAGGAAAACCATAAATTCATCACGGAAATGTTTGGCAAGTATAGAAATTTAAAAAAAAAAAAAAAAAAAAAAAAAAAACTTAATAATCCATAAGAATATGGTCACATATTATTGAACACATAATCATATTCCAGGGTCATGCTTCATGGGCATGGCATAGAAAAACCACGATGGGATCATCAGACCAACAAAAGGAAATTTACAAAAACAAAAAAGAAAGAGAGAAAGAAAAACTTGAACTGGTTAAATGTCATGTTATAGATATACAGAGAGCAAATTCATTGCATTGTCATCATATGACAAAGGACAACTTGCTCTAAAAGAATGCCACAAACATGCAGGAAATAAAAAAAAAAAAAAAAAAAAGTGCCACAGAAGCAAAATAAAATACTAACTCTGAGTACTGTAATAAAATCCACAAACAATAGCCTCATGGTTTTTCTCCATGAAAGTATCATAAATGAGAAAGAATACGGATAAGAGTAAGGAACGTACGGCTTGCCATCCTTTCCAGTTGTGGACAGTGCCATAGCATTCGGTTCCCTCATGCCTGATGTCATGGCATCATCAAACCATTTTTGGAACTACAACATTAGGAAATGAGTTAAATTAAATGAAGCATCATCTATGCAGAGAAATTGAAAGGGGACAAAAATCAAGATTTAATTTTAGCTCAGGTATATCATGGTGCGTATAAGAAACTTCTATAAAATTCAAACCTGGTATCATTTAGACATACATACATACATATATATATATATCAAAAGCTACAGATGAAACAGCAACTCTGATTGACATGAAATAGCACCTGAGTGAAGGGATCAGCTTCAGCTTGGTCCTCTGTAAACACCGGCGAAATATAATTCTCTCGAAGAGCTGATATGTCAACTCGTGGAGGCTTGCCTATTCGGACACACATAGAGGTTCCTGGATAAGCCGGAAGCTCAAGCTTGAATTTTTCTGCGATGGCAGGAGGGACAAACCGGCCTCCAAGAAAGTGATGTGGACCAGAAAACTTTTTTGCACATAACTTTGGTGCCGTTAAGGAAACCTACAAACAAATTGCAGCATATTACAATTCCAATCAAGAGTGACAGGAATTCTCATCGTCAGCCACTAAAAGGTTGAATTTCTTAACAATCAATGCATACAAGCATGGTGGGTTTGATGCCTTCGCCACTGAGATCGCCTTCTTCAACATGCCATCCAGATGGAATATCTACGGAGACTATGGGTGGTGATTTCTGTTTCATTTGACTGTCATTTCCCAGGGCAACTAACTTTTGTATTATATCATCAAAAGGTGGTCTTGGGCTGCCTAAGGAAGTTTAAAGCATGTAATGAAAGAAGGTATCAGTTATAACACATCACATATGTATTCGGTATATTCTTAACTTGAAAAATACTACAATTACAAAAATTTATTTGTAAAAATCACTCAAAAGATGACAAAACAAATACTCCTGAGAACATAACTTTAATTAATTGAAGGATCTTAAACCTAAAAGAAAGAACAGGGACTATCGAATGGAAGAAAGAATTGAACTGGTGTTAAAACTTAGACAATTTATATTTTATGGTCAAATATATTTCCGATGCAGTAATAGCTGGTCAAGAATGGATCATCATGTTTAGAAGTGATCTTCATCTACATGATCTGAAAAAGTATAGTGTGTAAGATGAAGCATATAACTAAGAAATGAAGCAGAGCCACCCAAGAAATTTTCAGGTTACAAAAGTCCAAACCAGATGAAATTTCATCTCATCTCCTCAATGATGTCAAAGCTTAACAGGTCATGTCTTATTCTTAACGCAATATTAATTTGGAATCTGCACATTTTGTGGTAATTGCTTGAATAGATAATTGGAATGATGAGAGAAACAGAAAAATGTAAAATAAAATCTCAGATATAGAATTCCAATTCTGATGAACATAAGAGGTACAAAACAAATTAAATTTCCAACAAACTGAGCAATTTCCAATCAACTAAATCATTTCCCACAACCCCTATCCTAATTTACCAACACTTTATTAGCTTTAAGAATTTTGGAAAGAGAAATACAGAATAGACTTGGGAAAATGATTTCCATTGCTTAGTTAACAAGGATACAATAAGGAAAACTGAGAATGAGAATTTAGGGCAAAAGGCAAGATATCTTTTCTGACCAGGGAAAACAAATTCAACCCTTCATTTGCTTCAGAAAAGACTCAGCAATTCAATTTGATGATCTTATGCTCTATACATAAAGTAGTGTAACGAAATTCAAGAACCAAATAGAGCATAATAAGGAAGGAAAAGTGGACTAATATACATCACATTTTGGAAAAAAGAATTCATTAGCATGAACTTACAAAGAAAAAACATGAAAGTTGTGTTTAAAAAACCTGCAATGTTAGGATTACCACCATAGTTAAATACGATATCAATATTTATCGTCCACTAACTCTAGCTCAAAACTTGTTCAATAGCTATCTTTACTTACCCTTAAATGAGAACCCAAAGATGGCATCCACTACAATGTCAAAGCCATCTGACAAGTCTTTCGGCAGATCTTCCACAGGCAGGAATGGAATGGACAATGACTCTAACTGTAAGAACTTGGGTATAAGCATTGCTCTAACTTAAGGCCATTATAGTATATCATGATTAAGCCATTCCCAATACCTGTGTCACCAGCCCATCGTAAAGAGGCTTAGCAGTACGTTTCGGGTAACAAACAAATGGTTTGTACCCAAAGTGATGCAAATGACGAGCAGCTACAAGACCATCACCACCATTATTCCCAGGGCCACAGATAGTGAGAACTCGACTGTGATCTACGGGCTTATAGACCTGCAGAACGAAAGAATTTACAACTCAAAGGTGCAGAAACTGTACGTGCAAAAGGATATTCTTGCACCTTATTAAACAAATAAAAAAAACACGAACAAAGGGAAAATAAAGTCATGGAGAAATTAAGCATAAATAAATACAAAATGATACATTTCTCTCTCAAACTGACCTATTGGTTAGGCAATCAAGGAACAATATGGCAAAGCCAGTAGATGGTCCCATTTTTAAATTCCACCACGACCCATTCGTGAAAAATTATGTCACATGCAAGGCTTACTAAAAGAGATTTAGCTTGTGTCTTTAGGGTGCAAGTTAAAATAAATAAATATTTTGTACGTAATTCCTATTTTTCTCGTTAAACTTGAAGTATTCAACAAATATACATCATGGTTCAACGGTTCTTTGCGTGGTTCATCAGATTTGCACCATAGTTATATCAATGTTCAACAAATTTACGACATGGCTCGAGATAATCATATTATGTTTCAACACTATAGTCGCAAACTAATGTTTGACGTCGTTCATCAAGTTCAAGAGATCTCTTAGAGAGGTTCTTTTATATAAGACTTAAATGAATTCAGCAAATAATCCACTCCCAAATGAAGTATATTTATCAATTGTTTTAGTTCAGATGATCATTCAACAGACCTGGAGCAATTTACTACTCCCTCCATCCGGAATGTGTATCTAGATTAAAGAATAATAGTATTTTATACCTAATGGATAATGTACAAGAGTATATTGATTAAAATACCCTTGAAAGTACAATTGATACGGAGTGGAATGGTGTTCTTTTGGAGAATTTTGTAAGGATTTTACTACTCACCGAATTTTTTTTCCTAAAAAACATAAATCAAACGACTATTTTCATTTTCTATATTATACAAAAAATCAATTATACATTTAAAATATCGTATCAACGCCTATTTATATCACATTGTACAACTATTCAAATTCAAAAATTTTACTATTCAAATCCCAAAACCAAAGTCTAAACCCCCAAACAAACACACCTAGATCAAATGTAATGGAATTTTGACAACCTTTACTACATTAAGAAATTAATATATTGATTGTAAACAACCCAAATTGATAAAATGAATACACTGATAGCAGACAAAAGGAATATTATACAATCACATGTGTACTAATATCAGCAACAAGAAAAAGCTCTCGAATGTAGTTCAGGTTGATCATTCAACCGAAATAGAACAATTTATTACTTCATCCATCCGAATGTATGTATCCTAAGGAATACTACCATTTATGTGAGACTGTATTAACTAAAATATCCTCGAAAGACCAATTGACAAAGAATTGTATGGTTGTAATTTTAGATGAAATGTAAGGGAATTTTGACTACATTTACTACAATAGAAAATAGATATATTGATTGCGGACGATCCAAAACAATAAAATAAATACATTGATAACCTTATCAGCAACAACAAACAGTTCTCGAATGTAAGCAATGGTGAAGGTGAAGAAAAACCACTAATTACAAAAATTTACATGAAAAAATAAATAAATAAAATAAAAATGGGTACATACCTCAGCTATTGAAGAGGCCACACTCAAACCAGCCAATTCCTGCAACCAGAAAACTCCAATAATCAATCGAAACAGCTACAGTACAACAACAACAACAACAGAGCTAATTTTATTTTATTAAAAAAAAAAAAAAAAAAAAAAAAGAGAAGACCATCAGCTGATCGACGCTGAATCCCAAAGGCCCCATGAGAATCTCATCGACTTCCGCCGCTTCTCGCTGATTTAAATAGGAAATCGACTCCGTACCCGTCGCGATTTTGGGCGACGCCATTGCTTTCGGTAGAGACCTCGAAGTCGAACAATAAGCACGCCCAACGCACCTCGCAGCTGAACTCCAGCTCCAACAGCCCTAAATCCACAATCAGAAACAAAATAAAACACTAGAAAAAATCAACAAAACAAACAGCTTTCCCTTCCTCAAATGCGCGGTGAATGTGGGGGAAAAAATTCAATGAGGACGAACAAGAAAACAGCGAGGATTGAGAATTCGGACGGAGGGGAGCGCCGGCGGAGAGATGGGGGAGCTCCTAAGCAGACATATCATGGGATAAATTGTGCGGATGGATTGCTGCAGTCCCATGGCAATGCATCATCTAATCTTACTATTTAATAGGTAATAAATATTCGTTGTGTGTAGTCTTTAGGATTGCCAAACAGTCGTTGCAACAATTTATTTATTTATTTATTTTGATGTAAAATATCGAAATATCGTAGTAAATATAAAAATAATAAATATAAAAATAATATTTTTTAGAAAATATATTAAAAATCATAATAGAAAAAATAAAATTTGTAGCCAAAATAGCTGTTAAACTAAGGGTGTATTTTTTTACACTAAAATTTTGCATATTTTATTATTTGAACTTTGATTTTTTTGATAAAAAATAATAATTTAATATTAAATTTAAACTTAAATTTTCTCATGCTTTATCAAATGAAACAAACCCGTAGAGTATGTAAAAATATAAAATTATATCAATTTTTTTTCAGTTTAATTTATTACTGATTATGATTATTTTATTTGATAGAGTTCTGTTATTCTATCTACCTTTTTATTATTTAAACAGTACTCAAATTAAATATATATATATATATATATAAATGTAAATTCCATCCAAATTAAGAAATTAAAAAAAAAAAAAGAAAAAAAAAACATAGCCAAACAATCCAAACAAAGGTAGCCTAATTATTCCATGTATTTTATTGTTTAGTTTCTTAGAATTTGTTTGATTGCAATTTTAAATTAATTTGAAATGATAAAAATCTGTCTTTGTTTACATTTTTGTGTGTCCCAATACAATAGTCTTGTTCTTGTAAATAATTATATCATCGTAAAATTACCTTTATTTTTTTATTTTTATTACACAATTATTACTACTTTTTCTGCTAAAAAAAAATTTTTGTTCATACTTTTTACAAATTACCAATATAATATCGATATTCGATATTCGATATTCGTTAAGTGTCGTGCCACCTCAATTAAGATATATTGTACGGAGAGAATAGTATTTTTTGCAGCTGACTCTAATAAATACCTATAAATAGAAGATTAAGCCATTATAGGCATAATGTAAACGATAATAAAAAATAATAAATATATATATATATATAAGAATAATTTATTAATACTCTTAATAAAGTCTTTATATATATTTATTTATATTATTAAAAAGATATACAAAAAATAAAAAAAAATAAGTAAATAAATCTAAAATTTATATTAATTAATTTTAAAAAATGAAAGTTTTATTAGATTACCACTATTTTATTTTTTTTAAAAACAAAGGAGCCTAATGTCTACTAATATTTTTTATAAAAATAAATTCTAAAATTAAATAATTAACCATCTCAATTTGTTTCGACAATCTGTAAATACCACAATTTATTTATATTTTTTTATTATAAAAAAATTATTATATAATAAAATATAAATAAATTTGTATATTTATCTTAATTTAGGTTTATCTGCTTAATCTGTTACTTGAGATAATGTGAAATCCCTTATATTACTCATTATTCCCTATATTACTCATGATTCAGTTTCGCAGTATTTCTTATTTTCAGTAAATTTCCGTGAGAGATTTTTTACTTTTCAATTAGAGACTCTAACCTCTGAACTCCAGCGTCTAAGATACTGCAATGGCCATGGCGACTCCTTCAACTCTCGTGATTAAGGTTAGGATTTTGAATATTTTTGTTTCCCTCGTTTCCTTCCGCCATGTTTTTTCTTTTTCTTTTTTTTTTCTTTTGTCTAGCGTGGATGATTTTGCTGGTTTTCCTGAATTTGTCAAATCTATTTTATACATTTGATGCCATTTTGTTTACGAGAATGATATTCTGTAACGATACGATTTGTTGAAGATGACTGTTGTTGAAAATCATGTGTATATGTTATTTGTTGCCTGTCTATATGTTGTTTGTTCATATGCTATTATATTAGAGTAGGTTTTATTGTTTTCGTTTGTTGCTGTGTATCTGCCATTACTCTGTAATTTGAGGTTTATTTTATTCTACTTTGCTATACACTGAAAATCGAAATTTATGAGTTTTGGTTAATCACAAAACTGTGCTGCAATTTGTTTCTGGTTTATATTATCTTATAACTATGGTTAGTGATCTAAATTTATGCCTACCTTTATAGTAACAAATTGATGTAAATTGTTCTACAGGTTAAGTATGGAGATGTACAGAGGCGTTTCATTGCTGGAATTTTGGGGGAGAAATTGTATTATAGTATGGATGGATTGAAGAAGAAGATTCGGTTTCTTTTCGATATTTCTCCCAATGTCGAACTGATTTTGAGGTACACTGATAGGGACGGCGATGTCATGCATCTTGTCGACGACGATGATATTTGCGATGTGATGAAACAGGGCCTCAACCCTCTTCGATTAACTCTTTTGCTCGGTTCACGGATAGCCTCAAGTGTGCCTAGTTGCTTGCCATTGCAGGGGATTTTCGAAATTCTGAAATGTATGCCGGGGCCTCTGCGCAGAAGTCTCACTAACAACGTCGCCTCCGATGTTTCATCTAATGCATTGCCTTCGGATGTCTCTGAAAATAGCTTGTCGGTTTCATCGAAGACACTGCCTTCGGATGTCTCTGAAGATGTCTCTGAAAATAGCTCGTCGGTTTCATCAAAGACATTGCCTTCGGATGTCTCTGAAAATAGCTTGTCGAATACATCCAAGGATCATAACGATGGTAACCTACAAAATGATAATGTTGGCAATGTATCTATCAAAAACTGGGATTGGGACAAATGTCGGAAGCCACGGTCTGTGAGACCCCTGATGGTTTCCCCTGTTCTTTCGAGGAAGACAATCCGAGCTTGTTGTCTTGCGAATGAAATATCTCGCGTTGAACGAGAGACGAGTTCCTTTTGTGATAACAATGGATTCGCGTCCCAAGTGTAAGAATTAATCGTTTTTCTTTGATAGTATTTCTTCGATATGATATTGTCTGATGCCATCGTTTGTCCTCTCTTACAGAAAGTCGAACGATCACAGACTCGACAGTTTCATCGTTGATTCGAATGCAAATATAGTCGATATTACAGTTACTCCGCCTTTAACTATGTTTGCGAAGAAATGGCGATTGAGGAACAATGGCACGGTCGAATGGCCGCAGGGAACGTATCTTTGTTGTACCAGCGGAGAGCAGCTGAGACGCAATCCTTGCCTCGAACTTGAGGTGATTTTGAATCAGTCGAGTGATTATCGATGTTGTTCGTTTATTCGTTCTTTACTTATTTTCGATTGATTTTCCGTTTCATCTTAGATTCCTATATCCGGTGTGCCAGTAGGCGATGATCTAGAAATTTTTGTCGATTTTGTCGCTCCTGAAATGCCCGGCAAGTACATCTCTATTTGGACAATGACTTCGCCGGATAGACAGTATTTCGGACAAGCTCTTTGGGTCATCTTACAGGTTAGCCTGTCGATTTTTTTGTTCGATTTATCGCATTCTTGTGGAGGCTTCTTACAAACATTTCGGATTCTTGTGTTCTTGGCTAATCGTAGGTTGATCATGTCGCTACGACGCTAAATTACGAAGAAGACGACAGCTGTGACTTGAGTCTGAAACTGTCCCTTGGAAGCAGCAGCAGCTGTATAAATTCGAAGCCGGCATTTGTCGAAGATATCAAACCTCAGACTGCAGAAATAGATTCGAATCCAGAGCCAATTGTTGAACCTCAGATAGAAGACGAAGAATCAACACCGGTAGAGCATTCGAGTCCAGCGCCAATTGTCGATGATACGCAACCTGAGATCGAAGATGAGGAGAAAATTCCGATAATTAATTTCAATGCAGTGCCCATTGTTGAAGATACGGAACCTCAAACTGAAAGCGAATACTACGAGAGCGAAGAAGAAAGCTACGAAGAGGATGAGAGCGAAGAAGAAAGCTACGAAGAGACTGAAAGCGAAGAAGAAAGCTACGAAGAAACTGAAAGCGAAGAAGAAGAAGAAGAGAGTGCAGAGGATACAGATACAATGAATGTGGACGGGTGGACGAACTCGACAGCTTGGCGTCCGACTATATACGAAAACTACACTTCATCTATTCTACTAGGGAATGGTGCGAACGATCTATGGATTTCTGATCTGTGTGGTCTATCTGTCCCGGATTCAGCAATGCCTATGCATGTTTCCAAATCTTCGAAAAGGTCTCTAAGGTCGCTTTTGTATGGCCCTCCAGAATCTGAAACTGAGGTTTCTGTAAATAAGGAGGATCCTGCCGAGGAGGAGAAGATTGGTATTGTGAAGAAATTTCACGACATGTACGTAAACGAGAAGAAATCAGAATGTGAATTGGATGAGACAAGGGACGATGATTTCAGTGACAGTGACGACTGGGATCCCATGCTAGAAGAGCTGCTGGAGATGGTGAGATTATTATTATTATTATTATTATTATTATTATTATTATTATTATTATTATTTTTATTTTATTTTATTTTTTTGTTTTTTTTTTGGATCTGTGAATTTGATTTGATTGTGGATTGAAGGGATTTAAGGATTCGGAGACGAACAAGAAGCTGTTGGAGAAGAACAATGGGAGCATAATGAAGGTGGTTTTGGATCTTATTGCTGAAGAGAATATTGGTAATTGATTTTTTCTTTTTATTTTGGATTTTTTTTCTTTTTTTAAGGATTAGCTTTTTGTGTTTTGGATTATTTATTTTTTGTTTCTCCTTTTTTATTTTATGAAAAGTTTTTTATTTTTGGGATTATTTGTTTGAATTTTTGGTGAAGTATTTTGTCTATGGCAGCTTTGGATTTGTTTATTTTTTATTTTTATTTTTATTTTAAAGTGTATTGATTTTCAAGAATATTATTACAAAATATACTCTCTTAGTCCGCCTTGAGGGTAACTGGAGGTATTTTTAAAATTTTTTCTTAGTTTGCACTATATAATAATTAATATTACTAATATCAATACTAAAAAAATAAATAAGATACTTAGAATCGAACGAATTAATATAATAATATATATTCATAAACATAATATATATAATATATTTTTTTATGCATAATTATTTAATATAAAATATTATTTTTTATATTAATAATATAATTTTACATTCACATATAACCATTTTTTCTTTTTAATAATAAAATATTGTATGTCTAATTTTTCTAACATACAATATTCTGTTTAATATATATATATATATAATAAACACTACGGATGTGTTTTCTTTTTTATCTTGAATTTGGAAACAATTGTAGGAAAAATTTGTTTGAGTTTGGTAATAAAATTGGTTTGGATTTGATAGTAAAATTTGAAAAAATTTGGTTAAAAAAACATATAAATTTTGAGGGTAAATGAGTTTTGACATAGTTTAATTTTAATTGAGAAAAAATAATTCGAGATATTTTAGATATGCTTGTTTTTTAAAAAAAAAAACAAAAAAAATCATTATTTGCAGATGAAAAATGTTTGCTTTGATTTTGTAGGTTTGAAAAATCATTAATTTTAATCTGCCTCTTACTAAAATGTATTCTTTTATATTTAATAAATTTTATTAATTTAATAAATATTTAATAAATATAAATCAATTTAGTTAATATTATAATACATAATAAATGCAAATACACTAAAATAATAATTACACAAGAATTTATTAATTTAATTCGATTATAACCAACTTATATGTGGGATACCAAACTATAAATAAATTCACTCTAATATATATAGGAGGGGCTGGTGATCTCATCCCCTCTTGTTAGTTGTATGTATTACTTCCTAATCTCATATTGGGTCATTTAAAATTTTATAGTAGATTAAAAACTAATATAGTATTTTATTAATCAGTAGAATTGTGTAAAATAATTTTGATATTTTTATCTTTTTATTTTATGTATAAATTAATTATGTGTGTAATAATATATTTGTAATTTAAATAAAATTTAAAAATATATTAGTATTAATATATAATTATTTTTGTTAATATGAAAATAAATAATTTTAAATAAGACGGACGAAAAAAAAAAAAAAAAAAAAGAAAGAAAATGTAGTTTGAGGTAGACCAGAGAAGTTGTTGTTTACACCCAACTTGCAATAGTAAAAAGACAATTACAATATTCTTATTTTTGTTATATAGCTAGGAGGTATTTATCAATAATTTTAACACTATTATTCTATTCGTTTCGATGCAAGATTAACATTTAATTTTTGTTTAATTGTATTTGACAATAAAATATTTTTGTATATGTATAATTTAGTTCACAAATGTCATTGTATTTGTATTAAACTAATAAATTTATTTTTATTATTTTCTTTTAATTTGTAGTACGTATTTATATAATAATTAATATTTATAATCAACATGTAAAAATCTAATGACAATCTCCTTGCGGAGATACTACTATTTTTTGTTATTTGTTTTACTCTTACGATTTTAACACTTATTACTATTACTATCTTTTTTTACATAATCTTTAATTACTAATTATATTTTCAAAATTGTTAAAACTATCCTTTTATTTTAATAATTTTAATAAAATATTTAATATTATAATTCCCTTCGGGACCGGATTAGTTTTACTTTTTTTTTCTTTTTTTAATAATTAAATTTTACAAAAATTTTATTAGTCATCATTTTTTCTAAATCAAATCAAATACCAGCTTCATCTTTGAATATTAATTATTATATTAAAAACTAAAATAATATTTTATAATACCAATAGAAGATTATTTGTAAAATAAAATTATACAAATATAAAAATATTTTTAATATTAAATACAATGACATAAATGTGATCATTAAAAACGGACAATGAAATATTTATTTTTTATTTAGTTCTTGTTATATTTCAATACTAAAAGGTGTATATTCAATTTAGAGTTTATTGGATTTCATTGAACTTTTGAAATTTAGGTGTATTCAATCCAAAATTTTAAAAGTACTTTAAAATCTGGGTGTACAGATTTTAAAAAATCTCTAAAAATTTTGGTGTATTCATAAATTTTGGTGTATTCAACCGTCCATGGATTTTTAAAGTCCGTGGATTTTGTTGGATTCTTTAATAAAATTGTTAATCATTTACACTCTATAGAAGTTGAGATTTCAATGAATTCTCAAAATTGTTAATATATTATTTTTTTATATCATTAATAACTATTTTTATTTATATATGTATTTAATATTTTATTATAATAATATCATAAAAATAAGAAAAGTATAGATGTAAATAGAAAAATTACAAAATATTTTAAAATTTTATATATTCGAAATAATACTAAAAATTATATATATTTAAAATAACAAAATAGACTTGCTCAAATAGTTTGAATTAAAATTACCAATTTGATTTTTTGAAAGGTCAAATCGAAATTAAACTTTTTACGATTTTAATTTCTATTTTCTTATTTTGATTTTAATTCCATCGATTTCAGTTTAAAAATTACCGACTTTAATTTACAATGTTGGTTTATATTTATTCTTTTTTAATTCTTTAATTTTTAATTTCAATTAAAAAACTGTAATTTTATTTTATTTAATATATATATATATATTTTGCGTAAAAAGTTATATAAATAATAATAATAATAACAATTAAATAGATTATTACAAGATAAGAATTAATTACGTTGAATAATAATATAATAAATATGATCAAAATATAATACAACAAAAATGTATAAATTTATTATTATTATTATTAAAATAAGAAATGAGTATAATAATAATAATAGTATATTTTTCGAAAATGAATATATTTTTAATATTTTTGTTAAATATTTGAAGTTATATGTATATATATACAAGTATACTTCATATATATTTGAAATTATATAAATCAATAAAAAAATATTTAATCCATAAAATATAAATTCTAATGAAATTTAGATAAATCAATAAATAATTCAATCAAAATTTTTAAAATTCATATAAATCAATAAACAAAATCAATTAAAGCGTCTGTATAAAATTTATAAATCACTTAAATCTACATATTTTTTAAAGTCCAAACAAATCCATTAAAATTCTAATTGAATACAGCAGCTTAAATTTACATCCAAATTATCTATCTAAAATCCAAAATATTATATACTTTAATTTCATTTTAAATTTTTAAATTTTATTTTTTTAATTTAATTAAACTAATTAATTATCTTAATCTTAATTTATAATTATTTATTTTATAAGATAATTATTTTCATTAATATATTCACTGTATCTTGTCGGAGCAATATATATATATATTTATTTGAGAATGCTTCGGTTTGAGTTGAATTTCCATTCCCGCGCACAATTTCAAATTAAGAATCTGCATTTTCCCTAGGGTTTTGACGATCAATCCCGTTGTCTTGTGTGGAAGAATCCGGCGATGTCGGCCGCCGAAATGAGTACTCCGATGGATATTTCGGTTCCCAATCCCGTCCACGGCAATGTACCTGACCGTGAAGCTGCCATCTTTGAGCCACCGCTTGCTGCACCGTCGTCAACGCCTTCGGCTTCGCTTCCGACTCCACCTCCGTTACTGAACGAGGATAAAATCCTTGTTTCAGGTAAGTGCACAAATCGCGAGCATAAAGTGTTAAAAACTGCAATATAGAAATGATTATAGTTTGGAGTGAAGTTATGGTCTTTTTCTTCTTGTTTTAATTCGATCTCACAAATTTCCAGTTGAAGTTTTGTTGAAACCTTCAAGTACAGCACAGGCTGATGATGTCCGCGCAGCAGTAGAAAGGTGAAAGCAAAATTCTGCAAATATTCCGTTTGTTAATGTTTCTATGTAATTCTTTCTAACAATGTCGAATTAACATTTGTTTAGAATGCTGGAAAAGAGGAGCATGAGCTACTCTGATGGTCCAATTCCAGTTCCAATGGATGATGATTTTCTAGTGGACAATGTACAGCGAATTTGTATATGCGATTCAGGTAGTCAACGTTTACAAATCTAAAGTTGTTATTTTTGAATTAAGGCCTTCAATTGAATTCATTACATATATGCATTCTTAATTGTTATTTAGCATCTGAACAATGTCAAAGTCGATACTTTTATTCAATTTACTCCTAATATCTGTGTAATTCTTTCCTTGTGATTGTTAGATGTGTGGCTGGAAAAACATGAAATTCTGTTATTTTGGCAAGTCAAGCCTGTTGTGCATGTTTTCCAGGTCAGTTTGAGGCTAATGATGCTTGCACTTTTCTCCTTATATAGGTTCATCACTTGCATATTACAGAAACATCGATTTTTAAAGCTTCCAAATATTTGCTTTTACTATCTTGTCGTCGAGGCTCTTGATGAATTCGAAAGAGGAAATCAGAATGTTGATAGTTCTTAATGTATTGAAAACAGCTACAGTTTGATATGTTTCTTGCAATTTCCAGCTCAGTGAGGAAGGTCCATGTGAGGATTTAAGCAGTGATGGCCAACTTGCTAGCTTTAATGAATGGATTCTTCCTGCAAAGGAATTCGATGGCATGTGGGAAAGGTTTGTTGTACTATGTGGCTACTCCTTTTTCTAACATCGACGAGAATAGAAACTTAAGAGCACTGGCTTTATTAATTTCTGCAGCTTAATTTATGACTCTGGTCTCAAACAGAGGTTGCTACGCTATGCAGCAAGTGCTTTGCTTTTTACAGAGAAGGGAGTGAATCCTTTCCTTGTAGCATGGAATCGGTAAGTATTTAATTTCGTCAATTCTTTTCACACTGATATGCCAGTGGAAGGAAGCCATATTGGTTCATTCTTGTACATTATGCCGATGCTCTTTATGCCAATGATGGGTCGATTGGAACTCCATATCATGAAAATAAAGGACCCCTTAACTTGGATGTTTCTTCATATTCATATGGGGGGTGGCGGTTGTCACTTGAAATATGTACTTTGCTTTGTCGAAAATGTATTGCTTAAACTTTCAAAGGAAGAATTAAAAAGTAGAATTAAAGGGTCGGTTGGGATGGTATGAATGTCAAGGGATTTCTACTGTTAAATGTTTATGGTTGATGCTTTATTATTTTATTTGTTCATGAAATGTAACTCACATATTCCATGGTTCCCGGCTTCCGAATATATCCCAATAATTTAATTTTCCTTTTATGAACGATCATGCAGCATCATTCTGCTTCATGGACCTCCAGGTACAGGGAAGACGTCTCTTTGCAAAGCATTGGCACAAAAACTCTCCATACGCTTCAGCTCAAGGTTATCGAAAAACCATTTATTCTGAATTTCATCATTTACATTATCCTTCATTTGCCTGACCGTTTTCCTGTTTTGATAAAACGCCTCTTTGTCCAGATACCCGCAGTGCCAGTTGATCGAAGTTAATGCACATTCCTTGTTCAGTAAATGGTTTTCCGAAAGTGGCAAGCTGGTAACTCCCATCTCCTCCATCATTTTATAGATCAATGTTACATATTTTTGCCGGGATTGGAGTTTATAAATGTTACTACTAATTCAAATGTTCACAGAGCATTCTCATCACTTGTATCTCTACTAGTACTAAAGCATCAGTTATTAGGTTGCGAAGCTGTTCGCCAAAATTCAAGAAATGGTAGAGGAAGAAAACAATCTGGTATTTGTCTTGATCGGTGAGGATGTTTTACAATGAGTATGGTCAATGTGTGTTGGTTTGAATGAGTTGGTTGCTGATGCTTTGTTGATGAAATCCTGCAGATGAAGTCGAAAGCCTCGCCGCTGCCAGGAAGGCTGCTTTATCAGGCTCCGAACCTTCGGATTCAATAAGGGTTCTATCTTGTTCTTAAGAAAACATGAATTCATTAATTTCACCCCACCCTCTCCTTCCTTGTGGTGATGAATATATATATATATATATTTGTGCAGGTTGTAAATGCTCTCCTGACTCAGATGGACAAGTTGAAGTTCTCGCCTAATGTAATAATTCTAACTACGTCAAATATAACAACAGCAATAGGTAAACACGATCGATATATATATATTTGTGATGACCAACATTGTTAAGTTGATTGATTGCCATAACTACTTTTAATTCCTTGGTTACAGATATAGCATTTGTCGATCGAGCTGATATTAAGGCATATGTTGGTCCTCCAACTCTTCGAGCGCGCTATGAAATCCTTGGATCTTGTCTGCAAGAGCTTATGAGAGCTGGCGTACTATCATGTTCGGAGTCTCAAGTATTTGTTTTTAAACCTCGTATTTACTTCACTAGACCTATAATCAAATTGAATCGAGCATCTCATTTCGAACTCAGCTCAAGCTTTTATTGAGAGCTAAGCTTCAACTTGAGCTTATTTAATTAAGTAAACACGCTTAACTCATATATTTAAAATACATATTTATTTCCTCTTCAAGCTCTATCAAATCTATTGATCTGAGCTTACTCAACTCGATAATTTTTTCTAAATACTCATTTTACGTCAAAAACTATATTTGTTATTATGATTATTAATGAACCGAGCTTTTGAACTAGTTTGTATCTCTTAAGATAGGTTTAGTTTTATCATTGATTTGCATCCTTGCATTAAATGCGCCATCGTAGACTTTCGCGCCAAACTCATATTTAAAATACATATTTATTTCCTCGTCAAGCTCTATCAAATCTATCGATCTGAGCTTACTCAACTCGATAATTTTTCTAAATGCTCATTTTACGCCAAACTATATTTGTCAGTATGATTAATGAATCGAGCTTTTGAACTAGTTTGGATCGCTTAAATGGGGATTCAATTTTATCATTGATTCTCATTATCGTGATAAAATTTACGGTTATATCTATAGAGCTAACACTAGCTTCATTCAGGTCGACGAACATTTCATTCTTCCAAGTTTTACCAGTTTGAAAGAGCACACGAATACGGCTGCAGCTCCTTCACACCTCTGCAGAGATTTGCTTATAGCTGCAGAAGCATGCGAGGTAAAAACTTCGATGATATCATAAAAACAAGTCGTGGATTTTTATTTGCGCGTAAAACTCTTAGTTGAAAATGATGAGACATTAATTCATTAACGAGGCGTGAGTATATATGAGTTGCTGTTCTACATCTTCAGGGATGGAGCGGACGAGCGCTCCGGAAACTTCCATTCTTAACGTATGCAGCTCTGGCGAATCCTTCGGGTTGCAAACCGGGGAAATTCTTGGAGAAAATGATCGAAACAGCTCAAAGAGAATGCTCGGAGATACCTGAATGAACTGAAACTGCCTGCAGCAGTCTCTGTGAAGGTACGCTGTTGCGCATTTTTCGGTTTCGGTTTCGATTTCGATTTCGATTTCGATTAGTAGCTGTATTAGTTGAAAGAAATTTGGCATAAAAAAAATGTTACAACATTTTGGAGCTATATATATATATATATAGGCTTTTAGTTGAATGGCTTAATTTGATCACAAGGTAGATGTTATGTAACTAAACTAAAATCCTTCAGCTTCTTAGGATATACTAGTATTTTGTCCTTTTTCTTTTTTTTTTTTTTTGGTGTTTTCTTGTAGGGTTGAGTGTTTGAATCAATATTTCCATTATAGTGCTTACACAATGTAAAATACACATAAATAATAATAAAAATAAATAAATAAATACTCTTTGTCCTGAAAATTTAGTTTACTTTCTTTGTATTTTTCCAAAGAAAGTAGATTAAATTTGGCAAAAGGAGGGCTTCGTACTCCACATAATAGTTTTATTTTGGTTTGTTTCGGATGTTGTGTAATATTTTTTAAATAAAAAATAATTAATTATATTTTATTTTATCAAATGCTTAAATAAAAAAGACAAATATATATTTTTTCCGACATCATTTTATTCTTAATTTATTTTACTTGAGTACTATATATCTAAATTTTGTGGCGAAAACTAAATATTCCATCATATATATATATTTGTGGGATAGATGAAGTATTATTTAATAAATTCGAATACTTTTAGAATATTATAATTAATAACAAAAACTTCTAAGATATTTGAGAATCAGCTTCTTTTTTTTTCTTGTTTTTTTTTTTTGGTAATTTTTTAAGTAATTGCCAAACGTCCCGTTAATTAAAAAGTCATAATCTATATTTTTAATCTAACATTTTTAGAAGAGAAAAAAGTGGGTGTGTGTAATGTGGTTGCCTTTCATGTAACATCAGTATGCACTATTTCAATAAAAAATAACAAAGATTACATATTATTCATGTCATTAAAGTTTTGTTTATGCAACATATTTTTGCTTATTTGACATTATTTATTTTTCAAAAAATATCACAACAAATATAAATTTTCTCTCGTAAAATATCAAATCAAATACTTCATCTATTTTATAACTATGTATCAATTTGTATTTTGTACGGAGTTTTGAAAATATTAGTATTTTATTGAGATATAATAGGAATAAAATATAAATGACTAAAATGACCTTATTAGTATTGCTTGATATAAATGTAATAGTATTTGTGTAATATATTAAAAATTGTAAGGGTATTTGTAATATTAGGTAAATAGTACATTTATTAAAAAAAAATTTGAATATCTTGTTATGAAATTGATCAAAATAAAAAAATAATGAAAGGAAATATTAACATTTTACTTTTTTTCAAATAACCACCTCTATGTAAACAAACACTAAATTTGTCTTACATTAAAGATGAAAATACTAACATTTTCTCAATATATATTAACTAACAATAAGAAAGTATAAGATAAAAATAGGAATGTGTTTATTCAGTACTCCTTTCGTCCAGTATTATAAAAATAATTTTAGATTACTAATATAAAAAAATTTAAATTAGATTAAAGTGTAATTCTATTCAAAAACAAGAAAGCTGATGAAGTAGCATTTAGTTTGATGTATTTTTATAAAAAATTATATCGATAATTATAAAAGAGAATATTTTTTTTTCATATCAATACGTAGTAAAAATCAAGAGAAAAAAGGCAAAAGTTCGTTTATTAATCTCTTATAATACAAATATAATATAATGATATTTGTCAAGTAAGTTGAATACGCAAAAACTAAATTGCAACCTTCTTGCGGGACAAAAAGAATATATATATTTGAACTGGATAGACGAAATAAAAAATAATTACATTTTAATACTATTTTCGTCTCACATATCGTGTTTATATTATTATTTCTATTTGTTCTACATTTCATATTATTTTTATTGTTTTGAAAAAATTTAAATTTTAATCCTATTTTAAATTTTTTAATTTATAATTTTGTAATTTTAATTAAATCAAATAATTATTTTAATCTTACTTTATAATTATAAAAAAATATTTATCTAATTTATTTATTTTTGTAAAAAAACAAAAATAGATTACAAATATTATATATATATATATATATTGAAAACCATTTCTTCACTTAAAAAGAAATACTCCAAAAATTTTAACACCTAAAGGGATTAAACAAAAATCCCTAAGTTCTATTTAATTTAGCAGCAGAGCCAAAAATCTCAATGACAGAAGGATGCTTACGAATATGGTGTGGGCATTTAAACAACAAATCATTAGCCTCCGACAGCCTCCCCTCCTTAACCAACCCCCCCAACACATTCCGGTACGCCGCCACCGCCGGAAACTTACTCCCGCCGCCCATCGCCGCCAGCACCTCCCTGGCCTCCGCCACCGTCCCATACTTACAAACATACTCCACAAACGGCTCCGTATACGCCGGATACTTCTGCTTCTTCATCACCCGCAGCACCTCCGTCGCCTCCTCCAATTTCCTCTCCGCCAGCAATTTTCCGATCACCTTCTTGAATGTCGACTGCCACGGCGCCACCCGGAGCCCCCCCGCCAGCTCGACGATCAATTCCCGTGCCCCCGACGTCCTCCCTCGACTCAAAAACCCGTTTACGAGAACGTCGAGAACGTCCGCGTCGGGATCGCACCCCGCCTCTATCATCCTCCCGAAACAGAGCACCGCGCCGTCGATCTCGCCGCCGTCGCAATGCCCTTTGATTAAAATCGTCCACGTCTTGATGTCGGGATCACATCCCGTCATCGAGTCGACGATTTTGCGGGCGTCGGCGAAACGCTTCGCCTTGCAAAGCCCGAACACCGATTGGCTATAGGTAATGTTGTCGGGTTCGAATCCCGCATTCCTCATCGTCGCGACGATTATCTCCGCCTCGGCGAACTTCCCGAGGCTCGTCAGCGATCGATGAATCCCGTCGTAGATATGCTTCGATAATGAATTTCCCGATTCCTCAAACTTATTCACAACTCTGTAAACCAAATCGAGATCCGGATTCGAGTGCGTTGCGAGTGTACGTAATAGTACGTTGCATTCCTTTAACGATGGTTTATACGATCCGTTCATCATGTGCTCGTATAGCCTCACCGATTCATGCAGCATTTTGTTCTTCTGAAGCTGCCGCGAAACCTTTACGTACGTATCGAAATCGATTTCAAATCCGGCGTTCGTCATCTCGTCCAAAACGACCCAAAATCGATCGATCGAATCCTCCCAACAAAGCACTCTCAATACACCGTTATACGTAACGCTATCGTGTTTATAGCCTAAACGATTTTCAATCCACTTGAAGAAACTGTATGCCTTCGAAGAACATCCTTTCGATCGAAGCTCCTTCAACACTCTAAGAACAAAATTATCCGAAACGACAAAATGCATCGCCTCCAATTTGTTTTCGACATCTACTCCCCATTCGGAGAATCGAATCGTTTCGACGACTTGCTTAACGCAATCCTCCATAGCATTTTCTGCAATCAACCTTTGGAAGAAATGCTTCAGAGCAGTTGCATCAGCCTCCATTTTCAAGCCTCTGAAAATGGCGAAGATCGACTTAAATGTCTCCTCATCGATGTAAAACCCTTTCTCCTTCATTTCCTTAATCGTCACCCAAAATTCCTTCATGAAATCCTTCCTGGCGTATATCCTAAGCATCAAGCTATAAATCGAGGAGCTAGGCTCGAATCCGTTCTTATCTACCGCCCATCCGAAGAATTCCGAAGCCTTTCGCGGATCGTTCGACAGTTTCTTCAATACGTAAATCACGGTTTCGTGATTCAGCCCTAATTTTGAAGATTCGAGGTGTTCGTCCAGCTTACTCGACCAATCATCGGATGAGAAAATATCGACAAGCGATTCCGGCGACGACGAGAAGAAATGATTCCGGCGTCCAGGTAGGGCGGCGTTCGAATCGATTAAAGTAGGGATTCTCGATGGAGAAAAAGTGTAGAAATGATAACAGTGAGTTACCTGCTTTGGTGTAGAGCGATATTTGGAGATCTGCGGCGACCTTAGAGGATTCGCGAACCGGCAACGGCTGAGGATTCTCTTAGCTCCATTCATGGCTGCTCTGGAGAAGGAATTTTGCGGCAGAGGAAGTTACGGAGGGTTTTGGGAAGGGCTTTAGACGGGTTTTGATTTGAATCGAAATGACCCAACCCATTTGCCCGGATCCGACCGTATATAACCACCCGATTCTATTGGATTTATCAATTATTTGTATTGTTTGATTATACATTCAAATTGGTTTTAAATATTTATTTAAATAATATTTTAATTTGATATTTAAGAAAATTACAAACTACCACAAATAGTTTTGGTTGTTAACATTTATGTGAACATCACATTTCTAACTCCATATTCTTCACCTACTGACACAGTAATATATTCCCTCCGCCCTAATACAATAATTTTGTTTATTATTTTTGTCCGTCTCAAAATAATAGTCTCATTTTCATAAATAACAATATTACTATAAAACTACCATTACCTTTTTATTATTATTACACAATTGTCACTATTTTTTACATTAATACACTCATAAGGGTAAAAAAGTCTTTTACTCGTACTCTTTTTATCAATTACTAATATAATATCAATATTCTTTAAATCTCATGTCCAATACAATCCAAACTATAGTTTTGAGACGGAGAGAGTATCAGATAGGTGTAGATTTTGGATTGAATTTTAAATAATAAAAATTTTGAATTTGAATAGTTATATGATACAATACAAATGATTGATGTTTTAAATGTAAAATCAATTTTTAGTATAATATAAATAGAATAAAATAAATATTTAATATGATATTTCGAAGAGGAAAAAGAAACAAACACACCCCATATATAAATCTACAATGCACATAAAATAGAAGTAACATCATGTACTAATATTTTATAAAATATATGTTAATTAGTACCTATTTTTGTTATTAGTGTACATAAATAGGCTTTTAACTAACTAAAAATTTAATGTATCTTTATGTCCACAAATACTTGTATACATATAAACACTAGGGTGTATTTGTTTTGTGAAGAATATAGAAAATTGTATAAATAATACTCCCTCCGTCCCAAAACTATAGTTTGAGTTGTGTTTGCCATAAGATTTAAAAAATATTGATATTATATCGGTAGTGAATAAAAAGTACGGGTAAAAAACTTTTTTGTCCTTGTGAATGTATTAGTGTGAAAGATAACGACAATTGTGTAATAATAATAAAAGAATAAACATAATTTTATAGTGATATAGTTATTTATGGAAATGAGACTATTGTTTTAAGACGGACAAAAATGATAAACATGACTATTGTAGTGGGACGGAGGGAAATAAAATAATAAATATATATAATATATTAATTTTTTATTTTTTAAAAAAGAAGCAAGTATGTACTTTTGGAGAAAAAAGAACACACCCTTGACCTATTTGCTCTATTTAATTGAAGTTTTTAATTATTTTACTGTATAGTTCTGATAATTCTTATATATGAAATATATATTTATTTTTTTAAAATATCATATTTTAAATTAAAACTCAAACTCAAAATAAACAGACAAATGGGTGTTGCTTAGCATTTTAATTAGAAATAATTTTATGTGAGACATATTAATCTTATGATAACATAAATAATGATATTTTGAATCAAATGTTGATTTTTTTTTTGTCCGATAATAGAATAGAATGCAGCTATGATGTCTTTGTTACAACTTAAAATTAGTTGATATTTTAAATTTTTAATTTATGATAGATTATACTTTTCTCCGTCTATTTGAAAGTTTACATTTATCTTTTGCGTCGTTGTACTTGACATTAAAATATATGTATAAATTTTTATATAAATAATATTATATTTGTATTATAAGACACTAATAATAAAAGTATTTTTATTTTTTTTTATTTAATTTGTATTATATTTTGATATAATAAATAATATTCAAATATCAACACATAAAAAGTAGATGTAAACCTTTAAAGTGGACTGAAGAGGGAGTCTAAAAATTTAAGGGGCAAAACAAAAAAGTTTCTTCAAACCAAATAGATTATATACTCCCTCGATACCAGATAAATTGTCCATGTTACTGTAAATACGAAAATTTAGATACTACTTAATTAGTAAATAATTAAAAAGTGTATTAGTAACCATAATTATGATATAATAAAAATAATTATAAATTAAAATTAAAATAACTAAATTATATAATTAAAATTAAAAAAATTATAAATTATAAAATTTGAAATATGATTAAAATATAATTATATTTATAAAAAATTAAAAGACAAATTATGTGAAAGAGAGATAAAAATTGTGGACAATTTATGTGGGATTGAGAAAGTATAATTTAACAGGACAATAAAAAAAAAATAAAAAAACATAATTATGCAGAATAGAGAAAATATAAAACAATTAGCTAACTTAATAGATTTATTTAATGACAACAAAATACTAAACTCGATTCCACGTACGTCCTGTGTCATTATTTCACCTTCTATCATCAGTCTTTTTACACACACGCAACTTTCATAATACAAATAATCTTTTCAACACCCTTTTCTCTCCTATTTGCTGCAACTTTTAAATACATTAACTTAGTATTATAATTGTTACGTTTTTATGTCCCTTTTATTCACTTTTAAAATTCAAATTTAATTAAATCTACCTTTTATAATAATAATAATAGAGTAATTAAATCTACCTAAATGAATTGGATTAATTTATCTAAAGTAATAGTTGTACTAAAAATTAATATTTATCCTATATTTAATCAAATAAATAAACATGATGTATTAATGTATCATAATTATATAATCTACTATCTCCATCCACAAACTAATGTCCTGTTTTTCTATTTGGAATGTTCAACCACTATCTTTCTATTTTAATTTTTACACAAATTTTACTTTTTTTACCCTTCATTCATTTATCATTTTTAATCTTTACTTTAATAATAAGTTTGTCGATTCATACCAAAACACAATTACTTAAAAAATCGTACAAATATACTTTCAAGGACAATAAAAATTGATGGAGGGAGTATTAAAATAATACTATAAATTATAATACTACCTCCGTAACCCTCCGGTGGTCTCATTTATTTTTTTATATTAATATTTGAATATTAATTATTATATCAAAACATAATACAAATTAGTAAAAAATTACAAAAATATTTCTAATAGTGTCCTATAATACTAATAGAAGAACATTTGTAGATTATACAAATACAAAAATATTTTTAAAATTATACAAATACAAAAATATTTTTAAAATTATACAAATATAACCCTTAGAGGCCGACGGAGAAAGTACCATCTTGCAAAATAAATTATGTTGAATACTGTCATATGTTTTAAGTTATGTATTATATTATGCTAATATTTTGCTTAAAAGAATGTACTTCACCAAGTATAATATCAACACTACTTATTTTGCTCATCATATTTATTTGCCAACTATAGGTGCTGAGGTGGATGTGCTGCTAAACATTATGCATAAATTGATTTATATGTTAAATATTTATTTATTCATATTCATATTTTTATTTATATTTATATTTATATAAAATTATGACTTTTCTAAGTGTAGAAGACCTAATTTATCCTCATCTATAAATGAAGAACTAAAGAGATGAAGCTTAGGCATAAATAGAAGATGAACTGAGGCCTTTTTATGGTAAGCTAAATGGAAATTAAACTTCCATTGCTGTGCGTGAGGAAGAGGTGTGAAAAGTCGAAAAAGATCGAGGACTCGAAAGTACTAACCTCGTTTATAGACTGGGGAAATTCGATGACTGGTCTGTGCAGAGGTGGTAATAAACCATCGACACCCAATCCCATCCTTGCGCCATTTATCTGCATCACACCTCATACAGCCTCTCAAGAATGTCACCACGACGACGCTGTTGCTGCAACGCATAGTGCCGAAAGGTTAGGCTTCTTCTTAAAGAACATTTTGAAATACCTATAAACTTTCACAAAATCAATATTTCTTAGTAAAAATTTCAACAATTATTCGAGGATTATCGTTCTTCAAATCAATCTTATTGTAGCTAGTCATATAGTTCAATTGTTTTGAGACATTATGTCGAAGACAAATATATCTATATATTTAAAAAAGACTGTTCATTTTCTGTCACACAATCGAAATGGTCAAAAAGCATATATCCAAATCCGTATAATTTATATAAGCATATGCAAGGAAATTGAAATGTACAGATTTTACTATTTGAACTCTGCGTTTTTCATAAAAAAAAAATAAATAAATAAAATTCTTCTCAGAAAACACGTCCCATCAATATTTTTTAATATCAAACCCAAACCAAAATTTTTCAACCCAAATCAAAACTTGGAAGATTTATCCAACGCTAAATCAAAATTTATCTAAAGTAAGAAATCTAAGGGGTATAAATATAGGAAGCAAGAACAACTTTTTTACAACACACTATTCATATTATTCGATCTACAGTAAAAAACTTTTTCTAACCTAAAAACATCATTTCCTAATAATGAAGTCTATACAAAACATCGTATCCAAACATTCTTGTCCGCCGGAAAAAGATTCAAATAAAAAACAATCCAAACCACAAAAACATCACAAGTTAACACACTTTCAATCAAAATGCGAGCACTCTAGCAAATTAAGTTAATTTTAAGTACAAATAACATAAGGTAACAAGTAAGGTGAAATTTACCTAGGAGAAGGGATGATGCCATAGTTTCTTCCTGCAGCTACAAAACTTGCCAAATTGAGGAACCAGCCAATGAGGAGAGAAGGAAGCATGCCGTATTCCTCCAGGAGCTTCTAATCTTGACTATTTTTTTAAACTGTTGATGCTTCAAGATGATCCATATTTATAAAGTAAATTAAATGTTAGACATCTCAAACTTATTTCTAAAGATTGAGGGAATGTCTGAAGATCTAAAAGCTGCGACTAAGATATCCATAAAACTATTCAATGAGTATGTATTGCAATATTCACTGTAATTATGAATGCATGATGTAAAATGTAGAAAAAATCAACTGGAAAGATTTTTATTCGAGGTCATCAAATACGATCCTAATGATGTATTTATTCATAGCCTCACTACCCAGTCAGATGGTCGTAATCTTTTGATGAAATCTGCATTGACGATCACAGATTGTGTAATAAATTAATGAAGCAATGGAGAAAATAGTCGATGGATTACAAGAACATCACCACTTGGATGACTTGAATCCACAAAGCTGTAAAATAAGAAAATCAAAATTTGGAAATGATTTCCACGAATTTTGTATTCCCCAAACCTCTCGAATGCTGAGTGTTTTGGATACAGAAATGTTCTCAATCAAATAGACATTCCTATTCAATACCTGTGCTCAAACCAAACATCAGCCTTCAAAGAAAAAATATAAAATCATAAGCTAAAGCTCATCAGAAGTTCATTACTAAAACATAATAAGAAGATCAAATTCAAGTTTCAAAGCTAAGAAACAATCATCAAAAATCAATTCTCAAGAAGATCAAAAACTTACCTTACTTCAGATAGCCAATGCAGAGGAATAGGTTCCATTTCATCAATTTCATCAATTGTGCGGCTATAAGTTACTAAAAGAACATCACAGGTAAGCGAAACAAAAAAAGCAGCAGTATTATGAAAACTTTGGAATAATCACAAAAGTGTTCTTGAATCTAAACTACTAGTCAAATAATGCAACACAAAATTCAAATTCAAAACATTCCCATCATATAAGACAATTAACACAAGATCTTGCGGCATAGAGAAACAAACCCAACTTCACAACATCGGGCAATGCTCTCTCGTCCCCAACAACCTTTTACTCAAACGCGGAAATTAAAACCTCAACATCCTACTCAATAATCGATTGAATGACCCCAGCACCGACAGTTTTACCGCCCTCCCTGATCGCAAATCTCATTCCCTGCTCACAAGCAATCGGATTAATTAGCTCAACCTCCATCTTCACTCGATCACCGGGCATCACCATCTTCGACTCCTCATCCTTGTCATTCATGATATTGTTCACCTTCCCCGTCACATCAGTAGTCCTCATGTAAAACTGAGGCCTGTAACCCGAAAAGAATGGCGAGTGCCTCCCACCCTCCTCCTTCTTCAACACGTAAACAATCGCCGTAAACTTCCTGTGGGGCGTAATCGTCCCTGGCTTCGCCAACACCATCCCTCTCTGGATATCGATTTTCTGAACGCCTCTCAACAACAATCCCACATTATCGCCGGCCATTGCCTCATCCAATGTCTTCTGAAACATCTCCACACCTGTCACTGTTGTTGCCCTAGTCTCCCTCAACCCCACAATATCCACAGTCTCACCTATCCTAATTGTACCCCTCTCCACCCTCCCCGTTGCCACTGTCCCTCTACCGGTAATCGAAAACACATCCTCTATAGCCATCAAGAACGGCAAATCAGTCTGTCTCTGAGGAACTGGAATGTAATTATCTACCTCATCCATTAACTGATAGATTTTATCTACCCACTCATTTTCCCCTCTTTTAAGGCCGGGATTCGCCATTAAAGCTTCTAGAGCTAGCAAAGCAGAACCGGAAACAATCGGAATATCATCACCGGGAAATTCATAAGATGAAAGCAGCTCCCGTACCTCCAATTCCACCAATTGGAGAAGCTCCTCATCATCGACCTGATCCTGCTTGTTCAGGAAAACCACCATGTTCGGAACTCCGACCTGTTTCGCCAGCAGAATGTGCTCCTTCGTCTGCGGCATCGGACCGTCGGCGCCGGAAACCACCAGAATAGCTCCGTCCATTTGAGCGGCGCCGGTAATCATGTTCTTTACGTAATCCGCGTGGCCAGGGCAATCCACGTGAGCGTAGTGGCGATTCTCGGTCTCGTACTCCACGGTAGCGGTGTTAATCGTGATACCCCGAGCCCTCTCCTCCGGCGCCGCGTCAATTTCGTCGTATTTCTTAGGCGCAGAGTTTCCAAGCGAGGCCAGCGCCATGGTCAGGGCGGCCGTGAGCGTGGTCTTGCCGTGGTCGACGTGGCCGATTGTACCGATGTTCACGTGCGGCTTCTTCCGCTCGAACTTCCCCCGGGCGGCGCGGACGGAAAATCCGCGGCGGCAGCGGGGGGCGGCGGCGGTGGAGGAGCGGAAGAAGAGAGCGGTGGAGGACGGAGCGAAGGACGAAGAGAAAACAACTTTAGCAGGCTTCAACGGTTTAGGGTTTCCCACCGGAGGCGCCGATGAGACAAATGCAAGCTTCGAAACAGTAGCGGCGGCGGCGGCGGAGATTGTGGCCATGGCGGAGGATATTGTAGAGAGAGAGAGAGGGAGAGAGGATGAGCGAGAAAGTGGAGAGTGGAAGGGAATTGGGGTTTTATCTATCTGCAAAGAGGACCTCTCATTCTAAGTAGAAATGGGAGATTAGGGGAGGCATGGGATTTCTGATCTACCGGCATCAGAAGATGACACGTGTGTGGCCAGGATTATGATCCGTTTTGAATATGGATGATCCGGATTGCTAATTTGGGTGTGTGTTTGTTTCCGCCACGTTTGCTAATTTAGGCCACTCTTCAAATTTGGACATCTAAATTAAGGACCATTTTGCAATTACTTTCATTTTGCCTAAGTTACAATCCAAGCACGAAATGATAATTCTATTAAGTGCTAAAAATAATCGTTCCGGTAAGAAATGGTCCGAAAGATTACACTATCTATTTTTTTTTAAAAAAAAAACCAAATAATCACTCACACCAAGAGCAATCACACAAAAAGGTGTTCAAATATTTCATTCAACTAACATAAAACAAAACTAAAACCAACCAACAAAACTAACTCTACAAACACCCATCAACAGATCAATCTGTACACTTATAATCTAAAACACAAAACAAACATACGATTCTTTCTTACCGATTTTCGAAATCCCGTCGAGTCGGGTCCATCGTCGTGCCTCTGCTTGGGATCGAACGGTATAATGCTAACACACCTATAAAAGCTACAGCTTTGCCGCAACGCCTTTCGCAAAGGTCAGAATTTGATGCTGTTAAAGCACGAGCGCGACGGAGATCGTCGGCGGACGCATTTGTCGATGATGGCGCCGAGTCTCTTCCCTCTCCTGACGATATTGCCGAACATTTTCATAATTCTAGAATAACTTGAAACCTTCAGGACGAGGACATCGAAATCGTAATTAAAAGGCTAGAGACGGTAAATAGACGTGCCATGCTTGTGCAGTGACGGAGTTCGGGAAGTGATTGCGGGACTTACATCATCGACGAAGACGGGTCGAAGGGTTCGGCGCGGGTGTTTCTTGATGTCGAGGATACGATCAGATCTCTTCTTCCTACAGCTGCGGAGCACGCTCTGGCAAATCTCCTTCGGAAGTTTCTTTAAGATGTCCATGATGGCGATTTCGTGCTTCGCCTGAAGTTCTTTCAGCTCCTGCTGCTGCCTGTCCAGGACATGTTCGAGCTGTTCGAAGACGTTTTCGATGTTGTCTGAATCGACTTTATTTGGGGTCATACTTTCCTCCCAAACGCTGGATGTACCATCGTCAGATGAATCGATCACCGGTTTTCTGTCGCCATTGTCGTTAGAATCGAGCTCGCTGACATGTTTCGACAGGTTGTCTCTGGAAGTCGCCAAATTGCGGAGTAACGGCGGGATTTCTCCGTTCGATTTGTAAGATTCGGACCACATTTCCCATCCCGGCGGCATCCTTTCGAGAGTGCTGGCGTCGGATTTACTCGGGTCGGTGGCTGTGTTGGACGCTTCGTCATCCCACGCCTCGCTGCTGCTTTCAAGAATTTCTTTTTCCGAAGAAGTGGTGTTGGCTGCAACTTGTCTTGGCTCCCAGTCGGGGATGATCGACTGAATTTCAGAATCGATCATTGCGGCGATGACAGAAACATCGTTGATAGTCAAGTCCAGTGCTTCGACCATTTCCCCGGCAACGTTAGTTGAAGTGTCCACCGAGATATCGAAAGGAAAGTGAATGTTCCGAATATAACCTGTGTTAGTTAACACCACTAATAAAATTAGATACTTGAGTGATCAAAATTAAAAAAAAAAAATTATAACGAACTCGCTTTATTTTGTAGTCCTACTAAAACAAGATTTTAAGCCTTAAAATTAACAAGATTTGCTCACTCGGCATAAGTGAGTTCCATCAATGGCAAAAAATCTATTATATAGTTGCCATATTTCCGAGATTCGATTTACTACAGGAAACTAAAAGAAAGGTAAAAAAACCTGTCGAATCAGCTATCCGAAGACGCAAAAAAATTGTGTCGTGGTCTTGTCTCTGTCCCTCCACGATGAAATCTCGACCATCCTCAAGCAGAGTCTCTTCTGTAGCTTTTTGGTTGTTGTTATCATCTGCATACACGGTGTTCGAAATCAGGGAAAAAGAGTGATTAAAATGCAGAAATAAAAGATAACATTGTCAAAACTGAACCTGCTGTCGACTGAGGTGGTGGTGGAGAACAATGCATATTCCCAAACTCGTTGTCTGGTTGAAGAAACGGATCCATCAGCAGTTCTTTGGCGGATAAACGTTCCGAGACTTCTGCAATGCATTTCTCTATGAATTTTCGGACTCCCGGATCTTTCACTTTTCCTAATGAGGCAGGCTTGACTCCCTTCAATGAGCATAAAAAGGTTAATATAAAGAGAAATTTGGCTGATTTCGAAAGATAATCAGCATGCATTGTTCTGTTTCTGAGTCAAGACATCCGTTCAAATGAGAAAATTGCATTTATAAAAACAGCCTAATAAAATAAAGACAGCGAGTCGATTTTTGTCGTTTAAAGAACATTGAGAGCATTCATAATGAACCCCAAAAGATTCACAACTACTTCAGGAATTTTCTATGTAAATGTTGAAGACAAATAGCAATAGCTGATCCATCAGAGGAGTATATAAACGATAAGGAGATGCCGAGCAAAGAGATAACTCAATCTTAACAAATTAACTTAATGGAGCTATCGCATTACAAAATCTCATTGTTTTCTAACAGAATCATTAATATTGGTACCTAAATACGTCGGTTCTTGGTAGCAAGAATAAAGATCTTTATTATATGATAAGAAAAAAGAACAAAGAACATGAGTGAATTGGGAAATAGATTTGTGGGTTACGAGCAATGGTTTGGTCGAGGATGACTGTCAAATGACCATTTTACATAAAAAGTTAAGTTATTAGGAATAGCATCATTAATTATATTATATAATCCAACAAGCCCCTCACGTGCAAAGTGAATTTACGTCACATACGAATCTTGCACAGGAACAATTATTGTTATTATTCTTTTTTCTAAGGAGAGCGGTGCAACGAACACGGATCGTTCCGCTCTGATTCTATGTAGATATTATCCAAAAAATTATATTTTACAATAAAACATATATATACACACACAAATAAATTTAAATGATCATCTCACCTAAAAGTTTAAATTATAGAAATATGCATTATTAATTGCATTATATAGTCAATCAACAATGACAGAAAGGAAATTTTTGTGTCAGTTTTTGAACCTTAAGTCAGAATAGAAAGAATTGATTGAAACTTATTTGTCTCAAGTCATAATGAACATCTATAAAAATAATAAAATAAAAATGACACTGGTTATCAAATGGTTGAACCTCTCGAAGCTCTTAAATTGCAATACTTAGTTAACACAGCTAATCGTAGGCATGAGTGTAGGCTATAACAACAGCAATCAAATGTAGGGTTAAATATCAACCAACATAGCTTAATTCCTAGCGTTCTTTACAACCTCTTCTTATTTTATTATTACCATTTCCTGAACTATGTATTATAACAAGCATTACAGTATATTAACAAACATTCTCATGTTCTTTGGGTTCAATCAACACTTTCACTAGTCGAAGCTCATCAAGGAAAGATACTAACAAGAATAAAACCGAAATCCCAAGGTCAAGAACAACTTACTGTTGTCACTTTCTTATATATCTGAGCGGCGTTGGAACATTCGACATATGGGTACTCAAGGGTCACTAGCTCGAGCAAACACATCCCAAATGCATAAACATCCACTAGCTCGTTGTACTCCTCCTCGTAAAGCTCGGGAGCCATGAATTCTGGAGTGCCTGGAATCGTACAACATTTAAAAAAGAAAAAATGATCGCATCTCCCGCCTAACAAAACTAAACCCATTCTATAAAAAGCAACGACAAAATCTTGCCTCACCTATTACACTATGAGCTGATCGAGCCTGCTCAAGAATAGCTGCGAGACCTAAGTCGCCAATTTTCACCTCCCCTTGATTTCCATTAACAAAAATGTTGTCGCACTTCAAATCCCGATGAATAACAGGCGGATCATGACCGTGGAGATACGAAAGCCCCTCCAGAATTTGTCTAGACCATTTCTTCAATGCTCTAATGTCGACATGCTTATGTTTCTTGCGGTACCTAAGGAAACACATCAGCCAACTTCAGCCCATGTTTCAATCAAAACCTAAGCTTTTAGAACATGCACACCAATGGATTTGACATACTGCCTCAGATTCCCGGATGTGAAAATCTCTGTAATGAAATTGATATGCTCGTTCTTCTTATCGACCCACGAGTGATACAACTTGATAATGTTCTTGTGCTTGAGGGTTTTTAGCAAGTGCACTTCCGAATACAGCCTCTCCAAATCCACAGAATTCCTCAAAAGATCGGTAACTTTCACCTGATTCCAAGCCACCTCAATTCCTTCCCATTCATCAAATGCTCTGTATCTATTTTGCCAGCGACAAAATTAAGGCCTCACCATAGCCACTTTTTCAATCAGAATTCAACTCAAAGTGCAATCAAAGTATAAAACCAAACAAAAAACAAAATCGAAAAAGGATACACTTTCTTGTATGCTCCTTTACCCAATATCTCCTTGTACTGCAAAACATGAATTCACACAAACCAGTAATGTCATAAATGATCACAATCACACATAACCTGAAGTCGAAACTTCACTACACCAAACAACCGAATAAATTTCTAACCATAATGAAAATTGAGTAAAGCAGAAAAACCTCATACAATTTACAGAAAGTAAACACATAAATCACAGATAACTAAAGATTGAATATATATGTATATATACGCACCCGGCCGTAGCGACCGGAGGGATCGACCTCGACGAAATCCGGTTCGGCGTCGGAGTCCGGCTCAGGTTCCGACGCCGACTTCTGCGACATTTTCTGCTACCGAATTGAGAAAGGAAGCAAGTTGAGGAGGGAAAGGCACATTCGAATTCAGATCTAGGAGGCGTAATTGGAAGCAGTTACGCCGCGAAGTCGGAGCACTTTGCGGCGGCAGGAAAATCTGAAGGAGTGAATTGCAATAGAATATTGGCGTGAAGTGCGGAGCAGTCGGAAATCGCGGGATCCGATCGTAGTAGGTGAGTAATAATGGATCAATGGATCGATCAAATTGGAGTTGAATTTGCAACTGCGGGTTGCATAGCATTGATTGATGAAGGAACTTTTCTGGGGTTTGCTGGGAATGGAAATGGGAATGGGATCGAAGGTTGAAATGAAATGAAATGAAAGCCGAATCAGCTGTCGCTGTGACTGTAACTCAACTCAACGGGTTCCATGTGGGCAGCTAAGCTTTTTCGCTGTTTCGTTTTCACTCCTTTTTTAAGAACTTGACCCGAACTATCCGAAGTAAAAATACCCGACCCGATGTCTCCCTCTAATTCTTCTTATTTCTAGTTTATTGGATAAATTCCATAATCCACAAGAACTTTCTTGTGCTTTATAAAAATTGCATAGAATCATATATTTTATTTGATGTATAAATTTTGTTTATATTATTATAAAGTACTTTTTTGTTCAATAGCAATGAATAAGAAAATGTCAACCTTATTTTTTTTATTTTTTATTTTATTGTAAGGTATATAAATTCAATACTTACTTTCATTGAGTACAAAATTAGAAAAGTGTAATTATTCTTTATTATTATTTTTGGACAAAATATAAAATATTCAGATTTTGTGCCTACATAAGAGATTTTATATAATAAATAAAATTTATTATTATATGCCATTTTCATAAAATACATTAATATATTATGTAATTTATCTTTTAAAATAAAAATATTTTATTAATATGTGAGAATTATATTTACTAAATTTGAAAATAAATATATTGACTATAAACAAATTAAAATATTTCTAAAAATGTCCCTTTCCTTTTAAGAGAAATCGGGACCGATGTGTAAATACTTCTTTCAAATTTCAATAAGGTTCTTGGTGAAAAATTGTCTAATTTTCTTACTTTTTACTTTATATGATTTTTTAATTCTATTTTTACATCAATAGAAATTTTTATCCAGTACATTTATATTCAATATATATTTGTAAAATACCATATTTAATAATTATTTTATCGATATTAGAGATGTATTTTTTTTGTTGTTTTTTTTATACATTTTTTAAATAATTAATTATTAAATATAATATTTCATCCGAAAAATAAATATTTGATATAATATATATATTTTTTAAAATAAAATTAAGAGATTAAATAGTAAAATGTATGAAAAATTACCAAATAAAAAAAAGTAAATACTATTAATAAAAAAAAACATATGAATTTATAATACATATTGGGTTGGTAGGTTTGAAATATATTTGTAAAAAGAAAAAAACATGTGTTAATTTCGCAAATATAAAAGGTTAATAAAAAGAAATATATTTTTTATTTCACAAAATATTCAATCAAATATTATTTTAATAACAAATTTATACCAATTTTTTAAAACTCAACCAAAAAAGAAGACAACCTTGGTCCTGAAAACCCATTCTTTACTATTTGTCTGTCTGTCCATAATTTTCTACTTATAAAATATTTATTTTTTATTTTAATAAAAAAAATTATACATTAATACCAAAATAATTTTTATTTAAATTATAAATATATTATTACATATATAATTACTTTATACATAAATCAAAGGAAAAAAAATGCAAAATCTCTTGGGATGTGTTTGTTTGTATGTTTGGGTTTTGGGTCTTGGGATTTGGATTTTTAATATTCTCTCAATCCCATTTAAATTGTCCACTTTAGATTAGACATATAATAGAAATAGACGATAATGTGATATTTTAAATATAAAATAAACTTGTAGTAAAAAGTAAAATCCTCAAAAGAACACAACTTTATACATTTCTACTAACAATGAATAATAACTTTTAAAAATTGAAATAGTTATTTAATTTGATATACTCGAAAAATTTTCTTGAAACAATGAAATCAAAGACAAAAATCCAACAAACAAACACACTCGTACATTTAGGGTGTGTTTGTTTGGGAATTTGAATTTTGAATAATAAAATTTTTGAATTGGAATAATTGTATGATGCGATATAAATAGGTGTTGATATAATGTTTTGAATGTAAAATTAATTTTTAATATAACATAAAAAAAAAAAAATTAAGTGTTTGATTTGATGTTTTTGGAGGGAAAAAATTGGATGAATAGTAAAAATATGGAGAAATCCCCCAAAAGAACACACCCTACCAAAAGAGTCCAAAAAACAACTTAGAGGAAAAAAGCCAAGATTTGGTAGGGTCCTAAAGACACCCCATGTGTTGTCACAATACAAATTTTCAACAGCCATACGATGCAAGACAACGAGTAGTAGAAATCTAAAAGTTCGGCACAAACGAGTGTTCTAAGAGCTCTATACTCGAAAAAGATGTATATCGAACCAATATTGCTATTGTTGCTGCTAACTATTCGATCCACTCATGTCTCCACCAACTTTGGTTCCCCTAAATGCTACTTTAAGCGATACGCAATTAAATTTAAACGTAATCCGGATCCTTCTTCTCGACATATAGAGCCCACAAAGCATTATGTAAACATACCTTTTTATTTATTTTTTTGCATCCACAAGCTAAACAAGATGGCATTTATTATTGCCTCTTGAGCGCGTTCATTTTGTCTCTTAAATAGTATAGCTTGGCTCTCCTCACTTTCTTCTTGTCCAACACTTTGATCTTCTTTATATTTGGCGAATACCTGTCATCAACCATCGAATATAACTTGTAACATTAGATTTTATTTTTTTTCGACAAAAATAAAGATTGTGTTCTTTCGTGGATTTTACCACATATTTTTATTATTCAAATTTTTTTTTTCATCTAAAAATATTAAATTAAACAATTATTATTATTTTTTTATATTATACTATAAATTTATTTTACATTCAAAGCATGACATCTATTTCTATCAAATCAAACAACTATTCCCAAAAACTCAAACCCACAAACAAACACAGAAAAAATCTTTTCTATACAGGCGAGATCATAGATGGTATGCACTCGGGAAGAATTCATATCTTATAGTCATATTGTCTATGGGAAAATGGAGCATCTGACATTCACACGAAATACTTATCCTGGATCAGGCATCAAACTCTATTTTCATATAATGTCAAATCACTTTTGACACTAGCGAATTTACAAAAAAAAAAAAAAAAAATCAAATCAAAAACTTATTTTTTTTATAAAATATTACATCAAAAACTTATTTTCTATACAAAACACAGGCAACCATAACCATAACACCAGCGAATTTCTTCGAAAAAAGCTTTTCTACACAATCAAGGTCACAGATGGTATGCACTCGGGATGAGTCAACATCTTATATTCATAGTCTACGAGAAAACAGCGCATCAGCATTCATACAAAATCGTCATCTTTTTTTGTTTTGGAGTCTGGATCAAACATCAAAGCTCTATTTTCATGTTAATAGCTTTTGAAATTATTCATCAACAATATCTTTTAAGAAAATTGCAGATCAAACACTTATTTTTTATACAAAACATCGACAATTATTTACTTTTTGCAAAACTCTTCAAAACTCAAAAATACTCTCAAAACATATCTAATGAAGATCACGTGAAATGTCACAAATTCAATTTAGGATTTGAAATGTAGTCTTACCCCCACCGAGGATCGATAAGGTTAGCACACAAAGAACAAGTAACAAATGGAAATACCGAAATCACAAAATAGAGGTTATCGATATGCAATATAAAAAAATAAAAAATAAAAATGAAGATTTATAGGTTTTGAGATCCAGCAAAAATCAATACTAAATACTCACAGATGGAAGACATTTTCGATCCCAACTCCCGCTACAAGCCTTCTTATTCTAAAGGTAGTATTTAAACCAGCATTACGCCTGGCTATAACTACGCCTTTCAACATCGATGTACGCCTTCTGTTCTCAGGTACTTCCTGCAGAAAATAGGTCATCGCTACTTCAAACAAAAACTGATAACAAATTTTCAACTAAGGGTGTGTTTGTTTGGGAGTTTGGATTTTGAGTTGCAATTTAAATAGTAAAAATTTTGAACTGAAATAATTGTATAATGTAATATAAATAGATATTGATGTAATGTTTTGAATGTAAAATTGATTTTTAGTATCATATAAAATATAAAAAAATAGATATTTGATTTGATGTTTTTAAGGGAATTTTTTTTTTATAAATAGTAGAAATATGGAGAAATCCGCCAAACAAACACACCATAAGCATCAGGACAAGAATATATAAACAACCGTAAAAAGTATAATCTTTTACCACTTTCAATTGGACGATATACCCAGGCTTTATTTCCGGTATCTCTCGGCTTGTTTTCACATCCTCGACTGCTTCTTTATCAATAATCTGCAGTTTGCATTAAAAAAAGCCAAAAGAACACAACATTTTATCAAGTACTGAGTATGATCAGTTATATTACGGTATAATACAAATGTCGAAGGGAGAAGAGCTCGTCTAAAATTGCTGCCTGCATAATGTGTCTGGCTGTTTTATCGAGTCTCTTGAATTTGATGCGTTCGGGTACAGCAGGAGAAGGAGAAACATCTTGCGAAGCTGCTTCCGTCGTCATATTTCTAGACAACAACTTGAACACCATTGAAGCTGAGTGATTCAAGCTTGAGCTTGTAGCTTGGGACGACAATGCTGAAGGTACACCATAACTTCCAGAATAAGTGGGTTCGACTGTTCGTGTGTGAAGATTTTGATTCTGAAGAAGAAAATCATCGATTTTAACAAACTTGGATGAAACTATAAAGTTACACACTCCCTAGTGTTCTTCGGTTGAACTTCAACAGATCAAATTAGTACAAATCTCATCAGATAGTCATACTTTTACATAAGTCGATTTGAAATCGGAGTCAAGGTTTACAATGTAGTACAATAATAGCAAAATATCAAACACGAGATGATGAACTAAATCGAAAATTCGAATAATTGATGCCCGATTGAAGATTACTCTACCGAGTCGAAAACCTTTAACAACAAAGCTATAAATTCAATCGATCTGTCGTTAATTACAAGTTTATAGCCAACTATGATTCTCATTAACAACGATATTTAACCAACCGGACAATCAGATCCTTGGATCAACACGAAAAACATAACAATGGGCATGTCGAATTGATCGATTCCTAGATCAAAATAGGTTGATTTGATCTCCTTTCTACATCCCTACGCCTCTTATGTTAGTTTTGCTCGATTCTCAATTTTAATTGTCCCCAAAATATCATTCCATCTTCATTTGTAGCTTCTCTAACATTCATTCAACCAATCAGATTACCAGAATTACATAATGTGCATTACAGAATGTAGAAATGATTTTCAAACCCAATATTCATATTAAAACCAACACAAACGAACTGAATCTTCCCCAAAAACACATATCGATAAACAAGCAATCAGCAAACAAATATAAACAGAACATACCAACCGGAACAGGGAACAAGACCCAAAATGGTCAGAAATGAACGCCGAAGACCGACTCAACGCGTGCCTCGACAAATTTGATTCGAATGGCGCAATTGATTCCACAGTTTTCAGATTGCCGATCGTTTGCCTCGCTACCACCCGAAGTTTACCATACAGAGACTGCATTTCTACGCCTCGGAGTAATGGACGAAAAGAACCACTATTCACAACAATGTCGAATCAGAGCTTGAATCCCAGCAATTCCTGAAAAGATCGATCGCTAGCCTTAGGATTGAACGGAATTTGGTTTCAAAAAGCGAGAGACCCTAAACCCTAATCGAGAGTGAGTGTGGGAGGGACTGGATCGGGTTCATCCGGTTTCCGGACCCAAGACCCGCTCCGTCCAAAAACCGGGTCCGGGTATTCTCAAATTATTTTGGTAACAGTTGGTTTGTGTTTTGCTGGGCCGTTTCTGGCCCGAACAAAAATAAATATGTCTTTTATTTTAATTTTCATATAAATAATTAATATTTATTTATTTTATTTTATTTTTAATAAAATCCTACTATTCTTTTTTTTTTTTTATAAAAATATTAAGTTTAAATTAAATAGAATCAAACAAATTTTAATATTTACTTCATCCGTCCATTTTATAAATATAATAGTTTTGTATATAAAAACTATTTTATCCTTAAAGTGTGTTTACTTTGTATGATTACCACCGGTAAATAATATTATTTTATCCACCGTAATCTTACATACTTTGTATTAATGTTAAAAATATTATTCTATCTTTATTAATAGTTAACATAGTATTACTTTTATTATATAATTAAGGGTATTTTACAAAAAAATAAAAATTTAGAATCTTCGCACAATAATCTATTAAAGGAAACATATGAGTATTATTTTATTCTATGATTATATAATTCATTAAAATAATACTATGTATTATAATCTTCGTAAAAAGTATTATAATCTTCGTAAAGTAAACACACTCTTATAATATACTCAATCTGTCCGTTTTTAAGGGTCACATTTTATACTTAATATTGAAAATATTCTTATATTTATACAATTTTTTTTTTTGTACAAATATCATTTTAAGGATATTTTTATTGTTAATACAATAACGCAAAAGATAAATATAAAGATAAATATGGGACGAAGAGTATTTTATTTGTAATTCAATTTCATTTCCATCTTTTATTTGAATTATCATAAACATCTTCTATTTTTTAATAAAATATTATTCCCTCTGTCCCAATAAAATAGTGTTGTTTACCACTTTTGTCCGTCTCAAAACAATAGTTTTATTTCCATAAATAATCATATCACTATAAAACTATCTCTAATTTTTTATTATTATTACACAATTGCCACTACTTTTTACACTAATATTACTCACAAGGGCAAAAAAGTCATTTATCCTTACTTTTTACCCACTATCAATATAATATCAATATTTCTTAAACCCGTATCTATCACAATAAGACTGTACTTTTGGAACGGTGGAAGTATAAAAGTTGTTGTATTTCTTTTATAAAAGGAAAAAAACTAATGAAAGATACAAACATAAAAAAAAAAAAAAAAAAATTAAAAACAAGAGACAAATGGAAGAATATAAAATGCTGAAAGGGAATTCCCATAGAAAATTCCAAATATATAAATCTGAAAAAATAAAAATAAAAAATCACTCACTAAATAAATATTGATTGCCCCTTAAACATGGTTTAGAGTCATTTCACTTTTCTACATATCTCAATCATCATTCTATTTATTAAATCAAATTAATCATTATAATACACACACTTATGACTAATTAGATAATGGTTAAAATAACACTATAATTTTTTACAAACACATAATAATTGATGTTAATTAACTTAATCAATATCCTAACGGTTCGAATTTTTTAAAATATTTGATTTTTAACATTTTTTTTTAATCTTTATTTTACTTAATACAATTATAAAACTATTTCAAATAAAAATAAAATAAAATAGTAAAACAAAAATAGCAAGATAATACTATTATATAAAATATAGTGCAAAATTCGTTCCAATTCAAAATATTTTTTTATTATTTTTGTTCATCATACTTAAAAGTATCCATTTTTTATTTTAAAAAAATAATCATACACTAATACCAAAATACCTTTAATTTTTACTTAATTACAAATATCTATTATACATACAATTACTTTAAACATAAAGTCAACAGACAAAAATGTCTAATCTTTTATACACTTCGAATGACCAATAAAATACTATTATTTCTTAATCTACTACAAAATCTCATAAATCCCCTTTAAAGTGGGACGGAAAAAGTATACATTTTATGCATTTATATTAAACACACGATATATAAAAGATAAACAATTTTTTTTAGGCATCCTTCATAATTGTGGCCATTTAACTCTAAGGGTGTGTTTGTTTGAGAGTTTTAGTTTTTGAGTTTGAGTTTGGATTTTTTACCAGTAAAAAATTGAATTTGAACAGTTGTTTGATGTGATATAAATAGAAGTTTATGTGATATTTTGAATGTAAAAATTAATTTTTAGTATAATATAAAAAAAGAAGTAATTGTCTGATGTGATTTTTCGAAAGAAAAAAAGAATTTAAATAGTAAAAACGTGTCATAAAACCCACAAACGAATACAACTATTTTTATTCCTATATATATATATATATATATATATATGACCCTTGATTATATTAATACAAAGAAACTAAAACTTGATCGATATTGTTTGGCTTGTTCTTCCAAGGGGAAAACAAAGCATAGCCAGCATAGAAAAACAAGAAAACAAAGAGAATAATGCCAAGAAATTACACCCCTACTTGTTCTATAAATTTATGGAAAACTCATTCTTTCTAACCCTAATTCGGTCCGAAAACTCGAACCTTTGTTGTCTCGAAAAAAATGGCTGTCGAAAATTCTCTTGTTGTAATAATATGCTGTGTTCTTGCAGCCACTTGTTCTAACGCTGCAACTTTCTCGTCTCTCCCACGCACTCTCACCGTCTCGGCTTCTCCAAAACATGGACAAGGTATGTTTATTACACATATATATGTATTTGTGTGTAATTGTTGTATCGATTTATAAGTGCGTGCTCATGGAAATTAATATTTGTACTTATCGCTTCGTGAGATGTAAATTTTTTACTCTTGAATTGAGTATATTTTTTCAATTCATCGATCTTTTGTAACGAATTTTGTGTGAAGTTGAACATGTGACTGTTAGGTTATGGATTCAAATCCTTTAACGTCATTTAGTCTTGTCGACCACACATAATTAATTTAGTATAACTTGTCTTGCTGATATAATTTGTTAGCTAAAAGATACAATTACTAAACTTATTGTTTTAATGATATTTTTTTGTAATATATTGTAAAATATACAATAGTCTTTATTTAAGTAAAAAATACAATTACTAAAAAAGAAACGAATACAGTGAAAATGAACAAACTAAAATAGCAATATAAATACATTCATCAATAAAATCGTAATTTTTCTTTTTTTTTTTAAAAAAAAAAAATTGTATTCAATACTTATTTATTATTTGAAATCTTTAAGATTTCAACCCAAAATATTCATTGAGCCATTGATTATCAACTCAAAAAATTTTTTTGAAAAAAATCCAATTGAAATATTATACTTTATCGTCTGTCAAATTTAATCATTTCTTTTTTAAAGTATGTCCGCTAAATTTATTTGTTACTAATTTTAATAAATTAATATTTAACTATTATCATAATTAAACACTTATTTACAACAAATATCACTACTTTTATTATTTTTTCTCTCTTTATTTTTCCACTTGCCTTAACAGAAAAAAAATTACGATAATTTTCTTACAGTTCTAAAAGCCGGAGACGATAAAATCTCAGTAACATGGTCACTCAACACGAGCCTATCGACGGGGACAGATTCATCTTACCATACAGTAAAAGTCAAGCTTTGCTACGCCCCGATTAGCCAACAAGATCGTGCCTGGAGAAAAACCGCAGATGATTTATCGAAAGACAAGACATGCCAACACAAGATCGTCGCCAAGCCATACAACACTTTAGACAGCGCATTTACATGGACAATACAAAGGGATGTCCCCGGGGCGACCTATTTCATTAGGGCTTATGCTTATAATTCCACGAGAGATGAAGTTGCCTATGGCCAAACGACAGATCAAAAAAAGACGACAAATTTGTTTTACATTCAAGCCATTTCCGGGCGCCATATGTCCCTAGATATTGCCTCGATTTGTTTCTCAGCTTTCGCCGTCATCGCGTTGTTCGGATTCTTCTTTTTCGAAAAGAGAAAAGTTGTAAATAAGTGAATGTTAGTGTTCTTGTTCTTATTTGTATCTAGTGTGTGTTTGTTTAGTAAAATTGCTTGAAGAATTATTATTATTATTTTTTTAATGTAAGTTATATGAAATTGTGTAAGTAATATAAAAATAATTAATGAATAATATATATTAAATTTTTTGAAAAAAATATATTTTTTACTATGTAATGAATTTGTATAAAAATATTATTGTTATATATTAAAATATTTTAGGGTTTTTATTGGGCCTATAATTGGATTTTAACTTTGAGCCTACAGATAAACCCAAAAAAAGAGTGGGCTTCGGACGCCCATTGAAGAAACATGTCGGTTGATCAGTCGCTTGATTGGTCGGTTGGTCAATAGCGTGGTTGATCAGTCATTTGATTGGTCGGTTGGTCAGTAGCGTGGTTCGTCGGTTGATTAGTGTCTGGTCTGATCGGCTGGTCGGTTGATAGCACGAAATGTAATCGAAGACGGTTCTTCAAGCGATTGCAACCACGATGAAGTTTTCAGTCCGTTACAACCGACTGCGCACACGATTCAATAACCGAATTAGAGAATATATAACAAGCGATTCGCATCCAGCAGGGGCATCTTCAATCAGCATAAAAATTCGCTTTGAGAATCATCTTTTATTTTCGTTTTAGTATCAGTTTGCTTTTATTTTCTTACATTTCGTATGATATTTGAGAATCTTCGATTCCAAATATTATTGCAGTCAAATTCAAATTTATTTCAAATTTTAATTTTTATTGTTGGTTGAAAACGGCATCAACAATTATTTATAAATATATGAAATAAAATCAAAATGAAATAGATACGACCATGTGAAATTCAAAGTCGGCTTGATCTTGTCTGCTACGTATGATTTGATCGGAATTTACTCAGTACAGATCAAACTTAACGATTTGTCTATTCACGACACCGTCTAAATCAAAATTTTAGAGCAAGAAACTCAACAAACCATCACAAGACTAACACATAACATAAAATCGAAATGAAATATATACATTCACCAAACTTAACTATTCCCACGAAGAATAGATACGTACCTGAAGTAGCTTATTGATGTCCGCTTGCTCCTTCTTGATCGCGCGCGCCGACGAGACGCAGGAAGGGCTGCAGTCGATCATTTCGATGAGCTCCAGGCACGCTATGTTTCCGATTTCCGAAGGGATTTCCACCAAGTCATAGCAATGCCGGACGATCAGCGTTTCGAGGCTCGGGAAATGCGTGTCGTCGGCAATCCAGTAATCTAAATCCAGGCCTTCAAGCATCAGGTACTTCAGCACCCTGAACTGCTCTTCCTTCGGCAACCACACCGAAACTGTCGACAACAACGATCCAAAAAAATTCATCAATAGTTCCATCGATTCAGATATACAAGTTAGTTTCGCGACATTACCTTCCTCAACGGTTCCTTCGTCCAGCCGGCTCTCGATTTCCTCGTTATGCCCGTGGAACGCAAACTCCCGCAGCTTCAGCACCTCGAGATGTTCCAATTGTCCAAGTATCGACATGTCGTCCCACGGGATCACGCACCCGCTCAGACTCAACTTCCTCAGCTTGTTCGGGAAAGCAAGCGCCGGCCGGAAGTCGATCTTCTTCTCCGGGACAGGATTCAGAACCGAAAACTTGAAAACTTCGAGAAATTTAAGCCCGTCGATATGGAAATCGACAGGATCATCCGGTGTCGCAACCCACGTCTCCAACTTCTTCAAGTTGGGAAATCTTCGGAGAACGTCCCAGTTACAGCAAGTGGCGTTGATGTTCGATAGAGATTGAAGGTTTTCGAGGAGCGGATTGCCCCTCAACAGAAAGTCTACTCCGGAAAAATCGGGCAGCTCGGTTTCGGTAAAGAACAGATGCCTCAACTCCGGCATGCTCCAGATTACGTCGGGCAGCATCGACGCGCCCAAGAATATGACCTTCGGATGCTGCCGAACGATCAGGGCTTGAAGATTTCGAAGCTTTCCTATCGACGAAGGAATCTTCCCATTGTAGGTAAGCGAAAGATAACTCAAGTGGATCATTCTCGCTACTTCGTCCGGGAATTCGATGAAAAATACCGTAAGAGCGTCCAATACTCTAAGGTAATGGAAGTCTAATGAGTAAGGATACGGGTGGTGGTGGTGGTTTCCGGTGAAGAGAAAACTCCGGGCAGTAGTGACAGCTATGGCGGCATCGTAAACTTCTTCCATACACATGAGAATGTTTTTGTGCACCGAAAGTCGCCTCTGCGTCTCGGCACCTTTCGGGATCGGTTCGTAATACCTTTTTATGCCGTGAAAGAACTTCTCCTTTTGACACTCTTTAATGGCGATATCGCGAAGAACGTCGTGAATCCCGCATGACTTAATCCGACCGTCGGGACCGAACTTACGGATCGCAATGAGATTCCTGTCGATGAGCTCCTCCAAGAACCTCTTCGCGACGAATTCCAACGTCGTCTTGTCCTTCGAATCGTTCAATGCTTTCTTCAAAGCGTCGAATCTTTCGTCCCTCGAATCTTTTAAAAACCCTTCGGCGACCCATAACCGCGTCAGCTTCGATAGAAGAAGCTCGCTATCTTCGGGGAAGCCTCCCATGTAAAGAAAACAGCCTTTAAGCCGACTCGGCAAGTGATTATAGCTCAACGTTAGAATCTCGATATACGACTCTTTCTCGTCCGTCGAAGCGACTGCGGCGTAAATGTCGCGTTCGATAATCGTCCAATACTCGACGGTCTTCCTCTCCTGCGAGAGCTGCCCGCCGATGACGGTCAGCGACAGGGGCAGCCCCCGGCAGTTCTTCGATATCTTCTGGCCGGTTTCGTGGAGGTGTGGGGGGCAATTTCCAGTTCCGAAGACACGATCACATAGCAGAATCCAACTGTTTTCTTCGTTTAATGGCTTCATGGTGTGGCGGAATCCGATTCGATTGACATGATCGGCAATGTGGTTGTGCCTGGTGGTGAGGATGATCCTACTCCTGTTCTTATTGTCAGGGAAATACTGCTTCAATCGATCCCAACAAGTTTCTACCCACATATCATCGATTACTAGCAGATAACGAGTATCGTATAAGGTTTGATGGAGGCGTTGAGCTAATTGCTCGTCGCTCTCGCGGCTGACGAGATTGGAGACGGATTCGTCCCCTTTCTGACCTCGTGTTTCAATGGAGGACAGAAGCTTGGTGAAGATGTCGCGGAAATTGTACTCCGGCGACACCGTTACCCAAGCGCGGGCGAGGAATTCGTCTTCCATACGTCGATCTAAGTAGATGCTACGAGCGAGAGTGGTCTTACCGATTCCAGGCATACCGATGATCGGAATGATTTGGAGGTCGTCGGAGGGGGAGACGAGCTCGGCGGTTACGAGCTTGAAATCCTCTTCCTGGCCGACGATCCGCGTGGTTTTGGATCTGGAAGTGAATTTGGAGGCGATAGCTTCGTTCGTGAACGGATCTGTTCCTTCGGTCCCCAAACGGACGTGTTTGACGGAATCGACGAGTTCGTCGGCGTTTTTGGCGATTGGATCGAAGCTGGAGATGATTTGGCGGAGATCGGCGGGGGTGGGTGGGGGTAGGAGGCAGGTGGAGAGGAAGTAGTCGATTGTGTCCTGTGATTTGAAGACTGCGTCTCGGATTTGGGATTCGAGGTCGGATACGGTGTCTCTGATGTCTCTGGTGACAGGGAAGATCTTTTCGAGGGAAGTTTGGAGGTGGAGAAGCTTTTGGTGGAGGTTTTGGACTTGGTCGTGTGGGTAGAGAGTGTGGGAGTGATCGGAGCGGGAGAGGTTGTGCAGAGTGTGGAGGAGGGAGACGAGGGCGGCGTGCGCCATGGATGCTGTGAGGAAGTGGCGAAGTGAAGTGATCAGGCGGACGCCATAGCTGAAAGCTTGAGAGCTGAAGCTAAATTATTGGTTTGGAAAACGGACGAAAGAAAGAAGATAAAGTGGAGTCCACTGTGATACTGTTCAGTAAAGCAGTGATCGATAACTGGATATTGACAGCATTACAGATATTACATCTATTTTGTTTTTGTTATTATTATTATTATTTTTTTTCACATTATATTTAACTCAATATTTAAATTAATTTATTTATCACTAGTTATAATAATCATTTTCAACATATTAATTTTAATATTTTATAGGATTTATACTAATTTATCTGTTTTTATATATGTTTATTGTATAATATATAAAAATTATTTATTTATTTATATATACTTTTATATATTTTTATATAATATTATATTAAATTTTTAAATTTTAATCTATATAAATTTTAATATATTGAAACATATAATTTATTATTTTAAAAATTAAAATTATTCAAATAAATCAATATATATATTAGATAATTTATGTTAAATTGATAATGTTAAAATTTTTTAAAATAATTAATTTACTATTATTTTTAATTTTTTCTTTAAAAAAATAACTAGTTTTTAAGGTAATAAATAGTGAATAAATGTATCTCTTTAAGAAAAGTAACGATGAAGGTAACTAGTTATTATAAAATAAAATTGAAAAAGTAATCATAAAGATAACAAGAGAAGTGATGGTAAGAGATCCTAATTCTTGCGGTCCTAACTATTGTGTCATATTGTCGTTTCTATCCGTATCAAATCTTATGCTACTTTTTATGTTTTTTTTAAAAAATAACTACACATTTTAATTTTATTTTAAAAAATTTAATTTGTAATTTTTTTAACTTTAGTTACACTAATTAGAACTTATTTTAAATTTTTATATTTACAGTAATTTGAACATACAATGTGAGACAAATGGAGTATGACTCATAACAATTGTAAATAGGGCGGAACTATGTGGGGGCTAGGAGAGTCATCTGACACTGACCCTAGCCCTCATGTATTTTTTAATATAAAAAAAATAAAATTAAATATTTTATATTAATTTGCTTTTTCTAATTTTTTATTTTGTAATATAAAAAAATCATAAAAATTTTATTCGTGTATTGATTTATACTTTTAGTCTTTTAAATTATATTTATTTTTTTGTAAAAAAGTATTAAATTTTATGTAATTTTATTGAAATTTTTTCTAAAACATTTAAAATTTTCAATTTCTTTTATCTTTTGCCGCCGATGTACTATGAATAAAAAAAATAACATTGAATCAATAAAAAAAAATTGATTATGCTCCCTCCAATTTTTACTGCTGGTTCGTTAGCGACGGTAAACATGCATTTTACCACGGAATATGCCAAATGTATTCAAATTAGCATGAATGTATCATTCTAAGTGATGAGTAATCACTTTTCTAAAACCTATAAGTAGGCCATTATGTAAATCTATTTACATCATCAATAAAATATTTTTTTTCCTTCTTAAATAATAATATAAACTTATGTAAACATATTAATTATACATAAATATTGTTCTAATAACTATATATACATATAATTATGTTGTATATGTTCTATTAATTATAACAAAAAAGGTTATTAATTAAATTATTGGCTTTACTTTCGAAAATGGAGAGAGCACATTTGCGCAATCTTCTTTGTTTAGATAGAGGTTTTTAAAAATTTAAAAGTTTGAAATAAAATAAAAAATTTGATTAAATATTTTGTAAAAAAAAATATATTTATTGTGATATTTTTTAAAAAATAAACAGTCTCAAATAAGAAAAATGTATTAGTGTAAACAGAATCGTTATCTTTTCTTTGGTCATATGTTATTAAAAATGAAGGCAGTGTAATGAAATTACAAATCTAGCCTTAGGAAACATTGACTTTATGCTAACGGCAAATACCCAATTATATACTACTTCAATAGAATTGGATATAGATAATTGATAAAAATATTAGATTATAATATTTATCATTATTCACCATATATGTTTAATATATTTTCTAATTTAATAATACGAGAGTTTCATATTTTCGATAATTTGAAAATTTACAATTATTAGGTTTCAAATGCATAATAGATTGTAAACTAAATCAATATGATAAGTCATAGTATATGAATTATATATGACGGATAAAATCAAATGGCATCGAAAATTCATAATCTTACTTTTACAAATAAAAAAAATTCAAAATTTTTTCTTTTATTTTTGCCTTAGTATCACTAATAAGTGGTGTAATATCATATTTGTTCGTATGACTAGCATTCATAATTTTATATTTGCACTTAAGAGTGTGTTTATAGGATGAAATTATAGTATATAGTATTATTTTAATATATTATGCAATCACATAATAAAATAATTTAGAGCCATTTTTTTTTCTATGTGACATTCTTATATTTTAGGATTATAAGTGTATTGTTTTACAAATTGTACGCTCCAAAATTCAACCAAAGCCCAATCTATATTGAGAGAGTGTACATGTGGGGAGGTTTAATGCAACATTTTGAAAAATATGAGAGAGTGTCACATTTAAACCACAAGATAGAATTACACAAAATTTCCAAATCACAGGTGAATCTTGGACAAGTGTAGGCAGGGGAAGTTTAATGCAACATTCTAAAAAATATGAGAGTGTCCCATTTAAACTACAATATAAAATTACATCGACGTTTCCAAATCACAAGTGAATTTTGGACAATTTTTGTACACATGTTGCGTACATCTCACAGGTCAACACGAGTCATACGCTTCTGTCCTCACTTGCACGCATATTCGCAGACTTCCCACGTTTAATTTTAGAGTTATTTAAGTAGGACTTTAAAAAAGAAATGTGCACATTGTTGACATGAATAAGTCTACTCAATACACTTAACTTCTAATCAACTTCGAATGGTCTAATACCGACTCATCCACACAGAGGAGTTGGCCAAACAACAATCCAACTAAAGGGTATCACAATTTCGCCTTTTGAATAAAATCAATTTTTCACAAAATTGAATTTTAAAATTGATTCAAAATTGACAAAATCCATATCATACATGGAATACCCTAAATCGTCTCTAATTTTCTTATTCCTAACTATAAATTAACCCTAAATAAGACTTTTTTCACTTGGCTTTATGTCTATTTTAAAACAATGATTTGATATAATAATTTATTATAAATATACATATACAATATTCTATAAAAGATGGCTCGCATAGTCAAAAAAAATTTGTTTACAGCTCTACCTACTAGGCAAAAGTTCATACTCATAAATATAAATAAATAAAGTCGCTTGAGGACGACCCGATGGGGTAGAGAATGAATTTGTGACCGTAAAATTATGAATTCAAACTCCGATGCCTTCAGGTCCACCTACGTATAAAAATTTCGAATAAAAATATAGGATTGATTATGATGCTAATTAATCAGAAGTAATACTTAATCTCTCCTGTAAAAAAGTAGTACATTTGGATCACTATGGAGATTAAAAAATATATATATATTATTAAAAAAATTGATAAAAAAATATAAAATTGTAATTGAAAGTACTTTTGAAACTTTACTTAGAGATTTAAAAAAATTAAAAAATATATTATAAAGATAACATCAAATAAGTGTTAAAATGAAAATAAAAATGAGTAAATTACCTAAGAAAAAAATAAGTTATTTGTTATAAAATTTGAATAGGTAATATAAAGATAGGATCCTCGGCCCTAGCGCTGACCCTGGGTGTCCATCCCAGGGCTACGGTAATCAGAGGACTTATTATATATTTATATTATATACGTATAAATTATATATATATAACTTATTTGATATATGTAAATATAAAATATTATATTTCGATGATATAGAGATTGAGATTTTAAGTCTCAAACATTTAAAAATATTTTTTATCTAAAAATATTAAAAAATTATTTTATTTAATTATTTATATTTTATTATAAATAAAAATATATTATTTTATATATTAGGGTTTTTTTTTTTTTTTTTTTTTCGTACTAAGCCCTTCGAAATTGAGGACACGGCCCTGCTCGGCCCCTAGGATCCTCGGCCCCCATACGCCACTTCACGTGCCTCACTAAAAGCAATATATATATAGACACACTACACTAGGATCCCTTCCCATAATATAGGGCTATACCCTACCGGATCTCTACTATAAAAAGACAAAGGCTTATATTCTCTCTCTACAAAACATGGGGGCAAGTCTCACAATAATAACTAAAAACTACTTACTAAATAAAAACCCTTTGGACACACATTAGAGTTAAACACCACTTGCTTATCTCCTCTCCTCACTATTCAATTTGAGACAGCCAAAACTACATACATACGTGTATATATATATATATATATATATTATTTAAAATATATATATATATGTGACACAAAGAATATACTCACCATTTGTATAATATGATCAATGTGATTCTTCAACACATCCAGATGACATTCCAATTTTCATACTCATCCCCTAAACATGCCTTTGGGACACTTTCACATTAAACAAAACACTTAACATCAAAATGTCAAACAAGATAACCAGCCAAATGCACAATTAATTATAATTATAATAAATTTTATAATAATACTAACACAGGTTGTGGATTTGACTTTTATTTTTTTATTTCTTTTAAGGGTTTTAAATATATTTCTTGTACTTTTCAGAATAGCTGCTCATCATCTTCTATATAAGCAAACAAAAGTCTTAACTTTTGTACTTACCTCAGATTCAAGAATCAGTGAGATCTTTCACAGCTTCTACTTCTCATTGTTTTCTGAATCTTAACAATTCCATGGCATTCAGGACATCCCTTTTTGTTGCCGTTTCGGTTTGGTGTTTGGTCGTGGAGAGTGGCGCCGCCATTCACTTCTCGGATCTGAAGGAGAGTCTTGTCGTCACAGCTTCACCTAAATCGGGACAAGGTAATAAAACTAATCCACAGGCATATATGTTGTTAGAAATCTCTTTAGAAAGAACTCTATGCATGTTGAGTTACTCGAAAGCTCGACTCATTAATTATTCTAACGAGTCGTGTTTGAGCTTAAGATGTTTTTGAGTTGAGCAAGTAATAAATTTATGCTATTTCTCGTGTTTTTAATATATGGCAAAATTGTCCATAACTTTCTTGTAGCGTAAATCTCTTATACTTTAAAAAATATTGCATAAAATTCTTCCGTAGTTTCGAAATTCAGCGTAAATCTCTATTTTATTTTAAAACTTGTCTTGACGCCTCCTTATACTTCCAAAAATATTGCATGCAACTCCCCGCCATGCAAAAAATATAGATAGAAAATCATATTTTCATCACACAAGAAGGTTTCATGGCAATGGGATTTCGTGCAATATTTTTGAAAGTATAAGGGGTGCTATGTAATTTTTAAAGTACTGAAAGATTTTACGCTGAATTTCGAAATCATAGTGGAGTTATGAGTAATTTTACCTTAATACCCCATCCGTCATCCAATTGTGTGCTCATTTGACCGGGCACGGGTTTTAAAAAAAAATGTAAGAATAGAAATTTTTACTTTTTTTTTTGTAAAGAAAAGTGGTATATTTTTACTAAAAAAAGAAACAAGAATAAATTTTGATGACAACCAGAAAATGAAAGTGAGAATAGATGTGAATGACGGAGGGAGTATATTATAGGTAAAGCTTGAGATTTACTTCGGAAAAGCTCGAGTCGAATTCGAAAACAAAATATATAGCTTACCTTTCTTTGTTGAATTTCGCAGTTCTAAAAGCCGGAGAGGACAAAATAACGGTGACTTGGTCACTCAACACTACATTTCCAAATGGAGCCGACTCGGACTACAAGACAGTGAAGGTGAAGCTCTGCTACGCCCCGATCAGCCAGGAGGAACGTGGCTGGAGGAAAACACAAAACGAATTAAAAAAGGACAAGACATGCCAACACCTGATTGCTTCACGACCATATGCTCCTTCGAACAACAATGTTACCTGGATAGTGAAGAGGGATTGCCCGGGAGCTACATATTTCGTCCGGGCTTATGTTCTTAACTCAGCCGAGCATGAGGTAGCCTTTGGACAAACCACGGATTCCAAGAAGACCACAAACTTGTTCGAAATCCAGGCAATCACGGGCCGCCATCTGTCACTTGACATTGCGTCCATCTGCTTCTCGGCATTCTCCGTGGTGTCGCTGTTCTTCTTCTTCTTCTTGGAGAAAATCCGGAACAAGACTAAGTGATTTCATCAGCTGAACAAATCATTCTTGTCCCTTTTTCATACGTTATGATGCATACGTCTAAATGTGCAAGTTAAGTCTCCATGGGAATGCTGTGTAAGGTTGGTTGGTGTGTCTACGCTTTCGGTAACATGTTAAACAAACTGGTTTTTAATTTTTCAAGATTTTGCTATTATAGTCTATATAGCTCAAGCTATTTTTTCCTCATTTGAGAAAGTGTACCGAACACAAAATTGATAGGAGGGATAGACAACTGCCTCTCTCCACGACATCCGACAAAGCTTAAACTAGTTTATTGAACTAACTCAAGGACTTCATGATGAGCTGCAAATTATATTGTAGGATTGAGAAGTTATGAACTGGATATTAAGATTTAAGAGCCAAAATTTTTTGGTATATTTCACTCGAGATAAAATTCAAAAAATTACTTAACAAGAGAAATTTCTAGCTAGCGTTGATGCCTGAATGAAAAATGAAGAACATAGGAACTTTCAAGCTTACATGAACAAAAATATTAATCCATAGCCAAAACTTCTATTGCCTAAACATCGTTAAACATTCAGGCCTTTGGTTTATTGATGGAAATCAGAATCCTAATCGACTGAAATTCCCATTTAAATAATTCAATACACAGATTTGGTTATTCCTCAAATGCTGGTAATAATTTCGATATTTTAGTTCCATTATCTCTAAACCACATATTCACATAAGAGACTTAGAATTATCTTCCTTGTCTGCAGGAAAAGCACTGTAAATTAATGGTAAATCATAGTTTCGTTTGGAAAGTGATTTTATCCCTTTGTTCAAAAGTAATCACAAATTTCTATGTATGTTTAAAGGTCATATCTTGAACCATGACTTTTGATCAGAGGTAATGATCTGGGCATCTGGTAATTTGATGTATTAGGAACCAAAATTGAGAATAATTCTCTATTCTTTTGTAATTATATGAATATAGGGATGATTTACTTCCCAAGTCAAATCACTTTCATTTCGATTGAATTTTATTCTTATATTTATACCGAAAGCTTGCTAAGAAGTTACACATAGTCTAAACTTTATGCAAGTGAGAAGGTACCTGTCATTTTCCTAAAGTCAACAATACTATCAAAGTTCTACCATGTGACCTGTTATCAATTGAATAAATTGATAAAATAAACATGCTGCCATCACCTGCTTAATTATTCAAAAGGCAGCTCACCAATATAAAGAAAAGGAATAGAATTTGTAGGACTGTTTGGTTGTGTTTTCTATGTTTTATTTATTTAGCAATATGCCATCTATCATAAAAAAGTACAATTTTCTCCTAGAAAGATCATATCCAATATGTATGTTCTATTACAAACATAACATCCGGAACCTATTTCTCTTCTTCAAAATCTTTGTTTTTGTTAAAAAAGTTCAAATTCAAAATAGGCCAATATACCAAAAATACTCCAAGTCAAAAACAAATACAATTAACTACAAGATAGTTTGCTAACGTCAGAATGTAGAAAATATTGCAGATTAAGGACAAGTTGGAAGAATTTAATATAAAGAACTATTCAATGATCTAGGTGAGATATTTATTTAACAATGAGGAGTAAAGGATCTGCTAAAATGACTTGTCAAGAATATAAGTAGCAGCAAGAATTATGTAATAAATAGAAAGACAAGCATGATCAAGTGCATAGATGAAGACAAGATCTAAGTAAACTACATAAAGAGAGAGGTGAAATCAGACTTATCATGACGAAAGACTACTAATCCATCGTACTAGAATTCCTCTTTGTTGTAGGTGAGATAGAAAATCGAGTATCTTCCACTCAGAAGCTCCAGCTTTGGTATAAATCTGAAAGAAAATAGATATGCAGTTGATCAATGTTGCATTAACTACAAACAGATTATAATAGAAACGTAAATAAGATGCAGATCAGATTATACCAAATTGCCTAAGCAAAGAAAAGAAACCGGTGTACAGATCATTGCTGCATCCACAGGTACTAATATAATCATTATGTATAATAGGGCACTGCGAACCTTTGACGAATCTTTCTTGAATATAACCAAACTGTTCTGAAGATAATGGAAATTATAATAGCATAAGGAGCAACGAGAATAGATCATACAATACATTTGATGCATCTAATTGAAGACCATTTCCTGACTATCCATTCTATCCATTCCAATGAGAGACAAACTGTCGTGGAAAAGATCAACACGTCCAAAAGCACTGGTTCCTGGAGGGCATTCCAAGGCAGCTTCGAGAACACGGTGGTGCACACCTCGGGAGTCCACAGAGTAACCACCTGTGTGTGCATGGCCAGCTAAACAGGCCTTTACACAATTGTATCGATGCACAACTTCCATCACTTCGTCATAATTCCATAATAATGATTCCGGAGACGATGCACTGGGATCTAATGGAAGATGGCAGCATATCACCACTTTCTGGTGTAACTTTGTCGCATTGTTAAGCGTATAATCCAACCATTCCATCTGTTCTTTTCCTACTGCACCATTAAACATGAGAAACCTTCTATCCGTCCCCACAAGTCCATTTGGACTGTTCTTGTTAGAATTTGGATTCTTCTCCTTAAGAAATTTCATGGCCTGAACTGCGCTGGGATGATTCTCAGGCCACCCCACTGCACTTACATCATACCCATCAAGGACTACAAATCGGAATTCTGGTATTGGAGAAAAATCATAATAGGCACGACTGTCACAACCAGTAATGTTCAATAGAGGAAGTAATTTGTCACGAGGAAGATTATAGAGACAGTGGTTGCCAATCATGTGATACACCGAGCCATCAAACGCATTAAATTCATTGACAATTTTTTGAGTTGCAGTCAGAGACTGGACTTTTGGGCACAAGCCATCAACAATATCCCCAAAATTAATGGCAAATGGCAGCTTCTGCTTGTTCCAACTCTGCACTGCTCTTTGCAACACAAGCAGGCTGTGCCGATAATAGCGGGGAACACCTAAGAATGAGCGTCCGTCTGGAATGTCAGCATACTGGACATCTGATATCACCCCAAAAGAAACCAGAGGCTGCTTTCCTTGTGCACCAATGATCCCATTTGGATAGCTCATTGAGCAGAAAAATCAAATTCTATAAGCATCAAAAGAATGTTCAAATTAGTGATGCATATAACACAAGCACATCGAAAGCATTCTCCATGTAATAGGAAATAAAACATTTAAATTCGAAAAATATTTCCTTCAAGATTTTCATAGCACTTCATCCACCAAGCATAAATTCTAAACTTAACACCTTTTGTTTTATTACATAAATATAACAACTCAATAAATTTTCAACTTAGGAGAAAAATTCCTGAAGCACTTGGATCCAAAGCAATTAAAGGACACGGGCATATAATGATCAAGAACGGTCTCTACTATAACAAATAAAAGTTCTACAGAAATATTGTAAATATTGAAGTTATAAAATCGATCGTCTCTCGAAATTGCTCACAATAAAGGGAAGACACTTGTAACAGAAAATTCCACCTTTTATTGTGCAAAAAGAAAATCAATGTAAACACTCCTCAATTCTTTCTATTACATCGTGATATCCCGACTCTCAACTTCCTAGTGAACCTAATCGAATTTCCTTAAAGCATACCCACTACAGGTAACTCTCCTATTTGCCAAAACCAAGTCTCTAATTTGTTTAGTATGCTTGACATTACAAACCTATTTCACTTCATGAGGATTCTGACCATAAAACCATTGCACCTTCTAAAATATAGGTTCGAATTTATTCATGCGAAACCATATACCCTACCCTCTCAATCAAACAAAAATAAATGTTATTCATACTATCCGATACAATGCTTCAATCAATCAAATATATATTTCAAAAATAAGAAAACCACAAGCTATGTCACACACTCAAAAACAGTTCAAACACATCTAAATTGGGGTAAAACATGTCTGAGAACTAATTCACACGTATAATGCATAATTGGTTCTCTTAAATCTATCCAAATTATTTGCAGCAGCTCATCGGTGCTAATTTAAATAGACTAAATTGCCATATAATTTCCCCCTCTTTCCAGCAATATTAACCATAATTTTGAAAACTTGAATTAAACATCTCGAATACCCAACAGCTTAGCTAAAATTCTGCACCTGCAATCTGAAAATCCCCAAAATTCCAAACAGAAAGTTCAAAAACAAATGAATCACCAAAAAGGAATGGCGATTTCAAAGTACAAAACAGAATGAGTTCAGCAATCAATCACGAATGAATTCGGAAAGCAGCGAGGAGGACAACATCATAGAAAAATTTTGAATGTGTTTACCTTGCGTAAGAAATGATATGACCTATATCACCTCTGTGTTTCTCGCCTGCGACATAAGGGCGCGTCTGGTTCGATCTAAATTTATTGGAAAATTGATTTTTTTTCATTTTTACAATGTCAACAATTTTAAATTAATTTTTTTTAAAAAAAAATTAATAAAAAAAAATAAAATTTTACACTAAACAAAAAAGTATACGGTCTTATACAATTAAACATGATCACGTAAAAACATGTTATACACAGTATAATATCTAAATCAGCTGGCATCTCTTTAAAATAGTTTATAATAAAACTAAAATTGATGAGTTTTTAATATTGAAGATCAAAATTGATACATTTTAATTATATCTGACTAAAATTAATTTTTCTCTAAATTATTATTAATACACTACCCATATTAATTATTTGTATATTTTTTCAAATAACTTGCAATTCTTTTTTTTTTTATTTTTTTATTTTCATTGCTATACCTAAGAAGGAAACGGTTGTTTTATTTAAATAATTTTTTTAATATATAATAACTAAAAATAATCAATTTTATAAAAATAAAAATAATATATTAATAAATAATACTTATACTCCGTCTATTTAAATATTTACTTTTTAAGTTATTTTTTAGCTCCTTCTACAAACTCTGGGCTTTTAATTTTTAATACTCTCTTTATCTAGAATATGGTATTTTAAAATTTAGAAGTATAAGTAATAAATAATTAAAAATATATTAGCAAAATTATTTAATAAAAATAATTTTAAATTATAATTTAAAATAACCCATTAATATAATTAAAATTAAAAAAATTTAAAGTATATATTACTTAAAAAAAGATGACAAAATAAATAAAACAAATAAAAATGAAAATGAAAAAGTGGATAAAACGAATGAAGTATTAAATATCGTCGAGCATAGTTCAATCTTTGACCCAATTGTTTCATTTACATATATGGGAGACCAATGCAATTTATAGAAAATTGAATAATTTTGTGTTTCCAATTTATAGGTAGAATTGAACCCGAATATTGTAATAATATTGAGCGAATTATTATAAAATAAATTATTGGTTGTGTTATGTTATGTTCTTGCGAGGGATGTGCCGAATTGATCATTTGCAAAAAAGTTTTGTAAATTTTTTTATTGTAAATTCTTTCGTATATTTTATGGCAAAAAGATTAATTCTTTTATATATATATATATATATATATTGAATGGCTGATTTCAAATAGCTTAAAAATTTTACATTTCAAAACTTTTTATCTAGATTTTTAGGTTGAAATTAATTTTTTCAAGACTATAATAATCATACAAGATACTATGTTAAAATTGATAATATATTTGTTTGGGGATTAAATTTTAAATCCACTGTTCATCCTATTTTTTCCTCAAAAAATAGCAAATCAAACACTTATTTTTTTATTTTTTATATTATATTAAAAATCAAATTTACATTCAAAACATCACATCATACAACTATTCAAATTCAAAACTTTTACTGTTCAAATCTCAATTCAAAATCCAAACACCCAAACAAACACACAATAAAATAGTATAGTAGCCAAGAGGCCCAAGAAAACGAAAGTCATATATATCAAATACTCCAAATCTTAGAGATGAAAAAATACTTTTGACAATATTATTCATTTTTAATAATATTTTTACAAAAAGATCATCTAATATATATATATATATATATTCAAAAAAATATCATATTAATTTTATTTTTTTTTAACTTCTCAAAATTCGAAAATTTCCAAAAAAAAAATATATCTAAATAGAATGGAAATGGACTAAAAATCCGGCCGCATATAACAATTTTTACATAGAAAAATCGAAGGCACGTACATTGCTAACAAAAATTAATTCGGACAACACAAATTAAATTAAATTAAAAATAATTGTATGTACTTTTTTTTTTCTATAGATAAATATCACCAGCCCTACTTTCATAAAATTAATTACAAATTTATATCTTAATCTAATTTTATTATTGAAAACAATCAACAATCCAATTCTAGCCATAGATTGATACAAGTTTGAAATATACTCGGAGTTTTATTTCAAATTATTTACTATATAACTTATAAATTTTCTGAAATTACGATATTTTTTTTTCATACTTTATCGTATTCAAATTATTATTTAAATAAAAATTTCAAAATTAAATTATAAAATAAAATTCCAAGTAAACAAATTTCATTTGAACTGACTTCAGAAAATGTCACACACTTGGGCGACTTTTTTTAGAATTTAATTTTAATAATTTTACTATATAACTATTGTTTTTTTTTAGTAAATAAACAAATTTTTTTATATAAAACATTAAATTATTATTATTATTATTATTATTATAGAAAACTCTAATAAAGAACTTACACCTATATTAAAATATTATGTAAATTAAAATATAAAATTAAAACTCAAACCCACAAATAAACCACAACATTCTTCACATCTAGAAAATTACATAAGATAGAAAATGACATAAGTTACTTTTGTATAGTCAATCTCATTTTTTAGTATTTAATATTTGGAGCTGGCGTCAAAAATTAAGAAAAATAAATATCTTATTAAAAAGATAAAGAAAGTAAAATAGTAGTCGACAATATTTTTGAAAATTTAGTTAATAATTAAAAAGAATTAAAATAAAAGATGTAACAAAGTTAGCTGTATTTATTGTAAAAAAATAAGTGTTAAATTAAAGGTAATATAATTAAATATTATTTTTTTACATTTTCAAAATAAAATAAATTTAACGAACATACGAAAAAAAAATAGAAATAAATTTAACGGACAGAAAAAGTATTTTGTGTTTATCGAAAAAATGATATATTTAATTTTTATTAATTTTATACAAAATATCATATAAATAATCTCATCTTAGCAAAAATAAAAATACAAATGGCGCGTTTCATTTTTCACAAATCTACTAGTAGGTTAAGCACCCTCTTAAAAACGACATTCGTAATTAAAAAGTAATTTTGTTTATTAACGATGGTACAATTAATACTTAATTTCAATTTCAAAACGGATATAATTATTATATGAATTTAAAGATTTCACTTGACTATTCTCTATAAAAATACTGTATTTTATTTAATAAAATATTACATTCGAATTACTATTTATCGAAGTTTTGCTATAAAAGATGTATTATAGATCCATATATTTTACTTTTAAATTCTTCATCAAAATATGGGAAAAATAGTGATGCATATTGTTTTATTTCATTCTTCTACTTATTTTTTTTTATTGTTTTAAATGTTTCTCATTTTATTGATTTATATGTTTTTTTCAATTTTCCCATAAAAAAAATATTCTTCAACTAGTTTCCTTATGTACTTTTCTATGGAAAATTACAACATAATTTAAGCCATTAGTTACACAAATACAATTTATTTTTAATATTTTTCACATCTAGATTTTATCTAACTTGTATTTTACATCAATTTCTTTTTGAAATTGGTATTATACAAAATTATTGAAATAAATCAGTTTATTATTTTTTCAACTTTTTTTTAATATTCAATCTTTGTAATTCTTTATTAAAAGAATATATTTTTAAAATACTATTTAAAGCAAAATAAATTTTAAAAAGAACACATAATGTTACTAATGATATAAATATATATCTTTTACTTTTTTTTAAATAAAAAAAGAAATCCATCGGTAAAAAATTCACAAATAATTATTTCATTCGTCATTTAAATCTATACTTATTTTTTTTAACGAGTTCTCATTAAAAAAATCATTTTTTTTAAAAAAAGTAAAAAAGTACATCAACTTTTTGTATTTTTTCCTACAAAATATATAAAATAACAATTATTATTATTAACTTTTATTAAAATTCACGTCTAACTATTTTAACACATATTTGCATAAAGAATAAAGGAATACAAAGCATATGCAAATGAAAACAAACTATAGTGATAAAATTGTGTATAAATAATACTATCTCCGTCCCATAAATATAGTCTTAATTGGGTTAGACACGAGATTTAAGGAACATTGGTAGTTGGTAAAAAGTACTTTTTTGCCATTGTGAGTGTATTAGTGTAAAAAATTAGTGGCAATTGTGTAATAAAATGAAAAAGTAGAGGTAATTTATGGTGATATGGTTATTTATGGAAACAAGACTATTGTTTTAGAACGGACAAAAATGATAAACAAAACTATCATATTGAGACGGAGAGAGTATATTAATAGATCAATTTACAATCACATAAGATGCCCAACTATACATGCTATGATTTTTATTTTTATTTTTTTTTAAGTGTAAAATAATTGCTAAAGCCAAAACCTAGCCAACAATGATATAAATGAAATCATAAATTTATATATAGTCGATAGCCCCTATAGATAAAATTAGGCAAAATTGCCAAAGCATATACTAAACTAATTTGTAACAAATTGTACTATTTATTTGTGCATAACTACACTATTATGTGTAGGGGTGCCAATTATTATTATTATTATTATTATTATTATTATTATTATTATTATTATTTTATAACGAAGAAATTCAGAACCGTTACCATTCGAATGTACTTTGGATAAACCTCTGATCGAACCTAATAGTATGCAAACTTATGTCGGTGTCATAAATTGATCCGAAACGAAAATGAATATATCGATTTGAACTCGGTATGAAATAATTCATATTGTCATGAATGTGTGTTTTTTTTATCAAATTTCTCTGAATTTTTATTATTCACTAAAAAAATTTCTCAAAAAATAACCAATCAAATAATTATTTTTTATTTTTTGTATTATATTAAAAATTAATTTTAAATTTAAACATCAATATCAACCTCTATTTATATAACATAATATAAATATTTCAATTAAAAAAAATTTACTACTCAAATCTTAACAAAAAAATTCAAACCCCCAAATAAACACACCCTAAGTAGTACTCCGTCCGTCCGAAAAATTTAGCTCATTTCTTTGTATTTTTACAAAAAAGATAAGACTAAATTTGCTAGACGGAAGGAGTATATTTTGAAAGGAGGAATATGCTAAGTATTTATGTACTCCGTATGTTCCGGAAAATTGACGTGTTTGATTAGTGACAATGTATTTATGGTAATAAAGTTTAATATGTTATGGTATTATTATTTTTTTTTATGTGAGTGATTTTATTGGTATTTTTAAAATGAAAATTAATATATATAATTAAAATAAATTTAAAATACATTAATTCTGATATTATCCTAGAAAAAATACGTTCAACTTTATAGTTCACTTAAATGAATTTCTGAAAAAAATTTACATATTGTTAACATGAATAGTTAACTAAAATATTATTCAATTATATTCATAGAGTTCTCTCAAGTGGACTATCGAAAAAAAATGCATATTATTGACATAAGTAATCTAATCAATCCACCGGTGTAATTATGTTGGGTTTCATTTTTTTGTAGTCCGCTAAATTTATGCACAATTTATTTATTGAAAACATTTTATTCATCATACTTTAACAGATAAAAATCAATTTATCATTATTTTTCTATTTATCACATCATTTTTCTTTTTCAAATATTTAATAAATTTACTATACTACCCTCACTTTGTCATTATTTTTTTATTTATCACATCGCAAGGGTCGTTTAGCCATATAAGAAATCCTTAATTAATAATAACATAAATAACTTTTATTTCAAAAATTTGATACAATTACAAGGACAAAAAATATTTTATTCGTACTTTTTATCAATTATCAATATTCTTTAAGTCTCTCTCAACCCAACTAAGACAATAATTTTGGACGGACAAAATATATATTTTGAAAAATGTATCAAAATAATTAGAAATAGTACGTGATTAACTAGTATTGAAAATATTAGTTGATATTCAAAAGATCCATTCAAACAAATTTTACTAATTATGCAAAGTCAACAAAATCATCACTTAGGGTCTGTTTCTCCGGCCCAAAACTGGGTTGGAGGGGGTTTGGGGGACAGTAATTAAATTATACAAATTACTATAAATTTATATTATTATATTCATATTCATCAAATTAATATCCATCAAAACTTCTTAAACTTCAACCAAACCCAAACCCAAGAGAAACATAAAAATTCAAACTCATCTCAAAATTCAAATAAAAACCAAACCTAAATCCAAATTTCTGGGAAACCTCCTAAAGAAACACACCCTTAATTATTATCTTTCATTTAACGTTTATTTACAATAACTGACTTACCTTTATTATATCATTTCTCCTCGTTTTCATTAATTCTAACTAAATTTTCAAAAATATTTTCAACTATATTTTTATTTTTATCATTTTTCTAATAAAATATTTATTTTTTCTATTTTTCATACAAATACTCTAATTTTATTGGATATAAAAAAATATTATACAGTAAAATGTCAAATTAAAATACTATTTAAATTAAAACTAAAATAAAACTAAACCAATTTTAAATACTCTATATATTTAAGTTACTATTAGCAAAGCTTACAAGCATTCTTTCTCCAAACTCATAATGGCAGATTTGCAATTCTACGCAATCCTCTTCACTCTCCTCTCCACACTCTGCGCGTGGTATTTCACGCGCCGCCCCAAGAAAAACCCGATGCCGTCGCCGCCGTCGCTCCCTGTGGTCGGAAACCTCCACCAGCTCGGAAAACTGCCGCACCGATCGATGCGGGAGCTCGCAAAGAAACACGGTTCGCTGATGCTCCTCCACTTGGGATCAATTCCGACGATCGTCGTGTCGTCGCCGGCGGCGGCGCGTGAGATCTTCAAAACGAACGACGTCGTTTTCCTCGACAAGCCGGCATTCAGCGCGCCACGTAAGCTCTTCTACGACCTCAAGGACCCCATACATATGAAGTACGGCGAGTTATGGCGCAAGCTCCGCGGGATCTTCGTCCAGGAGCTGCTGAGTAGCTCGCGGGTCCGGGCCTTCGGGACCATCCGCGAGGAGGAGGTGATTTTAGAAATTAACATGAATTGGATTCCGTTTGGAGTAGAGTATCAATTCGTATTTTCGAGCGAGTTTGTGTCGAATTTAGCTATGAGTGTAATGAAAAATTGTCAATTGAATTCAATTGAACCCAAAATTTAACTTTAGATTCGAACTCATATATGAATTTTTTTTGATCTAGTTCAGGTCAACCTGATTTAATTTAGTTTTAGATCACCTAAAATCCAAACAAACTCCACATGAAATACATCCGAAAATTTTAAAAATTTTGAATTTACCTAAATAAATTCATTTTTAATAATTATTTTATATTTAAGATAATATAACTATTATAAATTAAAATAATAATAAAAAATAATTTTAAGTCAATCCAAAATTTGAAATCCAAAACTCGACTTGACTTTTATATTTCGAATTATCAGATCAACTTAAATTCCGATCGAGCACGACACAAATTTTTTTGGTTTCATGTTCGGATCTATCTGATTTTTTATAAATCCGAAACACTTAAACTCGAACCTGAAAATTTTCAGGTTAAACAAGTTCGAATTTTTTAATTGAGTTTAATTTTGACACCCCAATATACCTAATCTTTTGGCTTTTGCTTCTAAAGTTTTAAATATATTACTATACAGTAAAATTTATTTAAGTTAATTATATTTTTATTTTTGTTTTTATTTAATAAATATATTTTTAATTAGGCTAGATCATAATTTAAAATTCTTAAAATTAAATAGAAAAATATAATAAAAAATATATTTATATTAGCGTGTCCCATTTGATAATTTTAATGGTTTAAAATCATTTTCAATTTACTATATGTAAACAAATTTTTTATAAAATTCTACTTTTATAAAAATTAATTTAAATATAAAATCGAATGACTAATGTTTTCAAGCTTTAGAGGCAATTTTCTTCAAAGAACACAAATGGTTTGTTTCTTTACAAAGACTTTATCAACATATTTTTTTCGAAAAATTAATATAATATATATATTTATTATTTTTATATTATTTACGTAATTCTCTATATCTCATATCATTTTTTTTTTTATTTTTTATTTTAAAATCAAAACACAAAACAAAGACACTACTCAATGCATCTTTTCACGATGAATTATGAAAAAATTAACAGGGACGTCTAGAATCACAATTCTACTTATTATAATTAATTATAGAGAAAATTGTAAAAATATCCCTATCTATATCACATTATTTTTTTTTTGTCATTTATTTATCTATGTGACAAAATATATTCTATATCTTTGTAAAATTTGTTATTTGTGTCCTTTGACCGCATGCGATGTGCGCATCACGCGCGGTCACGTTTGGCTGGCGCGACCAAAGGTAAAAATAACGACTTTTGCAAATATATGAGATATGTTTGTCTGTAATAAATATATAACAAAATTGATAATGGAGTATATATATATATAGAGGTATTGGATTTAGTTTTATTAATATTCAAAACATTTTACATTAAATCTATTATTGAATTTTTAATTCAACAGGTGATGTTACTAATGGATCGACTACGAGAGTCATGCCGGTCGGGTTCTCCGATTAATCTCAGCCATACGTTCGTTGTCTGGGCTTACGATCTGATTAGCCGAGCGGCATTTGGGAAGAAGTACAGCGAGACTACGGAGGGCAAGAAATTCGTGGAGAAGATCGACGAAGTTATGGGGATATTGTTCAATTTCACGATCGGCGAATTTGTGCCGTGGCTCGCTTGGATCAATAATCTCAATGGATTCAACGCAGCGTTGGATCGATATGCGAAGGAGAAAGACGAGATTTTGGATGCCGTCATCGAGTATCATTTGAACGGAGATGATCGCCCGAGTAGGGGTGAGAATTTTGTCGATATTTTGTTGGATATATACAAGGGAAAAAATCCGGGTCTCTCGATCGATCTCATATCGGTGAAAGGCGTAATTATAGTAAGTATATTTCATGCTAGATATATTTTGGTAATATTTTGATGCTTTGGATTGTATTGAGACTAGTATAAACTAAATGAACATAAATGTTTGACGCGATATTTTTTTAAGTAAAAAATAAAATTTGCATTTTAAATGAAAAGTGAATAGTAAAGGTGATTTTTATAAATTAAGTAATTTGATAAATAATATGGACATTTTTTTAAGTAAAAGATAAAATTTGCATTTTAAATGAAAAATGAATAGTAAAGGTGATTTTTTATAAATTAAGTAATTTGATAAATAATATGGAAATAAAATTATCATTTTTACCGTAGGTTATATCTTATTTATTATTATTATTTTCATTTTATAGTCATATTTTAGATTGATACTATTACTCAGCTTAGCTTAGCACATGAGATATGTTAATACAACACAATTATAAAATTTAATAGTCATCACATGTTTTCAGCTAAAAACAAATATGTTATATTACTTGAAAATATATATTATCTATCGGTAGAAGATATTCTATGTGTTCATTAGACTAATCAGTATGATGCTTATTAATCCTAATAGTACCCTAATCTTTCTCTATATTTTAATAATAAAAAATTTCAAGAATTTGGTTTGTGTTTTAGTCTGAATAAAATGTTTTGTTAGAAAAAATAATGTATTTCTTTAAAAAAAATCGTGTGCGTTGAATTTAATATATATATATATATATTTCACTTTGTATAGGATATTTTTGGAGCGGGAAGCGATACATCGTCAATTACCCTAACATGGGCAATGACAGAGCTCATACGACACCCGTCCGTTATGAAGAAGTTACAAGATGAAGTAAGGGACGTCATGAAAGGGGAACAACACATATCCGACGAAAAGTTGCAAAAAATGCCGTATCTAAAAGCCGTGATCAAAGAAACGCTTCGACTTCACCCTCCAATCCCAATATACTTCCGATGTTCGAGACAACATGTAAATCTAATGGGATACGAAGTCGAACCCAATGCACCGGTCCTTATAAACGCGTGGGCTTTGGGTCGGGACCCTTCTTGTTGGAATGATCCCGAGGAATTCATCCCCGAGAGGTTCAGCAATTCTTCGGTAGATTTCAAGGGTTTTGACTTTTGCTTACTCCCGTTTGGGGCGGGCCGGAGAATGTGTCCCGGATTAGCATTTGCGGTTATTTCTATTGAGCATACATTGGCGAATTTTATGCAAAAGTTCGATTGGGCATTGCCGGATGGAGCGAGAGGAGAAGAAGTGAGTGTGGAAGAAAAACCAGGTATGACCGTTGGAAAAAAGGATCCTCTTGTTGTTGTTGCTACGAAGTGTTACTTTTAGACGCGTCGCAAAAGTTTACTTAATATGTTAGAGGGGTTCAATAAAACACTTGTTTTAATTTCAATCATTTTGAAAGTATATTATATATATATATTGTTTGTTTTGATACATATGCGTTAAAATATCTTATGTAAATTTTATTGTATAATTATGTTGTGTTAGTCGAGATCATGTGTAGAATTCTGGGTGTGTTTGATTGTGGATTTGAATTTGAATTTTTGAATAATAAAGAGTTGAATTTGAATAGTTGTTGGATGTAATATAAATAAATGTTTGATGTAATATTTCGAACATAAAATAAATTTGTAATATATATAAGAAAAAAAGTAATTGCTTGATTGAATAATTTAAAAAAAAAAAATAATTTGAATAGTAAAAATTTGTGGTAAAACCAACAAAAGAACAGAACCATTGTATTTATACCCATGACATGGGTTTTGTGTATTCTTTGTTAACTTAAAAGTGAATTACAATAAAATTTATATAAGAATTTTATATATTTATATTAAATACAAATAATTTATATGCAATTTGCCCCTTTTTGAGCCCTTATGATGTTCAATGAATTGGATTCCTTAGGATTTTAGGTAACAAATTAAATATTTGACTAAAAAAATTAAAATATGTATTAAAGTATAAATTTTTAAAAATTATATCTTGAAATTTATATTTAATATAAATACCATTTATAAATAATAAAATATATATACCGATACAAATAAATTTTATAAAAAATATAAAATTTTGAATGTAGTCAAAATATTTGTTTATTAATAACTGAGACAAATAAAATTCCACGAATAATTTCTTAACCAAAATTTAATCATGCATGCTATTTAAATGTCTTATAAAACATATGTTCACTTTGTACTTTTAGGTGTATCTACTTTTATGTTAGTACGAAAAAAAAAAAAAAAATTATGACAGTAATATAAAATATTATATATACATTATATACTATATAAATATGTACAAATAATATATTTTTTTTATAATATTTATCGGGATTGTGTAAAGATATTTAAAAGAAAATAAAAATCACACTTAATATTCATTTTCTATTAAAAACATCACCTTCAACACCTCTTCAAGACTTAAAAATTCAAATGCAAAACAATCCAAAGCACAAGTAAACTCGCCTTATATCGTTTGCAATATTTTCCAAAAATTTATACTATTCATCAATTTTATTTTATTTTTTCAAAATATCAAATTAAATACATATTCTTTACTTTTTTATATAATACTAAACACCAATTTTACATTCAAAACACCGCATTAACACGCATCATACAACTATTACAATTCAAATCTCAACTCAAAATCCAAACCCCCAAACAAACACACCCTTAGAGTTCCCGGAGTCGAATGGCTTAGTCGAAATTCATGAAGTGGGGCCCACAGCAACAATAGCCTTTCGACTCCACCCGATCCGGGAGCACACAAAAACAACTCCTAAATGAAACCTTAACTAATTCCAACACTCAAGGAAAAAGTCATTTCAACAAATGCCAATTTCACAACACAATATTTTGGCCAAAACCATCACTACAACTTAATAACTAAGACAAAACTATGAACCAAAATCAGATGAACAAAATAGGCCACACCATTATTAACAAAGAAAAGGGATCCTTCATAACTACAACATATAGAACCTGGAAACGGCGCGAAACTGCAGATATTATTCAGTGAGACCTCAAGTCCTGAAGATAGTGTCCGAATTGCTGTGCCCCAAGAAACAAGGCATCAGCCACAAGAAACAGCCCGATCTGCAAGATTTTGCTTCTTTAATGACCATATCTAACAATCAAAATGTCAGCCAAAAAGTTCTTAGGAAAAGGTGAGAATTAATTGCCTACCAGACGGGCTGAGAAGACCAGTCGGTAGCCCCAGCCTTCCTTGGCAGCTGCAGCTCTTTGTTGATCTGTCCAACTGGTGTAGAATACCACAATAGCATCTTTAAGTGAAAGTATGATTTAAATTTACGAATGATTATATTATAGGAAAATAGTGTTAAATCTAATTTTTAATCATACAAATTTACTGATCAATATAGTTAAAAGAAACAATGTTGGAAATTAAATCCTATCTTAGTTGTCTTCTTTTGAGGGTTTTAACTATTCAAATTCTTTTTTCCCTTAAAAAATATCATATCAAACAATTACTTTCCTTTTTTATATTATAATACAAATTTATTTTACATTCAAAACATAAAATGAATATATATTTATATCACATCAAGCAACTATTCAAAAATTCAAACAAAAAAAAACCCAAACCCACAAACAAACACACTTAGGTTGTGTTTAACACAAATTTTTACTATTCAGATTTTTCTTTTCCTCCAAAAATTATCAAATCAAACAGTTACTTTCTTTTTTTATATTATATTACAAATTTATTTTACATTACATAGATATCTATTATATCACATCAAATAACTATTTAAATTCTAACTTTTTACTATTCATAAATCCAAACCCAAAACCCCAAACAATTTGGTACAGGGAATTGGCAGCAGAGAAATAGAAATGTTTCCATTTATCTTGTTTGTTTGAGTCAGAGAAATAGAACTTGAGAAATAAATTATTTCCATTTCTCTGTTTTCATTTCTCTCCATGGAGAGAAATGATGTTGCAGTACATAAATTTTTATCATTTTATACTTTTTTGTACTATTTAATTTTTATAATTATTTATATTATATTATTTTAGTTTTGAAAAATTATATTTAATTTATCATTCAAGTATTTAATTTTTTACGAATTTTTTTTTTGAAAAACATTATACTAAAATATGATCTTACAAAACTTCGTATATAATTTATAATTTTTGGTTTTAAAAAAAGTCACCATAAATATTTTTTCATGAATTCTCACTCGCTAAAACTATCTTTTGTTAGATTAATCATTTATTCTTGTCCGATCCATTCATTTTTTTACATTTCTTAACTGAATTCTTTATTCTACCAAATAAGAGAATTAATTCTCATTCTCTGATCAATTCCCTTTTTCTCTATTCTTTACTCTCATTTATCTGCAATTCCATTCTCTGTACCAAACGCCCCCTTAATATTTTTTATTAAGAAATTGTTAGAGAAAATATAATAGGAGTTAGGAATATATTTTTCTAGTTTAGTGTTTTAAACATGTCCAATCAATGCAGATAATTTTAGTAATTTAGGTGGAAATTAATTAAATACCCTATGAAGATTTTGAGATGGATGGCTATATTCTTCAAATCTAAATCTGCCAAACATTCCATCCTAGCCATTGGGGGATAACAATGATGACAAATTGCTTAATTGTCATTAATATACAATTTGAGAAATATTTCTTGCAAATAAAATGTTGCTAATTGAATACAGATACAATACCTAGTGTTTAGGTCCCCAATGTTGTATAGATTTGTTTGTTTACTCTTTGTTTATTTATATTTTCCATTGGGTGTGTTTGTTCATTGTTTTAGTTTGATTTTTTTTCTTTTTTTACGTGAGATATGAAAAATTATATCGATAATATAAAAAATAATATTTAAGTTATGTTGATGTGTGTATATATCGTATTTTTTTATTAATATTTATTGAAAATTATGTCAACAAAAATGGTTGAATGAACAAACCTATTGTGTTTTTGCATTATTTCTAAAAATCTTCTTCCTTAATATGCATCACGTCTAACACTATTTTTTTTTATATAAAATATAGAGAATTGTGTAGGTAATATAAAAATATGAATATGTGAAATATATTAATTTTTTTGTGGAGATATGTGTGCTTTTTTCACAAAAAGAACACACCATTTTTCTATTCGAAATATCATATTAAATACTTATTTTTTACTTAAACTTTTATTGTTTCCAAAACAACTCAAAACACAAAGGTGTATTGTTTAATGTAATATAAATAGAAATATATATTTGATTTGATGTTTTTAGGGGTTAAAAATTAGTTCAATAGTTAACTAAAAATCTCCAAACAAACATAACAAATACTTTCCAAAACATATCTAAATGCAACCTTATCATTTTAATAAATATGAATGAGCATTTGATTATGAGAACAAAGTATATATTCCTATTACATTCATTTATTGACACTATATGCTTGGATGTAAGCATATTATGATCCAAATGTTTTAGAATAGATCGGTTAACTAAATCTGTAAAATCCGTAAGTAGAGTTAACCACCCCTTGTTCCATGCATATGTGCATAGGCATATTCTTAATACTTTCGAATTTATTTATATTTCTTCATTTTTATTAATCAAACTTATGTAATTCTTCATTCTATATATCTTTTAATATAATTTCAATAAACAATAGCAATCCGCTATTATAAATGTTACTTCCTCCGTCCCACATAAAGCATCGACTATTTTCATTTCAGTTTGTCCTAGATAATGTCTATTTTTTTTAAAAAATGATAATACATTTTAATCATATTTTAAATTACATAATCTAGTATTTTCTTAATCTTATTTTAAATTATTTTATTTTATCTTAGTTTATAATTATTTGTATTATATCATAATTATTTTTACTAATATACTTTTTAATTACTTACTAATTATAATTTTTCTAAGTTCTTGTATCTACAGTAAACGAGACACTTTATCGGAGATGAAGAGTGTAATAAAAAAGGTCCATTTTGAAATGGAAGTAAAACAGCCAACAAAGGAGTAAATAGCTAAAATTTTGTAATGGCATTTGTATAGGAGTTTATTATAAAGTGAAATGAAATGACATGGAGTAGTTTAAATCTTTTAATAGGTTTAAATTTTTCGAATGTAAAACAAGAGAAAATGGAAACAAAGCTCTGGTATAGTCTTTTTTTTTTTTTCAATTTATTTACTATGCAACCTTTACGATTTTATATAAACATACATTGTTTCCTCTCATAAAACATCATATCCAACCACTATTAATACACAAAACCACGATTATTTGGGAAAAGAATGATTTCGTCAAAAAAAAAAAAAAAAAGAAAATCCGTTCCAATTTATTCAATAGAAAAACTTTAGTATACTACTATAAACAAGGAAATTCGTTAAGGTTTATTGCCATATGATCTTTCCTCAAATTTTCTGCAAATAAGAGGTTTTTCTTTTTTTTTTTTAAACTTTCTGTGATTAAACTCTCAAATAAAATTTCAATCACCTTTTCTTTTTTCTTTTTTCCCTTAAGATTTTCATTTTTCTTAATACTCTAACAAAACCATGGAAGGATTAACAAATGAAAACTATTTATCACAGAAGAAATGTGCTCTAAAAAAGAATTGTACATAAAAGTTACCCGAGAAACTCTGAAAGTCCACCAATCCCTGCAAGCTTAAAGGATTGAGGTCCCTCTCTTTCAAGGTCCTATAAGTATTTTCATGAAAAATTAATATGTTAAAACTGCCTAAATGGAATTGTAACAAATTCACCAAGATGATAATAATAATAATAATAATAATAATTTTAAAAAATGACAATCATAGTAGCACCTCTTCTTCGGCAGCCTCAAGACCCTCTTGAACCCAAAATAGATTTTCGTAACCGGCATTGTACAGTGCCTCACAAGCTGCAAGGGATCTGCCTTATTATAGAATGACTCAGCAAAAATAAATGGAGAGAGACAACAGCAAAAACAAATTACGTGCAAGGATTCAGTATACCATTGAAAAATGTGAGAAGCCTCACTTTTATGAATTGATTTCATTAGATTGCAGTGTATACAAAGATTTATAACCCAAGGAGATAAGTTCTTATTAATTTTATGATGAATTTTGGATATAAACGGTAACTATTAGAATTAAGTAAACATCCAATTCCACTTTTTATAGCTATCATTCCATATTCATGATTCAATTTTGCTAAGAAACTTCAAACAAATATCTGAGGATCTGTTCCTTTTCTATGTATATATATATATTTGTGTTTGTGATTTTTAGTTTGGTGTTGTTGAGGTGAAATAGTAGTTATATTTTAGTTTGGTGTTTGTGATTTTTAGTTTTGCTTTGAAAATAGTATTGGATGAGATATTTTTGGAAGGAAATTGAAAGATTATATAGTGTGAAAAAATGAAAGGAAAAAAATATATAAAGAGAACAAATCCGAATCTTTTCAAATTATCCCATTCTCAACCAAAATTTAAAACAAAATCACATTTATGACTTATGAAAAAAGAATACCTTCACAAAGTGTGTTGAAATAAAACTATAACTAGTTTAATAGCAGATTCGATATGTGTGCCTACATATTTTTAATACTTCATTTTATTATTTCTTGATTTTTTATTTGTTTTGCATATAAAGTAAGAAAAACTATTCCATATCAACTAACAAAAAAATAGCATCAAGAAAGAAATATGTAGCAAAAAATATATAAAGTTATTACATAAACAAAAAATGGAAATACAAAGCAGAAAGATGAAATCATTGAGTGAAAAAAAAAAAAAAAAAAACAAATAGGAAAAAAAATAACAATAAGGATTCTTAAACATTTTTAGTAAATATTTTACTTAAGTATTTGATTTTGAAGAATATCATTGTTTATTTTATTATTTTGCGTCAAAAGAAAGAATGATTTTATAATATACAAAATTCTAATATATTAAAATTATACAAATATCTAAACTGCCCCCATATTATTATAAATATAAAAATATTCTAATACATAATATATCTAACACTCTCCGGAGAATACAAATCGTATGATCCAAGTTTGTCACATAAAAATTTAATTCGAGGGCTCTAAGAAATTTGGTAAGAATGTCTGCAAGTTGCTCATTCGAAGCAACACGGTGAGTGGCGATGCATCCAGATAATACCTTCTCTCGAATAAAATGACAATCATTCTCTATATGTTTAGTCCTCTCGTGAAACACCGAATTAGACGCAATATGCAAGGCAGCTTGATTGTCACAAAAGAGTTTCATTTCTGAAACTTCTACTATCTTGAGCTTATGAAGAAGCTGGTTTACCCAAATAAGTTCACATGTCACTAATGCCATGACTCGATATTCTACCTCTGCACTTGAACGAGCAACAACATCCTGTTTCTTACTTTTCCATGAAATAAGATTACCTCCCACAAATATGCAATATCCCGAAGTAGAGCGTCTATCAACTGGGATCCTGCCCAATCAGCATCTGAGTAGCCAATTACTTAAGTGTGACCTTAATTGGTGTACAATAATCCTCTACCATTGAGACCCTTTGATGTATTTCAAGATTCGAATGGTAGCATCTAAGTGACTATCGCATGGAGACTGAAAAAATTGACTCACAACACCTACAGCAAAAGAGATTTCAGGTCGAGTAAGTGTGAGATAGTTAAGTGATGACTCCAAATATGAGCATATTCTTAGCTTGACAAAAATGTGTATTACTTGAATTTCTGCATAAGAATCATCAAAATAATTCGTAATCGGCATACAATATTGATTTATATCACCAGGCATGATCCAGAATTCGTTGTTGAGACTATTAACGATTTTTGCCCTCTTAAGCGGTATTCTGGAGCCAGAAAAGCTAAGGCAGACGCCGCAAGCGACAGCCGCCTTCGCTCGCAAGCGCCCAAGACACACCTTGAAAACACTAAGGCATGAGAGGCAAGCGGCCACCTTCATAGCCGCAAGCGATAGCCTCTCCCGCTTGCAAGCTACAGTCCAGATACCCGCCGCTGCAGACTATCACCAGATTTCAACTAAGTACTTCAAATGCAGCGGTACAGCCATTCCAATTCCAGCTAGCTCAAGCGAGCCGTGCTACGCTGATGCCCTCCTGCTCTCCAGCAAGCGAGGAAGATCTGTGCCATTAACGCAAGCGAAGCGGACACCCTGGGAGTTATGGCCAGCAACTGCTTCAACAGAATAACCACCTGCAACCGCCTAACTGCCCAGCGGTTGGAACTGCCCAACAGCTTCTTGCAACCGTCTCGTTACACCTGCTATAAATAGGGCCAGATATCTGTATGTATAAAGAATCGAATTCTTGGATAATTTCAGAATACACACAGCGTTCGTCGTCTTCCTGTTTCCGAGAGCTCCAACCCTGTAAGGGAGTTCTCCACAGGAAAGGCCAAGGGAGTGGGCGTCTTCCCTCTCCCTTGGCCACGTCTTTAATGCTTTCTTAGACTAGATTACTGCTTTCATTTACAGCTTTGTAGTCTAATCCTTTTCGCATTTTCGTAGTATATAAAGAAATATCATTCACTTCTTCAAATTAAATTCTTCCACAATTTTCCATACTTATATAAATCAATTTTAGAGAATTTCATATCACTGGTATAGAGCGAGAGACGAATTGATTAATTAAGCCTTGTGATGCGCCAAAAGCGGTCTCAAGGTAGTTCAACGTAGTTAAGTACGCGGGAGCCTTGTCGACCTACTTAACTACTGCGCTAAATTTGATTCTGATAAAATAATACCAACATCAGGGGGTAAAGCCACTAATGAGGCAGAAATTGGGAAAATTAACGGGACATAGACGGGGGTCTATTAGGTCGCAGAAATTCCTAGTGACAGTAGGGTTTCTTTCTTATAATGTCTTAATTCTGGGTGTCATTGAAGTCTTTTTGTAAATCCCCCCAGGCCAAAATACCAGTGTGATGAGTTCTTTATAATCGAGTTTATATAATTACAACATCTTTCTATCATCATTTTCGTAATATACATATATGCTTCCGATAACACAATTACATCATTCGCTCGCTGCATCCAGGGAAATCTACCCATTTCGTAACGCACAGTTCAGACACAACACCTCTTCTTCACTCTAATTCGCTCATATACATATACATATAATATGCCGCTCACTCACATCCCAATCCTCTCGCTTTCGCTTCGCTCGCCCCCGTTCATTTTTTTACTGCTTTATTTACCGCTTTCAGTAGTAGAAGATTCTCCGCTCGAAGCGGACTCCCTTTTTTGTTTCTTCGTCGCTTCTCCAAGATTTTTACCATTGAAATTCATGACTTTAAATCCCTGTGTTCGACCTGGAAACTCACCAGTAAAAAGAGTATAAATAATTGTGATAACTATCCAGGGTCTACAACCACACAATTGCTATATTTGACCATTCTTCTATAAAAACTCTACTCATTGATTTTCGAATAAAATTCCCTGCGACTTGATATACAACCTACAATAACAAATATATTTTTCTGTTATCATAATTTGGCGCCGTTGCCGGGGATTTGAAACTCATGAAAAGTATCTGTTGGAAATCTTTTGAAGCGCCATAATTTACCCTTAATTCGTTGTAATAATGCTTTTTGTATTTAATTAAATTCTTCTAACTTTAAATTTTTTGTATGTGGCTGCCATTTTGTAGGGGTCCGAAGCGTTTTCAGCGTCCCACGAGTCCTACTCCCTCCGCTCGATCACAGAGACGTCTGTTCCGAGAGCAAGTGCGAGAACAACTCATGGCGAATCAAGGAAATGCCACCGCTCCTCCTACTGTCATCCCAGCTTTCCAGACTGCCGCTGGGACATCTTCAAACTCCGCCACATCTGCATCTTCGCAGGAGGTGCCGCTCCACGTCCCCACTGTGGTCCCTGCTGTCATTCCTCCTGCACTTTCACAGACTGAGGAGCAACTATTGAGAGCCCTCAGTAGCATTCAACAAGGAATGGCGGGGCTGCAAGCGCACCTCGCTCAGGTGGAACAAACTCAAGCTGCGCATGGAGCATTTATTGCTTCCCAAGCGGCACAAGCTGCCACCACCGCTGCGATACCCACAACCATCATTCCCCCACCACCTACTGCTGAGCCTTACCAGAGGGCTGAGGGTCATAGGGCTGCTGATCGCCCACTTGCGGAAGTCCCCATGGATGTTCACTACCAGACCCTTCTGGATCACACTTTAATTACAAGTTCTGCGCCCAGAGGCTCTGGCCATTATGAGGTGAAACCAGCGCTCGTCAGCCTGGCGAGCCAGAGCCAATTTCATGGGCTGCTCAATGAAAGCCCTTACGAACACTTACAGAACTTTAATAGGATCGCTGCCACCTCCAAATCGCACGGCATCACGGAGGACGCTGCCAAACTGATTCTGTTTCCTTTTTCTTTAACAGGAGAGGCCAGGAAATGGTTTGATAATCTTTATCCGATCCCTGGCTCATTCAAGGAAGCAGCGCAGGCCTTCGTGAGCAAATACCATCCTGTATCAAAGACCATTCGCCAGAGGAATGAAATACTTACTTTCAAGATGGCGAGTGATGAGACCCTTCCAAAAGCCTGGAGCCGATTCAAACAACTACTCCGCAACTGCCCTCATCATGAAATACCGGACTTCATGGAACTTCAGATTTTTTACTCAGGAATTACTCATGAACTCAGAATGTCCTTAGATGCAGCGGCAGGAAGCTCGCTTATGGGGCGTTGTGCCTCTGAAGCGAGGGCTTTGATAGAGAAGATGGCGGCCAATCAGTCAAGTTGGCCAGAGTCCAACAGGCCCGAGCCATCGAGGGGTCTGTACCAGGTTCCTGCTTCCGTATCTCACGATGCAAGGATCGACAGTTTGTCGATCCAAGTGAAGGAGCTGTCTAAGCTTATGAAGCAGGACCTGCGTAATAAAGGAAAACAAGC